ATTTGAATTGAAATCCTACTTTGTTCCCACTTCGCATTCTAAGTTAGAGAAATTTCCTTTGCTTTTCCACCTTGTGACTGAAGTTATATTTGCGCTCTATCAATCTGGTGGGCCTTGCCTCGTCCAAACGTGACGTGACATGCACCGAGGCCGATCCATCTGTTCAATCTCCCTTTTCCAACCATCCTCGCAAACAGATCCCTACCTTCTTTATTGATTTTCTATAACCTTTTCGCGAAAACGTTCTTGCAGGATCTCGTAGCCACCGCGCAACGCCATTGATCTCGGCGTCCGACTCATTAGCTCGGCGCAGACCCCTCTGAAAACCCGCATCAATGGAGGGTAAGCCCTTGCCCGATGCTCAAATCTCCGCTACACTGCAATTGCAGACAAATACCCTCTCCGAGTTTTCTGCGCCTTCTCTGTCACCCTCGTTTAAGCTAGATGAGGGCTACTCGGACGATACTCGAAGCCAGGCCGACAAAGATTTAGGATCGGATAATGTCATGGCGCTTCCAAACTGGGTGCTTACCCAGTCCGAGGCCGGTAGAGCTGGTAAGATATCCCTTTCCCCTTTGCTCGTTGCATACTTGCCTCGAGCGCGAAGCATCAGCCTCTCGTTGTTTCTTTTCGATTTTCCTTGTTAACCGAGAGTTTCTCATTTTCAGAGCTCGCATACAGCCTTCTTCGATCCCTACGAACCTCAAGCATCGCCGCAGTCGTTGATCGACTTAATCCTATCCTCCATATTGACCCATGTGTCAGGCTCCCTCCGGAAATCACATGGGAGGTCTTTACCTACCTCGACGCTCGGACGCTTTTAAATGCCTCGCTTGCATCCCGCTCATGGCGCGAACGTATCCTTGACTCTGGTCTGTGGAAATTTCAGTACATCCATGAGGGTTGGGACTTGGACACCAGTGCAGTTCGTGCGTTTGAGCAAGAACATTCCGAGGCCATGTCGCCCCAAACCCGAAAGTCCCGCCTCCGGCGCCTGGAACCAGACCTCGGGGAACCTAAGCATAAAAAGCGCGTGCCATCAACCTGGCTCGATTCACGAACCAATGAAGATCAAAGATCGACCGTGTTTGGCCCTGCGCCCCCGATGGCCGACAGTGAAGGTGATCACCACATGACCGACGATGACGATCAAACCGCACCTTCGTTCGCCGACGACCCAGAGTTCATTCTACCAACTAATATCCCCCAGTCCCCTTCACCCCTGTACCCACCTCTACGATCGCGTCTTCTCATGCGGGATACTGATGGAAGTGCCAAAATCAACTATTTTCATATCTACAAACAACGCAGGCGACTCGAAGCAAATTGGCATCAAGGCCGATACACCAATTTTCAACTCCCTGACCCGTCCCATCCAGAAGAGGCCCATAGGGAATGCGTATATGCGATTCAGTTTGAAGGCCGATGGCTAGTCAGTGGAAGCCGAGACAAGACTGTGCGAGTCTGGAACCTGGATACCAAGCGACTCTGGCATCCCGCGCTGGTGGGACATACGAAGTCTGTACTATGTCTGCAATTTGATCCTCGGCCAGAGGAAGACATCATCATCTCCGGTAGCAGCGACAAATCCGTCATCGTATGGAAATTCTCTACTGGGCAAAAGATCCATCAAATTGACAAAGCGCATCTTGACTCGGTGCTCAATCTCAAATTCGATCATCGTTACCTCGTAACTTGTTCCAAAGACCGAACTGTCAAGGTATGGAACCGCCGAGATCTTCTACCGAATAGCAAGGATTATCCGCGTATCTGTCATGGATCAAACGCCACATACCCCGGATGGATAATAGACCTGAACGCTATTTCGCCTAACATTCTTGAAGCTGGCATTGCGCATGATCAATACAAAGTCCTAGAGCCTTACACGTTGCTTATGACCGTGGAGGGACATGGAGCAGCCGTGAACGCGATGCAGATTCATGGTGATGATATTGTGACGGCGTCTGGGGATCGAGTGATCAAGGTCTGGAACATCCGCACTGGTAGTTGCTCGAAGACCTTGACGGGCCATGAGAAAGGCATCGCATGTGTTGAGTTCGACAGCCGAAGAATCATCAGTGGCAGCAATGATAACTCTGTCCGCATCTACGATCATGCTACCGGAGCTGAGGTGGCGTGTCTGCGAGCTCATAGTAATCTCGTTCGCACCCTTCAGGCAGGATTTGGTGATGCTCCGGGGGCCGATAAGACCTTGCGCGAAGAAGCGCTAGCGTGTGACACTGCGTTCTACGCCGCTCGAGAAGCTGGATTGGACGTTGACATGGGCCATCGGGAGCAACGCCGCAATGGCTACCAACCGAACACTGCGGGGTCACGAGACCCTCGCGACATGACTGCCGTGGGAGCAAAAATTCCACCTGGTGGGGGAGGTAGTAGCTGGGCCCGTATCGTGTCGGGTTCCTACGACGAGTCAATCCTCATCTGGCACAAAGACCGTGATAACAGGTGGACAACGGATCATCAACTGCGACACAGTGATGCTATCGCCAATTCCGCTCGTGGGAACCTCAGCGAAGTGGCACGAACCACAGTTGCAGCCCAGGCTCAACAATTGCAAGCAGCACAGGCTCTGGCGACACTTGGGCAACATGGTAATGTGAACCCCCATGCTGATCGTGCCAACCCACAAGTTGTGCCTCCTACGGTTAACAACGCTCTGCCACTCAACCCACCTCCTGCTCATCATCATCACCACCATGGTCATCAGCGCAGACCACAAGGGTCCTCGACGGCTGCAAGGGTTTTCAAACTCCAGTTTGACGCACGGAAGCTCATTTGTGCTAGCGTGGACCCTCGCATTGTGGGATGGGATTTCGCCTGCGACGATGAAGATATCATTGAGGCGAGTCCGTTCTTCAAGGGGCTCTAATCATTTTCGCCTTTACGCCTTTTAATACCAGCATCTGTTCTTATTTTCCATCAATGCATCTCCTGCATCGTCCTTAGTGGGCGCGAATTCCGAACCCTCTGATGAAAAGACGGCTCAATTCACTTGACGACTTCCTATTAATGGCATCAGTACGATCTCGTTGTGTTTTCTTCGCCTGGCGCATTGATCCTTGCTCTCTTACCCTCCCACTCATACACACACACACACACATACACACATTCTCTCTCTCTCTCTCTCTCTCTCTCCCCCCCCTCCCTCCGCGTTTCCCTTTCCTCTTCTTACCCATCTTCTCAACGTCGGGTCATGCTATACCGTGGGCACTTTTTCTTAAATGATGTATTTCTTATTTTGACTTCTATGTCAGGGGTCGTTGCTGGCTATTCAGCGTATCTTTTTCGGAGTTTCTTTGTTCTTCATCTTCTAATCTATTTTTCTTGCATGGCGCCGGTGTGGCATTTGATCCATAGCATTAGCATTACTTGAAATTATATTCCATATAAAACCTCAAATTCATCAGAAAGGTGGGACCCGTGGACTGCACCTTCCAGGTTGTGACTCATCAGGATGTCCGTCGACCTAATCCCGCAATAAGCACGGAGTATTCCGTGTATATATATGTACCTTTTCTTCAGGCTCGACTTTGGAAGTCCATGAGCTTCACTTCCATTTCTGAACATGGCTACCCCAGACTACCACCTCATCGGGCTATACACCCGCTACTCCAGTAAGCAACATAGAACCATCTATACACCAGACCTAATAAGCTCTCTCCAAATAGGCTGGACAGCACGCGTTGAAGCAGTACTGGAATACTTCCAGATCCCCTATACACGCCAATTCATACAGCTCTCTGAAGTAGCTAAACCCATTCTCAATGCAAAGATAAGTATACAATCACTCACAAAACACAGACGAAATCCTTCTCCCCAACAGGCCTGGTCCCAATCCTCCATTGCCACTCCCTCCCCTCAACAACAATAACAGACTCCCTTGCCATCTGCGAATTCCTCGCTGAATCAAACCCAACTCTCCCACTCTGGCCCAAAGACCGTCACCTGCGCGCCCTAGCCCGCAGCGCCGCAGCCCAGATGCACTCTGGCTTCCCAGTCCTGCGGAATAACTTCCACACAAACTTCCTCGCCAAGTACACAGGCAATGTGCCGATCCCGGACGGCGCGACCGCCGAGATAGCGCGCTTGTTCCGCATCTGGGATTCGGCCCGTAAGGCGACTATAGAGCGTCTTGCGGTGCTGGGCGAGGCTGATGAAGGGTTTTTGTTCGGCGGATTTAGTATTGCCGATGCGTTCTTTTGGCCGGTTCTTTGGGTGAGTTCCTTTCCTTCGTAAAAAGGATAATAAGAAGAAAAACACAAGCTGACATTACTCTTCAGCGGCTCCGCTCCTATGGTCTTCCACTCGATGGCGCTAGCCCTGATGCGCTGGCGTGGATGGGGAAGATGTGGAGTGATCCGGTATTCAAGGCGCTGGGGGATAGCTACTATGCGCAAGCTGAGGATCCGCAGAGTTGCATTGCGCATTATGATAATATCTTCCGGGATAGGGATGATGTGCAGTATGGCTTGATTCCGAGGGATTGGACTTTCTCGGTTTCTGGGTGATGATATACTGGGCGGTTTGTCGGGGTACAAACATTTAACCCATACCAGATATGTACATCGCTATGTAGGCAAAGATCTGGAAAACCGGTAGCAGTATGAACGAGGTTTTATTTACGTGGCCTAGAGTCTTGGGATCTCAAAGAAGATAAGAGGAATCTACAAGAAATTCATCGATGTGGCCGCGAGAAGAACTGTACATTCGAATGGCTTGGAAGGTTTTAAGTGATAATTTGCTACGGATAGGACACGACCATGTACGGTTTTTGGCGTAGGAGAGAATGACCATCGTGTTAGAGGGTAGGACATTAGCTGGCAAGAGAGGGACTTACGTATCTTTGTACACGAGCAAGATACTAGGGTACGTTCCAATTAATGATAAGACCCCATGCACTGGGCCCTCGAAAAAGAAAGGAAAGAGCATCACAGTCACAATGCAGTAGACCGTGGAAGCGCATATACTTCAATGAAAGATTATACAGCGGTAGGATTCACAAGGGTGGGAAACATGACACCATACAGAGATGAGAGCCATTCTTGGAGGCCATGAAGACGAGTGTTTCCCTCACTGTTCTCATTCTGAGATGCACTGGGCGATACCTGGCTCTGGGCGGTTACATATGTTTCCCGCGAGCTGGTTGCCCCGAGGGAATCATCCGGCTCGTCTTGGCTACCCGAGCAGCAGCAGAGACAACTCTGAGATTTCACCCACGACAAAAAGTCTGGACAGGCGGGCGTGCTTGAGTGAGGGCCTTCTTCCGCACCGCCGCGGACAGCCATGGTGAAAACGGAATGCAACCTCGATGGATTTGGAGGGATATGGTCTCCAGATGCTCTAGTCCCTTGGGCAGAAGGTTCCACTGAGCCTGCACGGCTGTCTGATCTACCCATATTGTGTGACAAGCTGAGAATTGCAGTGGCTCTGGGCCGCGGTTGGCGGTTTACGGCAGCAGTAGCCGGGTTCTGTGGAAAGGGAGAATGTCGTCCAGGCGGGAAGGCCAGAGGCTGCGTATAACCGCTTGGGCGAGGCCCAAGATCACCCTTCATGCGTGTAGTTTCAACATAAGAATCATGGCTTGTATCTGTGGCGTCGTGGTGGGCAATGGGAAGATTGCGTCGATGGAAAGGGTGTTCTTGCAGCTGTCGACCAATGTTCATTCCATGGCCACTTTGTCGGTGGGGGAATCGACCCTGTACTAGCGTGCCATCCTCGGCTCGTCCTATACCGTTCACGGATATCCCACCAGTATGAGACGTAGAAGATGACCAGCCAAAGAATCTTCTTAGGGTATCGCCATACAAACTGCCACGCTGATTGCTAGCAGGACCACCACATTGCAAGGTTGCGGGTGCTCGTGCACCGTTGTCTGGGAGCATGTACCGTGCAGAGTAGGACATAGCCTCCGAGGTGCCGAAGGAGGGAAGGCCAGGGGGTGTGGGCGTTCTTTCTGGTGGTGGATATCGAGGCTGGACGGTTGTTATTGCAGGCCCCAAGCTCCCAGGCCATCTAGGCTTGCTGATAAGACTATCATTTGCATCGAGTGAAACAGCCTTGCGATGCAAAGACCGATGGGAGTCTGGTATCACTGCCGGTCTAGCCAAAGGATATCTCAGCCGGTGTGTGGCCTGCCAACACTGGTCAGATAACAGCTTGGTGTGGTTCTCAAGCTTCCCGGCCATTCTCTGTCGTCTTCCTCGCCTAGTTGGCACATTGGTAGGAGTATGATCATCCTGCGAATCTGTAGGGACGAATCTGGCCAGGTTGGCCGCTAAGCCTTGCTCGTGGACAGGGTAATCATGGGAGAGAGATGCATAAAAACGAGGGCTAGAATCATTTGGTGTTGTGACTCTGATCGCATTGTATATAGATCTTTCATCGCTAAGGATGGACTCAGATGATTCTGGATTATCGTATGGTGAAATAGAGTCGGAATCGGGATGTTTCCCACGTCGGAGGCTTTGGGGTCCTGAAAAGGCCTGACGGGGTTTACTAGATTGATCGAGTCTTCCTCGGGCAAACATCGTCAAGGCAAAAGAGCGATGCCTGGTCAAGATGAGAATATACAGTATAATGGGGGAGTGATAGGTGCGAATATCAAAGATGAGTATGTGATTTCCTCGGAAACCCTCATCGTGCCTGCCGAGAGCAAGCCCAAACAATATTATACAAAACAGAGAACAGTTTATATGTACATTCTTCATTGAATATGCGCTCAAAACCCGAAAACGTTGAATGTCATGATCATAATGGAGTGCCACCTGGGCTGGGCATTGGTCTGCCAGTCGCCTGGGCGTGCTCCTTCTTTAGGGCTCGCAGCAACCCTTCAAGCCTGCGGCGCTCTTCTTGTTCGGCCTGGGAGGTGTCAGTTGGGCAAAAAAGAGAGAGAAAAGTACAATATGACTCACCCTCAGTATCTTCATGTTCTCGTTGCGCGTGTCACGCATCATCTTCTTGAACTCATTCTTGAGCACCATGGTAGAGGTTGTCTCAGAAGTGCCATCGCGGCCCACAGATGTGGGACTACTCAAATTCATCCAACTGATACGTTCTTCTGCCAGTTGTGTCTCGAGTTGTTCGCAACGATCTCGAAGACTGTCAATGAAGCTTTCGAAGCGTTCGCGTTCCTTCTCAAATTCGATGCTTGCCTTCGTCATTGCTTCATAGTCATCAATGGTCTCGCGAAGTTCTCTTTCAAGAGTATCCGCCCGCTGCTGAAGATCACCACCTCCTCGCTGGCCCTTCAGAAGGGCAAGTTCCTCGGTGAGCTCGATGTTTCGGGTAACCAGGGCATCATTTTCCCTTTGGATACTAGGGTTGGAAGACACCTCTGCCGCGCGTTCGGCCCGAGTACCATAGGCACCGTCCAGCTCTGCCTTGACCATTGTCAGTTCAGTTGTGACTCGTACAATCTCGCCTTCGAGATCAGTGATCTCATTCTGCAGGCGAGTGGCATTGTGCTCGGACTGCGCGCGCTGATCATCTGCTTCCTTGATGCGGGCATCGGATTGGATTCGAATCTGTTGAATTGCGGCTTCGAGTTGAGCCACCTCTTGCTCTGCGCGGTCACGAGCACCCCTAACTTCCTCCGATCTGGAATCGCTATCGTTCTGCAGTGTTTCAACGACGCTCTGTAGTCGCTGGACCTCGTTCTCCGCACGATCCCGGGCTTCCCTGTTGTCCGCATCTCTAGCATCGATATCCTTTTGCAAAGTCTCAATGACGATATGTAGGCGCTTGACTTCATCTTCCGCGCGGTCGCGAGCTTCCATGGCCTCTTTGGTCTTGACGGCTGTGTCATTTTGCAAAGATTCAATAATGACCTGTAGACGCTTCACTTCGTCTTCCGCATGATCACGAGCCTCTCTGGCCTCTGCGACCTCAGCGTCGGTGTTATTTTGCAAAGATGCAATCACCGCCTGTAGACGCTTCACTTCGTCCTCCGCATGGTCATGAGCCTCTTTGGCCTCTTCGATCTTAACGTCGGTATCATGTTGCAAAGATGTAATCGCCACTTGTAGACGCTTCACTTCATCTTCCGCATCCTCACGGGCCTCTCTAGCCTCATCACTCCTAGCTTCGGCATCATTTTGCAATGAGGTAATGACGACCTGTAGTCGCTTGACCTCGCCTTCTGCGCGGTCGCGGGCATCACTGATTTCCTCGGCTCTGCCCTCGTTGTCTCTTTGCATATCGTCGATGTAGTGTTGCAGGCGCTTAAGCTCGGCCTCTGCTTGATCTTGGGCATCTCGGGCTTCTCTGACTTCATTGATCCTGGCATCAGCTTCGCTGTGTAACGAGGTAACAACGCTCTGCAAACGTGCGACTTCGCCCTCGGCCTTGACTAGAGTGGCCTTGGCTTCTTCCTGAGAAGAGCCACTGTGGCGCATTGCGTTGAGCTGTTCCGTGACAAGAGCCAGCTCGTCGCGGCTGGCGTTGCCTTCGCGCTCAGATACTTCAAGATCTTTGCGAACATCGGCCAACTGTTCTGTTAGGTCGCCGATATGAGCATCTCGCTCTGCGTCTGACTTAGAGTTGAGCTCGCGTTGCTGCTGGATTTGTGTTGTGAGAATACTCTTTTGCTCGAGTACTCCGTCCACTCGACTCTCCAGGCCATCTAGACCAGTCTGTAGATATGAGAGTTGTTCTTCCAGCCCCTCGCCGTGGGACGCATCAGGGGGCGGAGGCAAGGTTGGCGAACGGGTCAAGCCAAACCGATCAACGATGGTTTGCACTTGATTGTTGATTTTGGTGAGTTGGTGTTTCCACGCTCCCTCAGCTTCAGGTGCAACATCGCGAGTAACCACGGGAGTAGGAGCGTTTCCCGTATGTAAGACAATATTATTCATGCCATTCTTGATATAGGCCAGGTGAGCTTCAACCGTTGCTGTGGGATTGACAGGCCCTTCACCCCCTGACAGCTGCGGGGGAGGATCGATAAATTCACCGGGGTTGGACTGTATCATCATGTCATGCATGCGCTCGCTAAGTTCCTCCAATCGTCTTTCTGTGGCCTGCATGGCCTTGGTATTCATTGCGGCGGCTGCGTTGTTTTCACCCTTCCCATGCACGCCAAAGCTATCCAAATGCTCGGCCGCCCGGTAGAGACTGCGGTCGTCGAATTGGTGACCATCGTAGGTGCTATCCGAAGCGTGCGGAGCAGGGTTCTTAGGACCCTTCTTCAGACCCTTGTGTGTCATCTGCAAGACACCTGCAGTGTGTTCCAGCAAGCGTTGGCTAATCTTCTGAGACCTTTTTTCCAGCTTCCAGAGTTCCTGCGCCAACTCTTCACATCGCCGCTGGCTGACCGCGAGTTCGGAGTCGCTCTTATCGAGAGCCTCGGAAGTCTCACTGCGACCAAATATTCCCCGACTCATCCGGCGCGGGTTCGAACTGCCATTGGAACCGTATTCGCCGCTGCTCCGCGGGCTGGGTGGGCTGTAGAGCCTACCGAGAGACTGCGCCGCATCACGCAGCTTCGTCTCGAGTGCCAATTTCCGTTTCGTGCCCTGGATGCGAGTGGACAGTAATGTCACTTCCTTCTTCAGCTCTTCCACCTCCTCGAAGGATAGCACTTCGTAATTCGTGCTATCCCCTATGGCGGTCTCGGTCAACAGGTACATGGCTACGGGGTCGTTGGCATTCAGGAGAGCCGAGCTTCGCGGGTGGGCCGGGTTGAGCTACCAGAAACGAGATAACCATGGTTAGCTGGAGTCCCAGGTCGGCGTGTTGTCTCTTTACTCACTGGGTTATATCGTGACCGTTCCTCATGTTGGGGGTCCAGATCATCCCGATACCCGTCCACGAGTGTCTTTCCATGCGGTGGCACCAACGCTGGAGCATCGGAGGCGGTCATGGTCGAGAGATACCGAGGGTCTCCATAGGAAGACTGACTGGAGCGCATACTTATATTCATGGTCGTTCAATGGCCGGGGTCTCTCCAATTAGAATTAGGAAAAGTTCAGGGACAGGCGTCGCGCATCATGAGTTTCGGGCGCCGGAGATTGCGATCGGAGAGAATGGAATTAGATCGATCCGAGATTGTAGAAGGGTTGTGGAGAGGGATTCCAATGTATTTAACGAAGGTAATAAGTTGATAAAAGATGGCGGGGAGTGAAGGAGAAAACACACGATCGGCATCACGTTAGGGTTCAGCCACGGCATTTATTTTTCCTCTACAATTTATATATAAATGATATGTTAGATTGCATATTATACTCATAGATATCGACGTATGGAGGATGGAGTAAGGAGTAGTTAGAAGGACTAAGTATCTTTTACCCCTGAATCCGAATATAGTAATTTGGACTTTCTTTGTTCGATTTGTAGAGATAGTACTTAGGATCAAATCCCATATTGTCGCGAGACATTCTACTATAGAATTGACTACATACCTGTACAATATCTCAATAGATAGAATGATTCTATAAATATCAATTCAAGTCTAAACTTCACATGGACAACCCCGCTATATACTTGAGAAAGTACCTAGAACGACCTGATAGTACTTGTACAATGTAACATCATAGTATGGATCATCAAGTACTGCCAAGTACCACGGTTCCGCGTACCTCGGATCCCCAGAGTAACATGAAAAAAAAAGGCCAAGAGGCTAAAAAAGATGAAAATGCCCGCTTTGTTTCATTTTCTTATAGAGTCCACAGAATGTAATCTGGTTTCACAACTGTAGACATGTCGACTCTCGAGCTCTCCCCAGATACCGAACAGGGTTCTCGACCTGTCTACAAGGTCTACAAGCGACGCTTTTGGGGCCTGGCTCAGCTGGTATTGCTGAATATCGTTGTTAGTTGGGATGTATGTGCTCTGCAGTCGATACACTCTGTATGTTGCTGACTCGTATACAGTGGCTGACCTTTTCGTCCATCTCGACAACGGCTGCTGAGTACTTTGATGTCTCGGAGAGCGCTATTAATTGGATGAGCACTGGCTACCTCTTTGCCTTCTGCGCTGTTAGCCCGTAAGTATATGAAAATCTTCATTCCGAAAGGAAAAAAGGAAGAGAGAGAAAGAGAAAAAAAAACGAATCCCCGTTTCAAGTGTACAAGTCATTGACCAGTCTCCCAGCATCGTCATCTGGATCCTGAACAAAGGCGGGCCCAAACCAGCTATAATCACCACCGCCGCATTGTTACTAGTCGGTAACTGGCTCAGATATGCCGGAACCAGAGCAAACGGGGGCATCTTCGGGCTTGCGATGTTCGGCCAGATCCTAATAGGGTTCGCGCAGCCCTTCTGCCTCTGCGCGCCAACTCGATATAGCGAGCTCTGGTTCTCAGATCATGGCCGCACGAGCGCAACGGCTGTCGCCAGTCTGGCGAACCCACTCGGCGCAGCCTTGGGACAGCTCATTGACTCGGAGTGGGCGTCGAAAGCCTCCGATATTCCAGATATGGTACTATACATCTCGATCATCGTACGTGTAACCCACCTTTCTTCCAAAATTTCAAGCCACCCATTGGTCATTTCTTTTTTTCGCTCACATACCACCTAACCCAACAGTCCACCGTAGCAGCACTCCCATCATTCTTCCTCCCAGCAGCACCACCAACCCCCGCAAGCGCATCCTCTGCAAAAACGCACACGCCACTAGGCGAAGCAGTGCGTATACTAATCAGCACACGGGAATTCTGGCAGATCTTCATCCCATTCTCTGTATACGTGGGCTTCTTCAACAGCGTTTCCTCGCTACTGAACCAGATCCTCAGTCCGCACGGATTCTCCGAGACAGAAGCAGGCATTGCGGGAGCTATTCTGATCGTGGTGGGACTCGTCGCATCAGCAGTCATGTCGCCGATAACAGATCGCTACAAGCACTACCTTGGCAGTATCCGGGTGCTAGTACCTGTAGTGGCAGTCACGTATATCGGGTTGATTTTCGCTCCGGGAAGTGCGGCGGGAATCCCGCCATCGTATGTGGTGATGGCCCTTCTGGGTGCGGCGTCGTTCGCGATGCTGCCCATTGTTCTAGAGTACCTGGCTGAGATTACTTATCCGCTCTCGTCGGAGATTGGGAGTACCATCTGCTGGACGGGTGGGCAGTTGCTTGGCGCATGCTTCATTCTTATCCAGGATGCGTTGAAGGCTGGGGCTGGGGCTGCGCCACCATATAATATGCGGAATGCGTTGGTGTTTTCCGCTGTGGTTGCTGTTGTGGCTGCGCCCTTTCCGTTGACAATTGGGCTTTTTGGAAGGGTTGTTCATCGTCGTAGGTTGGAAATTGATCGCGGTATTGAGTTGCAGGATGCTGGGGAGGTGGCTAGGACGGATGACAGTGTTAGGAAGGTTAGGTCTGATGATTCTGCTGTGGACACTGATACTCTGATCAAGACGATTAAACCTTGAGAGCATTGCCCACTGTGTCGCTCTCAGGATTCTTGTGGCAGTGACTTGCCCGTCCCAAAGCCAGTTTGGAAGAGCTCTGACGTTCCACTCCTTTATTATTTATTGCAGCGCCCTGGCCATGGTGCTTTTGACGAGTCTTATTTCTGCTGTGCCCGGATCAGCGTCGGTTATACCCCCATTTATGTTACCCTAATATCTTTTGAATTTGTGACCACCCACAAGGACTATGTGCTTTGAGTCGATATATCAATTTTAGTTGGTGAATTGAACATACTCGTGGATCGATAATCTGGCCATTGCAATACCGAACCGACTTATAAGAATCCTGTAGTGGAATGATGGCTATGAGCCAAGCCTACCAGAGCAAAATGGCAATCTAGACAGATGAGATTCGTTTTACAGCAAGAGAACAAACAAAAGCACAGTTCGAACAGGTGGAAGACCAGCTATCTGTACACGCAAGGCTGAAAGAGGAGGGCAATATGATCTATTATTGTTTCATGCTTCCTCTGAGCCCTCCTCCCTGCCTTGAAAACACAATATGCGCACACATACGCAAGGAACGAGCAGAAAACAAGATTTCACGTTTCTGGATCGACCCTGCGTTCTCAATCCAAGGCGGCAAGCTACCAGGCTATCAATTCGCCTTGGCAGCCATCATAAAAGCGGGATTGGGTTTTCTTCCGGCGTTTCGATCCAAGGGTTTCCCCCGTATTGATGTGGTGGAAAGCGAAGGTTATTCGTGGGCCGGACCAATGCGAGGGTTGAATGAAACGCCGAAATCAAGACTCAATGGAAGAGTCGTTTACTTCAGCTCCCTCCAGAGCTTGGGGGCAGCGCAGGCGGTCACGCAGTGGGTGAGGTGGAAGACTGGGGTAGGCTGTGTGTTAGTTGTACGATCGGGACTCGATGGGAGCCAATTCCAGGATTTGTTTGGTCCTATCGTTGGTGTCAATTGCACTTACACTCCTCGACGCAGTCCTCCTTGGGACCCTTGTAATCCTCATCCTCCTCCTGGCGGGTGACGCGCTCGACGCACTCATCGTAGTGGTGCTTGTAGGGAGCGCAGACGGCGGAGTGGGCGCACTCTGATATTCATATTAGCTTCCGATTGAGAAAGCCAGTGAATTTCGTGTTTGAACTGCAATTGGCGGTTTTATACCCCAGACGCGCGGATCCTGACACATAAAGCCATTCGGTGCGAACGGTTCATACTCCACGATCGCATGACATGGGCGACGATAGGGCGCCGATAGAAGAGCAAAAAGAGAAAATAACGGCAGATTCACTCACCCTCCTCGAGCTTGGGCTTGATGTCCTCAGGCTCATCTTCCTCTTCTTCTTCTTCTTCCTCCTCCTCCTCGGCCTCAGCCTCCTCTTCCTCGGGAGCCTCCTCAGAAGATTCCTCCTCAGCGGGGGTCTCCTCAGCGGACTCACTCTCGGCGCTCTCGGTGGAGGCGGCCTCTTCCTTCTCGGCGGGCTCTTCCTGGGTGGTGGTCTCGGTCTCGGTGTCTTGAGCGGGAGCCTCAGCCTGGGCCTCGGTGAACCCGAAGGAGGAGACAACGTCAGAGAAAAAGTCGGAGAGACCCATTGCGACAGAGATCAATTGAATGATGACCGGAGGTCTTGTGTGGGGGTGGAAAAGCGGAAGGGGATGGTAATTGAGGGAGGTTGTTGGTTTTGCCCAAGAGCTGCTTCTTTCGGACTGGAAAATCGGAAAGGCCCGGCCGCTGAGAGACACCAATTGTGCTGCACGTGATTGGCCAGTGGGATCCAACGCCATTGGGGAACTCCAAGGTCGAAAGTGCAGTTTACTACGAAGTTGATATTGGATTTATTTGTGCCTGATCCAAGGATATCCAGGATATGTAATAATCTTACTATTGTTTCCTGGGAATGAAGGTTGGCGAGCATATCGTTTCTTTCATTTCTAAGTGCGTAAGCACTGCTTTCGTGTCGCTAATTGGTAATCGATGGGATAATGTACATGAGAGAATAAGAGCGAGGCCAGTTCGAATATGTGATAAAATGGCACGTTGGGATAGACTTCCGCTTCATACCAAATAGATTAGGTGGCCCGTCGCAGCCTCTCCTCCAGCTCGTTGGCTACACTCTGCGACTGAACCTCCTCGTAACAAGGAGGCGGCTCCGCAGGTTCGGTGCCGGTGTCAGATGCTCGGCTGCTTTGCGACTCTTCTGGTGTCTCGCTGGGTCTAGCGTTTTGGGTAGTATTAGGTGGAGCTTCATATGCAGGTAATTCCTCCAAATGAACTGCTGAGAGATCCACGTTTTGTTGGCCTCGAGTGCCCTCGCTCGTGTTCTCAACAGCCTGCTCGAGCCGTTCCTTGATGCGCTCAAAGTTGGTGTGAAAGTCAAAGGCTCCGCCCTCCTTGAACGTTACTTTCAAATGAATGGCAGGCAGGGATGGTGAGATACCGCCTCCGGGTACTGGTTGCACCAGAGCTGTCCATACATTCGGTCCAAAGAAGGGTGCAGATACATGGGAATCACGGACATTCAAGAGAGGGGACGAGAAGGACTGGAAGTCATTGCTTTTGGATGTGGGAAGATAGACAACCTAGCAAATGTTAGAAGTGAAATACATGGGCCTGGATGGATACCGACTCTCTGATTGGTGAGGTGGATGCAGCCGGCACTGCTTTGGATTGACAACTTTTCTGTGCCTTTGTATCCCGACGGCGGAGTCAAAGAGACACTAGTACGAGGAGGGGAGGAGTATATCAAACGCTCGTTGGGAAGACGGACGAAGCCGTCCTGGTCATCAAGCATTACCCAGCTAGGCAAGTCAGAATCAATATTTATATGGTCGTAGCTGGGGAAAAAGTCATGGGAAGCAGAGGCATACTTGAGAGACATGATGTAAGATTATTCCCGGTGCATGCGACACGGTTTATCAGCCCAACCCTCAGAGAAAGCGGAATCCTGGATTGAAAGGAGATGTGAAGATTTGAGATTAGTACAAGGATCCAAAGGCCAAGGGCAAAAAAGTTGCAATATCAAATGGAAGTGGAAAGGCGGGGCAGGCGGGGAGACCTGCAGAGAAGGTTCTACGTGTAATGGTTATATAGATGTCTATATACTTATCTACAATATCCTCTTGCATTACTGTATAAGATGTAGAAGATGTACTAGATATAGTGTACTTCACTAATTCTGTACATAAAAATATATTCTACAAGTTTAATCGTTTACTTCAATGCGCTTTTGGCTGTAGCTTCCAGGCCGATCACTTCTCAGAAGATAGCCGCATGACGCTTTGATCGCCCCAGCCTACATGAGTTGGATTAGAATACTCCGTATACTATATGGATTGTTATTGAGGTCTGTTGCAAATGTTGCACTCTGGCCTGTGCTAGAAACCTTGGAAGGGGTATAGGGATTTCACAAGATATAATATTAGCGCATGCCGGAGGTGGAATTCATTGAGAATGTAGGATATCAAGAAAGAACAGAAATAGTTCAGAGATATATAACAGGTTTTTCAAAGTCTTCGTAACTTACAAGGTCTAAGATGTCACGTTCTAGAAGCGTCCGAGTCAAAGCGCGCTAAGATCCCAAACTTCCCATTGACATTTCCAACTTCCCCCGCTCTTCTTCTACTTCTCTCATGCTCTGATACTTTGTCTGTCAAATATATTGGATAGTGCGTGGTGATCTGAGGCTCGAAATAGCTCAGTAAGTGGATCCCAAGCTCTTCCGGTTATCCGTACTCACCTTCATCTTTTCTCAAGGGACTTCATGTCGATACGATCATAACCATTTCACCACCCTTTAGCCTTCTTTCCCTAGAAATTGCCCATTGGGCTTCTACGGTACAATGGGAGACAAAGGCCAGTATATCCCACCCCTCATTGGGTGGATGTATGATTTGGTCCTTTGGACATTCTCCGTGCTCATCGACCTCTTCTTCCGCGAGGTCCACCCCCGAGGCTCATGGAAGATCCCCCGCCGCGGTCCCATCATTCTGGTGGCAGCTCCCCATGCGAACCAGGTATGCCGCTCGCTTCCCCCCCCTCACACATATGCTAATGATGAATGTTCGGTCAGTTCGTGGATTCACTGGTATTGATGCGTGTCATTCGCAGCGAAGCGCAACGTCGGATCTCATGGCTTATCGCGGACAAGTCTTTTAAACGAAAATTCATTGGGTTCCTGGCGAGGGGGATTGGGGCACTGCCCGTGGCACGTGCTATGGACAACTTGAAACCCGGGACCGGCACCATCTATCTTCCCGACCCGATCAACGAGCCAACTCTGCTGCGAGGTGTTGGAACCAACTTTGAAGGAAAAGGGTTCGAAAAGGATGGAACTATTGCTCTACCCACCATCAACGGAACGTCCCACAGTACCGCGATCGCCGAGATAAAGGGACCGGAGGAATTGGTGCTCAAAAAGGCCTTCACGCATAGGGATGCGCTGGCCCAGCTTACTGGACGGGATGACATTGACCGTGGTGGAAATTTTACGGGAGAAGCATCCAAGCAGAACCCGGATTTCAAGGGTACCAAATTCAAGGTGGCTCCGCACGTGGATCAAACCGCAGTCTATCAGGCAGTCTTCAAGAGACTGGGCACAGGGGGCTGTGTCGGTATCTTCCCGGAAGGTGGAAGCCATGATCGCACTACACTGCTTCCCTTGAAAGGTAAGCTCTTCGTGTTTAAGATACCCAAAATATTTACTAACATAATACAGCTGGTGTCGCCCTGATGGCTCTAGGCACCCTGGCTGAAAATCCGGACTGTGGTCTGAAGATTGTGCCTTGTGGCATGAACTATTTCCATGCCCACAAATTCCGCTCCCGGGCCGTTATTGAATTTGGTACCCCAATTGAAATTCCCTCCGAGTTGGTGGAGCAGTTCAAGCAGGGTGAACGACGAGAGTCTGTCGGTGCTTTGCTGGAAATCATCTACGGAGGCCTCGTCTCGGTTACTGTCACCAGTCCCGACTATGAAACTCTTATGGTAGGTTTCTTCTCATTTCCAGAGAAAATTGCTTCCGCTAATCATTCAAAGGTCATACAAGCTGCCCGTCGCCTGTACAATACCAAAGGCAAAAAGCTTCCTCTTCCTATGGTTGTGGAGCTGAATCGTCGTCTCGTGAAAGGTTATGCCCACTTCAAAGACGATCCCCGTATTGTGGATTTACGCAAGTCTATCGTAGGATATAACAAACAGCTCCGTATTCTTGGAATCCGGGATCATCAAGTGGCCTACGCCAAGTTCTCCATCTTGCAGGTGGTGGCCACGCTGATCTACCGCCTTGGGAAATTAGCACTCTTGACAATCGGAACGCTCCCCGGTTTCTTGCTGTTTACCCCCGTTTTCATCGCGACCAAGTACCTCTCAGCAAAAAAGTCCAAGGAAGCACTGGCTGCTTCTACAGTGAAACTCCAAGGCCGAGATGTCATGGCGACGTGGAAGCTTCTTATTGCCCTTGCATTTGCTCCGGCACTCTATGCCTTCTACACTGCTGCGCTCACTTATTGGACGTATTGGAACCGAGTCAATGGAATGGTTCCAGACTGGGTGCCACTATGGTCGGTAGTGATGATTGGTATGGTACTCTTCCCCACAGTCACGTTTGCGGCTCTGAGGATCGGTGAAGTGGGCATGGACATCATCAAGTCACTACGCCCGCTTGTTCTGTCTTTGAACCCATCATCGGCCAATACACTGGTAAAACTCCGAGAGAGACGCGCTGCACTCGCTCAGCAAGTGACAGACGCAATCAATACCATGGGACCTGAGCTGTTCCCCGACTTTGATGCCGCTCGGATTGTCACTGATCCATTCCGAGAAGCGAGCAATACCGATACCAAGGCTGAGCATGAATTGCCCGAGGTTAGAAGAACCAGCGCGGCAGACCATGGCGAAAGAATGCCCTCATCAGAACCCCTGCCCCGCAACGAGTCCTTCCACAACCTGGCCAATATCGGATTCTTCTCTACACGACCTCCTAGTCGTGATCGTAGCCGCAGCAGATCTGCCAGTGTCCGACCTGGGTCTCGACACGGACTCAAGCCGCTCAGCCCTCTCACCACGAAAGACCCGCTTGAGGACGTCAGCTCACGGATTCGTGATGCCATGAGGGAGCGTGGAGAGCGTCGTCGGCGTCGAAGCGAAGATGGACACTGGGATATGGCTAGCTCAGGGCCTGGAACTCCATCCAGCACCGAGGAGTCCCGAAAAGATCTTTGAGGTGTGAATTCCCTGGACCATTTTTAGTCCTTTATCATCCCGGGCATCAACCACGGTGTTTGGCGCGAAGCTGTGTACGTATTTGCCATTATATAACCATGCCAGATATCCTGTTTGTTTTATTTATGATTATGAATGTCATGAAACATCCACTTAGGGGTTGAACTAATGATGGAAGAAATCTAATACACGTACTTGAATGCATTTGGATATATCCTAAGAAAAGCAGTCGATTATTCTGAACACTAGTACTTAGTATCACATCCGCTACACAGCCTCTGTTTCTCCCTTCCACTCGGTAGGGTGTTTCGAACACCGAATGCTATGTGTGACTGTAAGAATGACTCAGCTCGCGACTGAGAACCTTGGAATGAATACTATGCTATGGTCCTAGACGGTATAAGCCCTGGAGATGGGTCGACATCATTTTGAGGTGAAAGGGGGTCAACCCCTGATTATATGGATGAATAGGGTCTAGAGTATCCGTACTCTCATTATCTTCTTATATATAGATATCGGAGTGTTTCTTCTAACGTCCCTTGGATAAATCGCCGATGATTCATTTTCGTCGCCACTTCCAAGAGCGCCAATAAGGCTAGAATCTAAAAATGCACATGAAAATGATGCAGCCTAGGTAAAATTGCATCGCCTCAAAAATTCCAAGATTCTTAAAAATTGCCCCTTATAAGACTCATACGGTCATAACCGACCACGTCGCATTTTGTAGTACAAAGCCGTCTCCGGCCGCTAACCGCCTTTTATTTTTAACTCCAAACACCTGTTCTACCCCCAACTCCTCGATTTTCCTACGGAGTTTAGGGGTTTATACCTTTTCACATATTCATCATGTCGGGCTCAATGCATTTGTCGCGTCTCCGAAATTGGTTCCTCGCCTCTCCACCTGCCGAGTACGCCATCACGAGTCTAAAGGAACTGCTGATCGGCGCAATCCAACAGGGCCCTGTCCCACAGCATGTGGCTTTCGTTATGGATGGAAACAGGCGCTTTGCAAGATCACATGGGATTGAGACAGTGGAGGGACACAACCTGGGGTTTGAAGCTCTTGCAAGAGTGAGTGCTACGTTTTGCCAGCTCGGGGTTACACGGCAGCGCCCGTATTGTGGCCATACTAACGAGTGATAGATCCTCGAAGTCTGTTACAAGAGCGGAGTGAAGGTAGTCACGATCTACGCGTTCAGCATCGAGAATTTCAAACGCTCAAAATTCGAGGTGGATGCACTCATGGAAATGGCCAAGGTCAAGTTGTCGCAGATGGCTCAACACGGAGACCTACTCGATCGATACGGAGCAAAGGTTCGCGTCCTGGGCCGTCTCGACATGCTCAAACCCGACGTCCTGGAGGCCGTTAACAAAGCTGTCGATATGACCAGCCGCAACGGAGACCGCGTCCTGAACATCTGTTTTCCTTACACCTCCCGCGACGAGATCACCTCCGCTATCCGCGAGACGGTGGAGGATTATAGCATGCCACTCGAACAGGGTCGCTCCGCCTCCCGGACCCCCTTCTCGGAATCCCATATCGCACACAATATCCGTACCCAAACACTCGGCTCGACAACACACGACTCACATAGTGATTCCGAGTCAACGTCGGGCTCTTCGGGGCAGGATGATGATGCATCTCCTCGGCACGAATCCGACCGGATCTACGGATCGATGTCTTCCTGCTCGTCTTCCACAACCCTCCACCTCGGAAACCAGCAAGACCCCAAGGGGGCTTCACCGCCGAGATCCCTGGCTGGGTCGGATAGCCCAGTCTATATCTCCCCAGAAACCATCTCCCGCCAAACTCTAAACGACCACATGTTGACCAAGGGTACTCCGCCCCTTGATATCCTGATCCGCACTTCGGGCGTCGAACGCTTGAGTGACTTCATGCTCTGGCAGACCCATGAAAACACGGAGATTGTGTTCCTCAATGTCATGTGGCCCGAGTTCGACCTGTGGCATTTCCTCCCCGTGATGCTCGGATGGCAGAGGCGGATTTCCAAGTCCCGACAGGACCCCAATGCAGAGGGGAACTTCGCCGGTGACGCAAAGTCGAGCGAGGAAAGCCCAGACGCGATGCTGTGGCGTCAAGGCGGAAAGGTCAAGGACATCTAGTAAATTGTCTATTATATACCCTGTGTCTACTTGTTTTTGTTCAGCTTCAGTTCAGCTTCAGCATCACTGGCGTCTTGCTTTTTGCGGAGTTTCTGTTGGGTACGCCCGACTTGATATCAGCATATATCTATGCACCGCCGTACACTGCATCGGTCCTCGGTAAATAAAATATCATCTACTTCCTAATCCTTCTCCTACTTGCCTGCACTGGTTGTTTGTATACATGCTCAGCTTGTCCTTTGACTATAGAAAGCCAGCTTTTTCTTACCAGGGGGGCCAAGACTCCCCTTCTTGTCCGCCAGTGTCTTTATTGATATAAACCATAGCACAACCCTGTCCTTTTCTACACATCCTTTCCTTCTCAGTGAGAAAACAATTGGCGGTAACCAACAGGCAATGAAAAACGACCTTTGGATGCCCGGCCCGGGCCCCGGGCGGTGATCCGTGCTTAGTAAACCCCCACGCCGATACCGGTTCACGTGATATTGAGTCACACTTAGAGAGACTGCGGGATGTTCTCCAGTTGAACTACCCCAATATCATCTATCATACCAATTGAATCAAAATGGTCAAGCAAATCGCCGGTTCCAAGGCCCTCCTTTTGGGTTCGGGCTTCGGTATGCCTCCCGTTTCTCCACCGAATCTCCATGCCCTAAATGCGTCATGCTGCCCCGCATCGAGCTTCTCGAGTCAATAGATGTGCTAATTCTCAATTTCTGGTAGTCACCAAGCCCACTGTTGAGGTCCTCAGCAAGGCTGATGTCGAGGTCACTGTCGGTATGTCCCATTGAACCTGTACGGGCTCCTATTGCATTGAACACAGCTGACGATGTGATAAAAGCTTGCCGTACCCTCGAGAGCGCCCAGGCCCTGGCCTCTGGCTTCAAGAACGCCAAGGCCATTTCTTTGGATGTCAACGACGATGCCGCCCTCGATGCCGCCCTGAACCAAGCTGATGTCGTGATTTCGCTTATCCCTTACACTTTCCACGCTACTGTCATCAAGTCTGCCATCCGCACTAAGGTAACTATTGTTCTATGAAGGAAGCAAGAACTTTACTAATTACTACAGACCAATGTTGTCACCACTTCTTACGTTTCCCCGGCTATGATGGAGTTGGATGAGCAGTGCCGCGAGGCTGGTATCACTGTCATGAACGAGATCGGTCTCGACCCTGGTCTCGATCACCTCTGTAAGTATCTATGCCATGGATTGAAAAGACCGATGCTTACAATTACCAGACGCTGTTAAGACTATTCACGAGGTCCACGCTGCTGGTGGCAAGGTCACCAGCTTTGTTTCCTTCTGTGGAGGGTTCGTCCGATCATTCCCATGTTCTATAGATGTATAGCTAACGAACGACAGCTTGCCCGCCCCCGAATGCTCCAACAACCCCCTGGGATACAAGGTTAGCAAAAGCCCAATTCCCACTAATTTGATAAATAGCTGACAAATGGTTCCAAGTTCTCATGGTCTAGGTTAGCTAAAGTCCAAGGCTGAGTTTTTGCTTGAATAATTGACTAACTAGCTCAGCCGTGGTGTGCTTCTTGCCCTCCGCAACGCTGCCAAGATTTACCAAGGTATGTGCATGATTCACGTATAGCAGGAAACAAAGAGTGTTAACGTGGAGTACAGATGGCAAGGTCGTGTCCATTGACGGCCCTGATCTGATGGCTACCGCTAAGCCCTTCTTCATCTACCCCGGATTTGCCTTCGTCGGCTACCCTAACCGTGACTCTGTATGAGATGTGCATTCAAAAAAACTTGAATTTCAGCCAACTAATCTTTCCAGACTCCCTTCCGCGAGCGCTACGGTATCCCCGAGGCCCAGACCGTCATTCGCGGTACTCTTCGCTACCAGGGCTTCCCCGAGATGATCAAGGTCCTTGTTGACATTGGTTTCCTCAATGACGCACCCAACAGCGTCTTCGATAAGGCCACTTCATGGAAGGAGGCCACCAAGGCCGTCCTCGGCGCTACCTCCTCCTCCGAGAAGGATCTGCAGGAGGCCATCGCATCCAAGACTAAGTTCCCCAACAGCGACGAGCGTGATCGTCTCCTCTCTGGCCTGCGCTGGATCGGTCTCTTCTCCGACGAGCAGACCATCCCCCGCGGAAACGCCCTCGACACCCTCTGCGCTACCCTCGAGCAGAAGATGCAGTACGGTCCCGATGAGCGTGACCTTGTTATGCTCCAGCACAAGTTCGAGATCGAGAACAAGGATGGCTCCAAGGAGACCCGTACCTCCACCCTGTGCGAGTACGGTAACTCCGTCAGCTCCGCCATGGCCCGCACCGTTGGTATTCCTTGCGGTGTTGCTGTTAAGCAGGTTCTCGACGGTACTATCAGCAAGACTGTACGTTTACCCATAATCCCTTTGCTCTCAAGTTTTCTATACTAACTTCATTATAGGGTGTTCTCGCTCCCGTGACCTGGGACATCTGTGAGCCTCTCATCAAGACCCTGAAGGAGGACTACGGCATGGAGCTCATTGAGCGCACTCTGTAAGGGTGTAGTCGGATCTTAAAATTGAATAGATATTCGGCTAGTAAAAAATATAGGAATGACATAGACGATGAATGAAATACCAGTGTGCATTGCTACTTTATATTCTTCCCTAAGGCTGGCTATCCAGGCATGGGCTTCTATGATAATCAAGATCTTGCCTGAACTTGTTATTTGGTTATTTTTTTTGCAGGGGGTGCTTAGTCCACAATGCCGTGGAGGACAGAGGTGAGACCAAGAGCAATTTACGCGGGGCAGGCGTATCGAGAATTGAGACAAAAGCGCGAAAGCCTTCGATCTCTTAGTAGCTTTCTTTAGAAGCGGCGAAGCACAGTGCTTCGTTTCTCCATTTCTCTCGGTATCAGGGATAGCAGAAAGATGCCTTGAACTGCTCTTCCTAAGAAGACCCGTTCACTGCAGAAATCAATCTCGGAGTCGGCACCTTGGGATTTCCAATATGTTCGAAGGCTGGAGGTTACTATGAGGGCAGACAGAGCCCGGCAAGAGGGTAACGAAGATGCCATCTATCAAAGAGTCCAAGTAGATCAAAACATAAACTTATCTTCATTATCATAGACATAAGACCATCCCTCTTATCATAGCATCATTGTGCCCAGACCCAACTCACAACTGCAGGGCCACACGGGTGGAAAAGAAAAAAAAAAGACACGAATTAAAAAGAAGGCAAATAGTCTAGTGCTTGCGCTTTTGCAATCTTTTATTTGTGGCCAATTCATGGAGAAAAAGAGGAAGAAGTCTTCGGACGAATGCATTGTTTTGTGTGTTTTTCATGCCACCGGTGAGAGAGGGAGCCGATCAGAGAATAGTGCCAAACCTACACCAAGGAGAATAACGAGTATGATTAGTAACTGATTCCAGTATCGCGAGATTGAGGAAGGCTGAGATCTGTAGACAGAGGGCGGATTGGCAAAGCAGTCCAGGAAAAAGCAGGGGGTACACCAAAGAGATGAAGGTGTAGACAAGACAAATGAGAGGCAGGGGACAGAAGATAATAATAAGAAAAGGATGGGGACATACCCGAAAGTCTGCTTAATGCTGCGAACATAGTACATGTCCCAGTTCTGCTTGGTGACATCCTCCTGGCCAAGAGGAACGCCAGACCAAGAGACACGCATCTGAGTAACACCGTCGATATCATTCTGATCGAAGTTGATCTCCTGCGTGCTGAAATGACCCTCAGGCCACTGAGCAAGACGCCACTTCTGGACAATCTGCTTGGGCTCGCTGAGAGTGATGAACTCGCCAGTCACGTTGCCGTCGAAGATAGCGAACTTGCCGCCGACCTTAGCGCCCTCGAACTGGCGCGGCGCGCCGCGCGTGAACGCCGTGAGACGCTGTGGGTCCGTGAAGGTGCTGTAGAGCTCAGCGGCTGTGGTGCGGAACTCGTCCGAGGCCGTCACGGTGGTTGTGTTGACAACGGCATTACCGGTCTTCGTGGTGGTAGTGGTGGTCTTCTTGGCTGAGCTATCGACCTTGGTTTGTGGGTGGACGGTGGCCTTGGAGAAGCCGCTGGATGGGTTGACGCCGGGGGCGTGCTGGAGGTCCTTTCCGTGCTCGGAGATCAAGGCGGGGGCGAGGCTGGACAGGGCCTTGCGGAGTTCGGCGACGAGCTTTGTGCGCACCAGGTCCTTGACGGGTTGCTTGGAGTTGGAGTCGGCGTGGTTCTCAATCTCGAACTGTAGGGGGATTACATGATTAGTATTACAAACCATCTTGGCGATGGGGATGGGTCAAGTGAACATACGACGTACTCATCTTCCTCGGTGTCGTGGGCTACCTCGGGAATGCTGATGGTGCCGCTGACATCCTCATCGTCCTTGGTCTTACCTATGGAAGCGTCTCAGCTGCCAGGTCCACAAAAGAAAGAGAGAAAAAAAGACAAGATAGAAATAAACTGAATTGATATTGGACTACAAACCTGAGTATTCTAGCGAGACCTTGACATCGAACAGGGTGATGACCTTGCCCTTGCGCTGGCTGACATCTACGTCGCCATCCATGGACAACAGCTTGTCTACTTTGGCTGACACGCCACCTTCCTCGACACTGATGCCGACCAGGTTCTTTTGCAAGTACTCCTTGGCCCAGCCAGAGGCATCCTTGTTGACCCAGTGCCAGTTGTTGGGATTGTGAAGGACCATGATGAATGTTGACTAGAGAAATGAAAGAAAATTCTGATTTGAGTTTGGAAAGTGGGTTTCCTGTCTTTTTTTTTTTAAAGAGATCTTCTGGGGGGAAAAGTGCTAAAAGTTCTGGATATTCCTGTTAGCCATGGTTCTCTCTCGTAATGGACGAAAATTGCATGTGAAGGAAAGGCCAATGTCAGGTCTCGGGGCGTAATCCCGGACTTGTTAAGCGTTGTCCGCAAGTAGATGGAGAATCATCTCTCAGACTGGTGCCAGCTGAAGTCTCTTCATATAGGGCCAATTGAGTGGGGAGGTCGGGGACATAAAAATCCCACAACCATTTTTGCACCCAAGGGGAATGGAGTGGAAGCAAAGACAATTGACACTTACAGTTGTAATCAAGTCCAAAATATAAGTGACAAGAATATTAAGGACTGAGGTGAAATAAAACAGAGGAAAGTCGAGGGGAAAGAGAGCTATTTGAAGCGCCGCGACGGAAGACTCTAGAAGGTGCACGTGACTGTGGATAGCACTAGCGATATCTCAGTATATCATGAGGTCATTCTTCATCTTCACATTTCCTCTTCACGTTGGGCAATATTGGAATAGTTTGGTTGAAACATATGTAAATTCAACCACATCCCTAAAGGAAATCAAAAACTCAAGTGCCACAGGCACTGCCTTGCATCACTCGATCTATAACGAACGAATGGGGATATCACGCTGCCAAGTACATAAAAAGAATTCACACAAAAGCCACACATCTATTCCTCCAATTGTTGCAATTGCTCCCAGCCATCTTCACTCATAAGCTGTTCCTTAACTCGTTCTCTCAACTCCTCAATCTGGCTCCCCAGCGCCTCAGTCCACTGACCCTCAACGGTAGCAACCTTATCCTTCAGATCCGTCGTAAGGGCCAGCTCTTCATCCGCACGCGTCTCCTGCATTTCACGACGGACATCCTCTTCCGATTCTCCCCGCTTAATACGCTGCGCTTCCACAAGCTTCTGGCTAGCCCGCATGACAGCAGACCGCACCTCATGCAAGAGACATAGTAGATTCGTCTGCGACTCAATGAACTGATAGCTCGATTTCTCTGCATGTGACAGCAGTGTATACAAATACTGCAATGGATGCTCATGGTAGCTCGGGTTTTCCTCGTATTCGTCCGCGGGGATCTGCACCTGGAAGCCGCGCAGGTCCTCCGGCGCCTGCTGCACAAGAGCCAGGAGAGACGGGGCGATATCCCAGAATGCGGAGAGCTGCACCTCCACGCCTCTCATGACGTTCTGTTCGATGACGTCCAGGAAGGTCTCGAGCCGGGTTAGTGCCTCGTTTTCGTATTGCACGCGTCGGTCTAGTGCGTCCTGGGTGAAGAATGTTTGCGTCTCCCGCAGCTTGTCTTCATTTTTGGTCTGCTTGTAGGGAAGTAAGGCGACGGCTTTGTATTTGTCATCGCGGTCGCTGATCAGGTCGAATGACTCGCGGTGGAGCTGCTCGCGGGCTTCAAAGAGCCATTTTAGTTGCGTCAATTTCTCTAGGAGCTCGGGCTTCTCGTCGCCTTCTTCCTGGGTTTGATCGGGTGTCCCGCTCTGTGCATCGTCCGAGAGCATACTGCTCAGCTGGTCAATGCAGGCTGTTGCTCTGGCAATTCTGTCGACGAGAATAGCGTGCATTGGCTTGAGCACTGTTTCTTGGTACGTGTCTAGCTGGCGTTTAACCATTGACCTTTCTCGCTCGTTCTCCGCGGCAATCATCGCTGCCTCTGCCTCTGCTGCTTCCGCAAAGGTCAGACTGCCTTCTTGAATCTGGCTTTGGATGTTTGCCCTGAAGTGGCGATGGCCCTCGTCGACTTGTTCCTGGTGCTCTTGAAGCATTCGCTCCACGTCAGCCTTATATCGATGTCTGGTGGTTTTGATCTCCGCGAGGTCAGTAATTGACCGGACCGTGGTTCGGTGGGTAACCAAATCAGGGTGGCTGTTGTTCACAGCAGGATGGTGGCGGGGATAAGGCGGAGGTAGGGTGATCAACCGCGAGATATCTAAATTACGGCTTTCGTAACGATACCCAGTTCCGGTGGAATTTGCAGGAGACCCTTCATGCCAGCCGACCTTCTCAGGTGGGTACTCATCAGAGCCATATTCCGTCCCCCCATAGTTCATGCGCACATCCTTTGGTTGAGAAGGCGTCAACTCCTGGTCCCCGTGCATCGCCTCCCGAGGCAATCCCATGTACTTCGATTCCCGCTTAGACCGCTGGACTCTTCTCTCGGCCCCCTCGCCAGTAGAACCAGTTGCCGACTCCCACCAGCGACTTGGTGCGCGGCCTCGAGAGCTCTCATCATTGCTCATGTTGAGGCTGGCAATCGGTGATAGGCAAGGCTGGTAGTTATTCCACCACGCAGACTCCGGTCGACCTGCTCGATTTTGTGGGATGTCTAGTTTTGGCTGGGGCTTAGGCTTTGGTGGTTGTTTGGCCGGTAGCTCGAAAAGATTGCGGCGCACATCGTCTACTTGGAAAGATTCCCAGGCCTTAGAGTACCGCTGGCGCCGGATCTGAGATTCGGCAAGCAGGTAGTCCGCAAATATCTTGAGTGCTTCCGCATCATCCTCGGCACTTGCTTCTTTATCAATGAAGGTCTTATGTCTTTGAATCGCATCCTGTAGGAAAGCAGGATCCTGTCGAAGGATAGATTCCATTGACACCTGCGCCGTTTGGTGTCCCGGTGTTCGGCGCGGCGACAAGGGTTTCATAGTCGTCACGGCATCGTTCGGCATGTGAAGAATGTGAGAGATAGGACGGTCTTCCGCTCCTCGGGATGGTGCACGGGAGCGTGAGCGTGGTCGAACTTCTTTTGCTGAGTTGAGAGGCGGAGTTGGTAGCGCTTTTGGTGGTACTGCTTGGCTGGCTTCTTTGGGATGTGCTGAGGAGCCCACTCCATTAGGGTTTGGTGAAAATGGAGGCGTATTTGCAAATGTAGCCGTGGGACCAGCAGAGCTGGGTTGTTGTCTGGGAGTCCCATAGGGTGACTTTTCTGGAAGAAGAGCGCTGGAAGATGCTCGAGGCCGTGAGGCAATATTCTGTGCTTCCGATTTAATGCTGCGAGTACTGCGAGGGGTCTGATCGTACTTTCCCGAGGTGGGATGCCGATCTTGAGTTGGGCTATCGGTCTGGGTTGGTAGAATCAGGTTCGACGGTTTGACCTGCTCGAGGGCATCGGCCCAAGGATTACCATTCGACGATATCGCACTTGGGGTTTCAAAGACCTGACTTTGCCGGTTACGTCGTTCAATTCGCCTCTCACGGATGCCCTTGGCACTGGGATCGCGGACTGCTGAGCTGCGGAAAAGACCGCCACTACCAGGAGTTCTTTGATTAGATGAATCATGGGGATCTTCATTCGTCGGCTCTGTTGCCTTGGCCGCTTTTGCCGTGTCAACATATAAACCCTCCGTTGGTCGACTGTTCAAATATCCTTCGTCTATCCAGTCAGCTGGTGTAGGCGGGATGCTTCCCAGTCCTGTCCCTAGCACAGGAGGTCCCCTCCTCGTCGTCCTATTCGAGCTATGGGTCGTTCTCAGAGATGATTCGGACGAGCCACTCACGCTGACGGACCTTGCAGCAGGAGGAGGCCCTGGAGGTGGCGGCGGAAGTGGCATTCCGGGCTCCCAGTTACTATTTGACGGGGATCGATTTCGGGAATGGCTCGCTGCCCTCGATGACCCCGCACTGCTTACCACAGCCCCAGCAGATGCGGCTCTGCGAGATCCAGGGGGTCGGGATGGTGTGTCGAAGTGAGCAGCTGCAGACATATGCTCGTTAAAGGCGGACGAGGCCTGACCCTGGTCATATTGTGCCAGCCGAGGCCTGTGGCTTGCTGCGGTATGATATTGCGTAGCTTGGTCATTATAAGACATGCCATGGTACTCCACTCGACTTTGGGAGACAGATCTACTTGCTGGATGTCCCTGCGGGGGCGGTGGAGGAGGTAGCGACTGGCACTGAGAGTCAGACGCGTAGGCCATAGATAGCGGCCTTGGCCGATTTGAACGTCTTTGATACTGAGCAGGCATATCAAAGCCACCCTCCCTGTTATCAGGCGGAGAAGGTGTCCCAGCAAAGTTAGGGTTTGCCTGACCGGTAAAGTCCTGGGGCATTTGATTTTGGTTGGGAGGTGAGTATGGCGGAGGAGGTGGAGACAACGATACATCTACACAAGGATCAATATCGATTCAAAGCGAATTTTGGGATATCACTAGTGTAGAGAGGCACAAGCTATGATCAAGACTCACCCGGATTATTTCTTTGCGGCGTCACACGATGCATAGTACCCGGGGGAAGATACGGGGCCTGCGCCTGGGGCCTGCCCGGAGGCCCCCAGTCCTGGGGATTATAAGGAACATTGTATGCGTTTCTGGACGCCATCGAAGATGATGAAACGGATCTGCCGTTAATAGGAGATGGAACAGCAGGCGAAAGACCGTGAGTAAACGGGCTCGACAGTGAGGTCGATGATAAAGGTGTCGGTGTTAATCCAAGACCAGCTCCAAGACCCTGGTATTGAGGACCGCTCAGTGCTGTTGTCAACAATGGCGGCTGTACCGCATGTTCTCGGCGACCTGGTGATAGCTGATTGCTGGGACTCGCAGATGTCGATGACCAGCCTGGGTAATGGTTCAACGGCTGTTCGACGCCTGCATGATTTGAACTCAACCAGCTAGAGAGAGGATCAGTATGTAGAAATTCCCGAGGAGGATCAGATGGGTCACACCTATTCATATTGGGCTGTGCATCCATTTAGGAGGCCCGATCGGAAGCCATGGCCGCCTGGAATGAAAGAGGATAACCCAACAGAACAGAGAAAAAGCTATTGGCTCGAAAGAGGCGAGACGCTAATTTTTCTATCAACTGCGGAGGGCAAGCTGGGAGGGGAATAGCCCCATAGTTGCAGAGCCGGTAACAAGAAATCTATATTTGGAACAGAAAGAGAAGAATTCCCAAGAACAAATGAGCCAGGCCGTAGCGGGGATTGTTATGCACCTTGGGAGATTCTCGTCACATTCGAGGTCCAAGCTCGGCGCGTATCGCTCTCTGTGAGAGGTCCAACATCCTTGTCTTCCCTTGTCCCCCATAATAAACCAGGCCAGAACATAGGGGATTTTCCTAGTAGAGCAGGGTATCTACAAGGTACAAAGTACTCCGTACAGATCTTCTACATTTAAAAGGATCAGATTTCTTTTTTTCCAGGATTCTTATTGGTATTTGCCAGCATAAACTCCTAACTACTGCTTCCTTAAGGAATTATATGCCCACGTGTCTCACCCCGAAGGAAGACCGTCGGATCCGATAAACTGTTCGATATTAGTATCAAGACTAACAAGCGATGGCAAGCAATATGTGATAGAAGGAAATTTCAGATTAAAGCCTTGTCACAGGCGGTGGTCGTCAATTTTAAATCCTTACGTTGACCGTCGTGATAAATTGAAGTGAATCATCATAAAAGGAGAGACAAGAAAGGAGTTGTCACACTTACGGAAAGCAGAGATAATGCAGATCGCCCATTGCGCCTGCAAAATTAGTTCGCTCAACGGTTTCTATTCAAGATCCGTCAGCGTCGAGTACTGAATGGACATTGCAGCAATGTGTGAGACTGAATTGATCAGGCATGACAGTTTATCGTCTTCGCCAGCAAGCTGACTTGGACATATGCTTGTCTTTTTGTGTCGTTTCATCATGTAAGGTCGGAAAGGGAAAGGAGACAAGGTGTACATACACCTACAGTCAAGACAAGAAAGTTCTTGGAGCTTGAAAGTTCTTGGAAAATATCTGTGTCTTCAAAAAATCATTAGCACCAGCCAACGAAATTTGATGAGTGAAATTATGAGTAGGAGTGAATGTCAGAAAGGCATGAATGGTTATTAAAAAGATTGTGTCAGCATCGAAAACTCGAATCAGACTCGTCATCTAAAGGGTATCATCATAAAAGGTAGGGCAGAACAAAGAAAAAATCACTCAATCGCATACCTTCTACAGTTACAGTTGGGTCTCAAGCGGGCATAATCATAAAGGCTTCTATTCAAAAACGGTTAGTGACTGTGTCACACAACCATCTCACGAGTTGATGAATATATGGTATGTCTCAGTGGGCGAGGTTTTCTAGGCCTGCCGCAAAAAGGCATCTCCAATCATGACCGGACATTTTTTGTAAACGCCGTCGGAGCCCAGTGCCGTTTCATCTTCGGACAGTGAATATTGCAGGAAAGGTGCTTGAGGCTTACCATTTGAGCCAGCGCAGTAACCTATTGGTCTTCGAAACGTTAGTTCGTGCTCTGAAAAGAATTTTCATGCAAATTTTGTGGTAGGGTTAAAATCAGAAATAGCCATTTGTATCATCACCGACCCGAAGGTCTGAGACGGTAATTTCCAGCGTATTTTCATACACATCGCGTTCATCATGATAGAGGGGAAAGGTTGAGATTGAAATAGGACAAGAATAACTCACCATCTGCGCTTTGGTGTGCATTGATATCTGCAAAGACTAAGACGTGGGTATTACCATCATTTCTGGAAAGGCAAGTTAGCTCAGTCCAACTCAAGATTTTGTGTGATAATTCAAAGTGATGAGGTGAGATCAGCCTGACGTGCAATAACATAAGTTTCATTCCCCTTGAGGTCAAAGACTCTAGTTTGTTTGGTTAAGGGTATCATCATGTTGGGTGTGGTTGTGTTGGGGGGAAGGAGTTGACAAGATCTTACCATCATTGCAGATCCTGCAGAGCGACTGTTGGTTAGTGGAAAGACATATTGTGTCAAATTATTGTAGTTGGCTCAAGGCCAGAGATCAATCGACCTCAGTCTCCGTTTGCATTGGAAGCATCAACCATGCTGAAGATGGGAGTAGGATGATAAAAGGGAAAAGAGTGAAAGCAGAAATTTGTACTTTTTTCAAGCTCTGACGGCACGGAATCACCTTCAGCCGGAGCTAGCCTTTGTTGGGACTAGCCCGTCATAGGCGAGTTCTGCTTACGTCAAGTACCTCCAACGGCCCGCGTCCCGAGGTGACCTGGGCATTGAATGTATACTGCAGATGTACATACAGAGTACTGCAATATGGAACACAGAGAAGGAAAGTCAGAACCTAATCATGAAATTATTTCAATTTATTGTTCTACACCCCACGAGCACAATACTCATCTATATCTATATATGAGATCGCTTCTTTTCGCGAGCCCAAAATTGGCATAGAACAGCTAACATAGCTAGCATGCACACATCGAGGGCAATAGTCCAGTTATATCCAATAAGATACCTCGGAGCATCAACAGTCTTCCACACGCTAAATGAAAAAGAAGTAGTCAGTATGAGATCCAGCATCAATAGATCGCACCAACACTCACAAAAGTGGAATCCAAGCCCCAAAGGTGTTGCCAATGGTATTCATTGCACTGATGACAAGAGCACGCTCCTCAGCACTATGAGCACAAATCTCATTTGCCCAGGCATAAATAATAGCCGCAATGCCGTTCGCGGTGCCAGACAGGAAGAACGCAAAAAACTTCAGTCCGACAGGGACATTCCAAATAGCGAGCACGATGCAAGCAAAGATATTCAGCGCAGCAGTGGCAGCAATCAAGCTAGCCTTCGCATCGTACAAATCAGATAAAACTCCACAGATCACAGAGGCTACAATGGTAACCGCCGGCAAGACTGTCGTGATTGTATTAATGCTCTCAACTGAATATCCCTCCTCCTTAAGCCAGATCGGTAGGCCGCTGTTCGAGGATACGCCGTCTGCCTGTGAGAAAAAGAAGGCAAATGCAACGAGAACCCAAAGTCGCCAGCCTTTCAAGATCTGGAGAATCCTGGACTTGGTGAAAGGTTGGCGGGCTTCGCGGTTCTCGGATGCCATGCGCTCTTGTGCCAGACGGATCTCATCAGCACTGAGGAAGCGCGAGTTACACTTGTCCGGTGTGCTGGGGAGAATGCATAGGCCTAAGAAGGCGATTGGGATTGTGCATGCAAAGCCTAATATCCTTAGCATGTGTCTCTGTTTTTCTTTTCTGTATAACACTCGGGATACACTCACAAATGATGTACAGCCATCTCCACCCTTCGACCCCATACCGACCATCAAGCGTGGCATGAGCTCCCGCTTGAATGTACCCCGAGCTCATGCTGCCGACCTGAGAGGCAATGAAGAAGATTGCGCCTCGACGGGACAATTCTGAGCGCTTGTACCAGCTGCCCAAGTACCACTGCACAGCAGGGAAGAAAAAGCCGCCGAGGGCACCGACAAAGAACCGGAGAGCGTAGAGCTGGGTGACATTGCTGGCCTTGTATTGCGCCAGCGTGAAGACACCCCAGAGTAGATCGGCGGCAGGCAGGAAATAATTGACGGGGCAGCGAGTCATCTATGAAAGCCAATCAGCAAATCAGGATATCCATAGAATCGATTATAAACGACCACGAACCAACAATGTCAGAGGAATCTGCATAGTAATAAAGCCAACCCTATACCAACATTAAAATCAGGATCGATCTTCAATTACCACTCGCAAGGCACCATCACCACCTATCAAATCGACATACATGTAGACGGTCTGCAGATAGTTCAATTGATTCCCAAACAGCTTCAAATCCTCCTTCATACCAGACACATAGGCTGTGCTTGTAGCCGAGGAATCCAAGACCTTGGCCCAGTGCGCCAGGAAGACGAAGACGATGATCAATCCGTCGAGCTTGAGGATCAGCCGCCGCTCGGCCGGGGTATCTGTTGGCGCAAACCACTCATACCATTTCTGACGTATGGACTCAGATCCAGCCGCGTTGTCTGGTTTTCTGGGGTTTTCCTCGGCTTCTATTGTCTGCGGAGCTTTCTCAATGGGTAGAGAAGACATGGTTGGATACCCACTTCCAGGGCTATGTATCTCCTAACAACAATACTAGCCTTTTGAGTGTGGGGATTTGGCACCGATTGACAGATTTCTTCATCTCTTAATTTTTTTGGAAGCTCCGAAGTATTATAGGGCTGAGTTGGAGCACGCCATCGGCCACTCAAATTAACGAATCTGACGCTATCGCCAAAACTGCATCAAGCAATTGCCAAGCCCAATTCTGATTCGCTGGGGGCCTTGGGCTCCGGAATAGTTACAGAGATATAGTTCCAACCCTGAAGAAATGCCGGTGCTGCAGGGTCTATAGAATTAATGCAGACTGTATGAACTACAGACATTAGCTACATTCTTTGTGGATTCTGGCGGTGTTCCCATCCACTATGTGCACTATAGGGATATGTACACGGAGTAGGTAGCAGTACAGAACTGTATAAATTTATGATCTTCTTTTATTTCTAATCCCCGACTTATGCGGGTATAAGTATCGTAAAGCGCTGAAAACACAACTGCAACGAGGCAGAGGTCGGAAGACCAAAACGTAAACTCCAACTAGCTAATCGTCATATCCAAGAATGAAGTAGATGAATAGATCATGTTAGGTGGGAGTGTGCCGGAAACCAGCACTAAAAAAAAGAACCTCTCAGCGAGACGCTCATTTCTTGTACTTGTTGTACATAGCAATGATCTTCTCTACCTCCTCCTTCGAGCCAAGGAAGACACCACTCTTATCGTGAATACTCTCAGGGACAACCTCCATCAATCGCTCCATGCGCGAGTTGACAGCAAGGCCGCCTGCATTCTCGAAAACCATGGCCATAGGCGCACACTCGTACAGGATACGCAGCTTACCCTTGGGGCTCTTTGAGTCGGCCGGGTAGGCGAAGATACCACCGTACAACAGAGTACGGTAAGCATCGGCAACCATGCTACCAATGTAACGGGCGCTATAGGGTTTGCCACCGTTTTCGGGATACTTGAGGCTGTGGAAGTAGGCGTTGCACCACTCGTCCCAGTACTGGCTGTTGCCCTCATTGACGGAGTAGATGGCGCGCGAAGGGGGCAGTTTCATGTTGGGGTGGGTGAGGATGAACTCGCCCAGCGAGTTCTCAAGTGTGAAACCGTTGACGCCGCCACCGCGCATCGTGATCACCAACTGCGCTGAGGCGCCGTACATGGTGAAGCCGGACGCCACTAGGCTGGTACCCGGGTGAAGCAGGTCCTCTGGGCCGACTGTCTTGTTGGGTCCCAGAACCTCGTCAGGGAGCTGGAAGATACCGAAGATGGTGCCGACAGACACACCGGCGTCCAGGTTGGAGGAACCGTCGATAGGATCACAGACGACGGCATAACGAGCATTGGGGTGCTCGTCGAACCGGATCACCTCCTCTTCTTCTTCTGAGACGACAATGCGGCATTTGCCGGAGCCGCGCATCGCGGAGATGAAGATGTCATTGCCAATCACATCCAGCTTCTTCTGGTCATCACCGGTTATGTTTGAGGAACCAGCCAGTCCGGTAAGGTTGATCAAGGAGGCACGACGGATGTAGTAGGCAATTGACTTGAAAGAGAACTGTAAGGCATGGCACAAGAGAGTGAAGTCACCCGAGGCTTCGGGGTGCTTGATCTGTTCTTCTGTGAAGAAGCGGGAAAGTGTGACGATATCAGTATTGATGTTCTCCGCTCCGACTGGGGGTGCTGAGGCCATTTTGAGGTATTGGAAGGTATTGAAAAGATTAAATTATTCAATTGAGTTTCAAAAGCGTTAAGTAGTAAAAGTATGTAGAAAAGAAAAATGTAATTCAACGTCAAGAGGAGGATCAAACCGGGTAGAAGTAGAGAAGTGACCTCAGAGAGCTTCCCGGCTTTCGTTTTCGTCATTTGCCCCGCGTGACCTTCCCCCTGCCCGGTTTCCCCCCCTTGCCGGAAATCCCCGTTTCTTAACTATAGACATTTCCTAGCAAAAGTCTTCGATTCTTGTTGATCGCTGCATGAAATTCGACCTTTGAATGATAAGCTCCTATACGCTTTCTCATTAGCTATTCCTCCATACCAATATGTTCAATCTCATCGAAGATGCGCTGTTCAAGGGTCTAGATCCTTCCGATCTGTCCCTTGCCCGGCCTCGGGATCAGCAACGGAAGAATAAATTCCCTATACCCCACTCACAGTCATGCGCACTTGAAAAGTTCCTGGGCTTTAGGTAATGCCATTGGTGTAGCTAATGAAAAGGGACCGTCTACGCTATGAATGATAGTTCGGTGTGGATATGTATAGGGATCTACAATGGAGCAATAACAGGGATCGGTATAATGTAGATGATGTATAAGTCTGGACCCTGTACGTTACAAAAGGGAAAGAAGTGGGACACTCCCACTGTGAAACAAGAAATCGGACTAGTCCACAGGATCCTCCTCCAACAGGGTCTTGAAGCTGAAAGGTAGGAAAGGAATACCCTCACCGACGAAATGTTTGCTCATCGCCTCAACCCAGTGAAGACGAAGCGAGTGCAACATGGCACTGGTACCTTCCATCACACACAGAATGCAAATAGTCAGTACAAACCAGAGATAGAAGCTGACAACAATCATGATAACACGGGTCACGGGGTTCTCCTGCTCAAAGGCACTACCAATAGTCATGGTCCAGAGAACGATCGAGAGTTGCTGGTGAGCAAGTGACAGAGCCCACAGACGAAGGTAAGAGGCCGTATGAGAGATACAGTTGAGACAGAATTCGATGGTGTGGATGACTTGGTGGATCATGATGTCGCCGAAGTCGAACTCCTCGTGTTCTTCGGCGTCATTGATATCCTGGGAAAGCATGGCCACGCCTTCTCCGTCGCTAGCCATACTGTCACGGCCCATCGCGCCGTCCATATCACCATCGGCGTCAAGGGCACTTACCCGGGAGTTCTCGCCGAGGCCGCGGTAACCCAGGGCACGAGCACGGTTGTGCTCATAGCGGAGCCAGAATGGCTTGAGGAAGAGCATGATAGGTACCTGGGCGACAGCGACGAGGAGCAGGAGAACCTGAACCAAGCTCTGGCCAGGATAGAGCTGTTCTTCTACCGTACCAGGGCTCAGGAACATGAAAATGAGCATGTTGAGGAGGCCGGGAGGGTTCACTCCCTTCTCCTGCCAGTTCACAGACCACTTGTAGAGTATAGTGAGGACAAGATAACCAAAGATTGACTGGAAGAAGAGCAATCCAGGAACAAAGTTGCCCCAAATGTCAACCTTAGACTTGAAGTGCCGTCCATTGACGTACTGCAAGCAAAGAGCATAGGTCATGTGGCACCATCCAAGGAGAACACTCATCTTCATCTTCATACTGTTCGAAAAGAGCAAGGAATTGTCTGCCTCGTGCCAGTTCCAGTCCAGACCAATGGGATAACGATATCCTTCTTTCAATGTCGCCTCGACCATTTTGTTGGGCTCGATGTTCTCGGGCCATTGCCACTGACTGGGGAAGATGGTGAAAGATTTGGAGAAGATATCGTTGTAAATAAAACCGGTGTAGATCGAGAACAGACCCATCATCAACATGATGTATCGTCCATAGAATGCCATGTACGTCAGTTCATCCAGTTTAGTCCGCGCCAGCTTCTTTTCCCAGAAAATCATAGCAGAAGCGGCCAAGGTCATAAGTGCACCGTGACCACAATCACCAAACATGACTGCGAACAAGAAGGGGAAAGTAACGACCGTGTACAGACCAGGGTTGACTTCCGAATACTTAGGGATACCGTAGGCATTCACGATTGTTTGGAATCCTTCGGTGAACTTGTTCGTCCTGACAAATGTTGGGGGGGTCTTGTTGGTTCGGATCTGATTGACAATTGTAGGAACAGTGAGGCCCGCGCGGTCATTCACGTCTTGAAGGGTTGACTTGATCAAAGCAAGAGAGTTCGTCGGACACCACGCCTCGGCGATTAGGGTCTTCCGCGCTTGATCGTATGAGAATTTGTTCAAGGTATCGTAAACAGCCTTCTCCTTCTTGACAATGATCATCCACGCGGCGAGCGAGCGAGCAATCTGCGAGAGCTCTGCGTCAAGGGTGTTCTTGGTGTTACGGAGCACATTGCCAACGTCGCCGAGACGGGTGTTCACTTCGTGAATCTGGTCTCTTCTCAATTCGCTATTCTCATCAACACCATACAAGGATGCGTTGAGCGACTCCGAAATCTTTCGAATCTTAGCAAGGATGTTCTTGCCGTGAGCGAAGATGACGAAAACATTCTTGTGGATTTCCTCGTTGGTCATCGGGTCGATGATGGGCTCCGGGATCTCAGACTGGTTCATGTAAAGGTTTCCACGCAGTGTGCGCCATAGAATACGCTCAAAGGCACCAATGCGATCCCGGGGGATAACACCAGCAACGAATCCAATGTTCATTTCCGAGAAGCTCTGTTGACCCTGAGTGTCTCCATTTTGACGAGGGGCGTGGTGCTCAACATCGCGGAGCAAGGGAGCTTCATCATTGTCCAAGGACTGACGAATGTCATCTGTTTGTGTATGGGCCTATTATGGTTAGCTTCGTCTATCAACAGCAGTATGCTCGAAGCCACCTACCCGATCGAAGAATCCACCGGCCTCTCTGAGTACCCATCGCCATTCGCTCAGCTCGATTTCGCGTTTCTTCAAAGTCTCATAGCTATCGTTTAAAGAGATAATGCGCTGTTCAAGGCTCTCGCTACGATCGGCCAACTCATCGATCTCTGACGCTAAAGGGGCAGCCAAAGTATCAGAGAAATCCGAGGAAGACCTCATGGGGATTGCGGCCTTTTCCATCTGTTGGTGGAAGTAGCGGAGCTGTCTTTCGACATTGTCTAGGCGACGGATTTCTTTTGTAAAGGTTCTTTGGAAAGCGTTTGTGTCCGGGTTGAGCTAGCAGAGGTCAGCGGGAGCATCGAAGCAAAGCGTTCTTCGTCACCTACGTCTCGGAACTGAACCTGACCAACTTCACCCAAAGCGCTAACAACCTCTCTTCCGATTTCGTTGGCAATGTAGAGCTGGGTCAAGCTCATATCCGCCGAGCGGAAGAAGGTGTCCCGCGGAGCCATGGTGTAAGGAGGCTACCAGGAGCCGTGTCTTTTGGTAGGAAGACAGGAAAGTGTAGAAAGCTAAAGAGCGACAGTAAATAGATAGATTCAATGAAAGGCACAGATCCTTGGCTCTGTTGTTGCAGATAGTCCGGGCTCTACTTAGACTTGTTCTCGGGTGGCTTTGTCAAGCTGGCTGCATCTAGTCATGTGACTTGGATTACACGTGATGTCATACGGCGACTAACACCTAAATAACTAATGATGCTTTCACCCAATCCCCATTGCAGTTCCACCAAGACAGACGAAATGATATGATCACCGCCCGCCCTCCTTTCTATCTACAGCCCTCTGTATTCCAGGGTTCTGGATCAGAAGGGGGTCTATCATAATCGCCTACCGGGGAATGGGCGCAGCCTTGGTCAATTCCTCAACAGATCTTAGTTAAGGAACAAGTATACCATCACATGCTACAAAAAATGAGTTTCTATGTGTTATCAGGGCATATATTCTCTGCTAGAATGCCATGAAAATAGTCCCATGGTTTCTAACTATATATATATATATATATATATATATTTCTACAATATTTTAATCGACACTGATTCTCCTTTATCAATCTCCTTGTTACATGAGTGGCCCTAATTCCTTTTGAGATTCTAGGTATACAACACGGGACTTGTCGTTTTTTTTTTTCTTGAGTTCATCATTCAGTAAACGGTGAGTGCATAGTATCCAAGAGCTGTCTTAACTTGGAAATATTGATATACGTTCTACTACCCCGAGGATAGGCGCACGCCACAGCCCAGCAATACCTATATGTGGTGCCCTGTTTACATTGATGGTGAATGTAAATGCTATTCCATCGTCTAGATTGCATTTCCGGTGGTCTTGATGCGTTGGATATTATTTGCACTCTAGTGCGCGAAGGGACTTCTCTAGGCTTTAAAAATCACACCACACCCACACAACGCTTCCTCTTCTTCTCTTTCTCCTTTGGACTTATACAGTGTATGCCACATTGGGTACGTTTACTTTCCTAAATGTGTTCAAATTTCTCAATATAATGCCACTTGCAGTGACGGAGAAGTCTAGGGGTATGTAGACGCCCGTGACGAGCTAAATGAGCGTTGAGCAGGCACATTTGATAGCCAAACCCTGGAGCTTTTGAATATCACCAAGTGAGGTGATACTTCCTCTGCTGTACTATCTGGTGGGATTATCCAGCTCAAATAGTGCAACCACGTCACCCTCAATCGACTCCTCGTGGTAGATAGCAAACCCAGTCCTCTGCAGCACTTTCACACTGCCTATATTCGCTCTGTTGCACGCCGCAAACAGCTTCTCCTTTTTCAACTCCAATACAGTCCCCTCAAAACCCATTCTGTCAAGTTTCCACCATGCATCTATAATACCAGCAACTGCCTCGGTGGCATAGCCCATTCCCCAGAAGTCCGGATGTATATTGTACCCAACTGAGGGGGCTGGGGTAAGAGCGTTTATTCCCGCTGCTCCGATAACTTTCTGTAATGGATCCTCGGAGCGGATTATGGCGAAGAAGAACCTTCGTCCGACAGCACCTGACGCATCTGGTGTTGTGAACGTTTTTTTAGTAATGATAGCCTCGGATTCTGATATGTCTTTGTGGGGGACTTTGGGCCAGCTAGAGGAAGTAGCAAGTCAGTGTCTACCCCAGGATATCGTGATAGTTGTTTTTTGGGTTATAATCTTACAGCCAGTCCGCCACGTCTTGTCGTCGTCGGATCTCAAAGATGGCCCCAGCGTCACCCACTGTCAGCGGTCGCAGATACAGGCGACTGGTGTGTATAGGTTCTAGGCTGGCCGGAATTATCACGGATGTAGTTTGGTGGGGGTAGAAGCTCATTTTGACAGGGTTTGCGAGGAGCTTGGAATCGGATTTTGTGTTCTCTGTATATATATATATATAGGTACCGTCGTATTGAGACGCCAATTATGTATGACTACAAATCCGTTCGCATCGTCCCCTTTGCAATTTCACAATTGAGTTGCCGCGGCAGATTACCATACATTTATACTATACATCTATTCGTTGCGTTGTCTACTCCATAGCGTCAGTAGAATTATTTGCGTGAGTCATTGCTGCGGGTCGGACCTCGACTTGGACCCGGACTATGGGTTGTCTTATGCTACAAAGTAGCGATATATGCAATACCCAAGAACACGACACTTTAGTACAGCGAATACCTGTTGTTTGAATAAGTGAAATAGTTTGATATCGAACGTCAACCACCACGCTGGGAGAACGTATCTCCTAGCTCCTTTGGGGCTCTAATATATGTCACCTCTGAAATTCGGGAGCTGGGAAGTTCAAAACTGAGTTGTTTGGTCATTGATAATTACACTCATAATACATAGTCACGAAGGAAAAAAAGGAAAAAAAGCCCAGCCCTATCATCGGTAGACAGCAGCGCCTATCCGAACACAAAGGAACAGATCTGTCCAGTCGTATACAAGTTTTGACTCAGGCACCGCCATCCCTCTTCGCGTATTCCTCCTCCATCCGCTCTTCATACAAGCGATCGGCCTCCTCCTTGGTCAGAGCTCGACCACTATCAGCATTCTGCGACGCGCTGTTCGAGTTGCCAGGCTCGGCCCCAAAGTAGCTGTTGTTGGTCTGGTCGGTAGAAGGGTGTGTAGCTCTGGGAGGCTGTGTGGAGTTGGTTTCATTTTGTTGCTTGTCAAAGAGGTCGGCAGTGGGGACAGGCATTTTGGTGTAAGGTTGAGATTTTTGGTCGGGAGTGTAGCAGCAGTTTTGAGGAGATTAGGCTGAAGGAGGTGAGGATTGTAGATTTGAGATTCAAACTGTGGTGAGTAGAGCATTAGCAGGATGTCGCGAACGCTTTTAACCTGGCAAGTTAGCTTGGTGCTTTGTCGCCACATGTGGTGGCAAAGCCATTCCAAGGTTGGGTTCTACGTCATGTCAACAAAACGGGGCCCGGAAGTGAGAGACCAACAGTCCAGAATAAATGGTAGGACAGCTAGACACTGAAGCACCTAGGGACAATGAAACGAAGTTGAGGTTAAGCTGCCATTCACTGCTTGCACTGGCACTGTTTGAGCGTCGAAGGGACGGTAGATTTGGCATGATGGGGCTGTGGACAATCATCAAGGCTCTGGATGGGGATACAAGAGAAATACATACAAGGAATCGAGAGTACTTGGCGTTACGCCAGGATTTACAAGCTACGTCTCTTCTCCAACCTCGAGCCACTGGCTCAAAACTTGATGAAAAGAAAAAGTTCCACGAATGGAGAGTGCCAAAGAATACGCCTGTCAATGACCCGTAAGCCGTTGAACAGCCTGTTCCGCCGCGCTGTGCAATGCAGGGACCAGACTGTGGTGAACCGCCTTCATGATCGCAGTCACCCAAACAAGGTAAGTATGAAGAAGAAAGAAAAAGAAGAGGAAGAGGCGAGGGAGCTGGGGGTATTTAAGCAAATAGGGGAGGGCGAGAAAGGCGGTGGCAGAAACACACTATCCCTTATTAGCTTCTGATTGGCTAGCAAACGAGGACACGTGATAATGCCAAGACTCACCGACATGTGATATGACTCATCCACCCTCCCTAAAAAGGGAGGATCATTCTGACCTGTCAGGATGAGGAATAGCTTCGACGGAGTATGCACATTACAGAACGTACAGGACACAGGTACCTTGCATTTAATTCCTAGGTTATCAAATGCTTGTGCCAGACACAGTGGAAATGAGCATCTTGCACACACAGACTACAGACGGGAATCAATAATTGAAAACTCCTTGTTCTCGACTCGACGCCTCAAAAACAAGCCAGACTCCATACCCGAGCTTGTGTGGATCCTCCCCTATTCCACAACTTTGTATTGTGGCTCTCACCTCCCGTGCGACCCAAAAACCGACAGACGTTTGAATCACAACTTGATTCGGATACTGTCCGTCGGAAGTATACCTTTGTTCAGAGTGTTTAACAAGATTAAATCGGGTGAGAAACCCACAGTCAATATCAAGATAATATTCAGTAAATGACCATCCTCATCAAAGTGTGCCATGGTTAAGTCAATCTAGTGGGCGCTAGAGTTGTCGGGGGGCATCGGAGAGCTTAGATGGACGGGAATTCCGTCCCCTGTGTACACCGCAGGTCGAGTTGGTGCTTGGCGTGAAGTACATATTAAGATTAATTTACTCTGCTCCGTACGCTCGGGAGATATGCTCTGTCTTTCTCAAAAGTAAAGTACTCCGTACCGATGCGGACCTAATTGTAGTCCTGCTGTTGTGACACTATATTTGAGTTTCTTTTTTTTTTTTGCTTGCTCGAAGACTCTTATCTGCACCATGAACAGTACTATGTGCATGCCCTTACGACAGTCACAGCGATGATCAAGTAAGATGGAGCAAGATGCGAAAAAAGACGGGAAAAAACCCCTAGGCGCCCGGGCTCCGCTATGCATGGCACTTGCATGGTGTCAAAATTTAGTCCATACGGCGAAAGAGGAAAAAAGATCAACAAGTCAGACTTGAAACAATGATGTGATCGTCAATGGCCGGTAAATTCCAACCATTCATAGGATGTAGCAGAAGCAGGGTCGAGACTTGAGACTCGCGACCGCAAAAAAAGGGCGAAGACGGGAGGGTTTACGGAGTGTCTTAATGGTTCTTAGGCCCTAACCAGTGCAGAAGGGGGGCATGATAGGGTGTCATGAGTCCCCGAGCAGGGGGTGGATTCCCTTGAGTGGCTATCATTACTGAAACTGTTTCGACAGAGTGTTGGGACCTCATCATAATGCTTGTCCTGATGGTAGTTGACCAGTCATACAACAGGGATATAAAAATGGTGCCATGGCACGGAGTATCTTTTCAACACACCGTACAAAGAAAAAAGACCAAGGTATACGGAGTCGAACACTCTTCTCAGGTTGGGCCTGCCTATCTTGTAGATGAACCGTGGAAATGCCAAATAGAGTGCTCTGATTCAGAGTTTGTAGGTAGGGCTGGCCAGCCCCCTATTCGCTAGGACTCGAAACTACGTACCTACTACCTAGGTAGGCTGGTGGGGACGTACTTTTTTTTTTTTTTTTTTTTTCTCGATCGTATTATCACAGATGAATCTGGAATTTTCTGTAGGGTATTCCGTACAAGTACGGAGTACGGAGTGTCTATGTTGTACGGAGTAAAAGGGCGAAAAGGGGCTTGGTTAGGGGCATTATTTTCCGAGACTGTGGATCTTGTTTCTAGTTTCAAATATGTTCTTTTTGTGCGATATGTTGTACAGGTATACTGCGTACTCCGTGGATCAGGGACTATGATGAGATGATCCTCATATGGAATGATGCGCAGATCACGTAAAGAGGCGACAGTCTGTACTCCGTAGATGTGTTGGGATTGGCTAGATAAACACATCATGGGATCCTTGCCGCAACGCGGCAAAGAGAGTTGATACGCCGATAGGATGCACATCCAAGTCAGAGCCAGGAAGGAGGGGTTATATCACTGCTGGTTGGTTGCCCACGAGGGTTTTCACGCCACTCCATCATAGAGTTGATATCGGGTCATGGGATCTGAGTAAAGATTGTGCCAGGAAGTCGCCATAGCCAACCATGCTGGAGAACTTAAAGATGGGTGCATGGTCTCAATAGCCAATGATACCTGCCTTCGGCTGGATGATTGCGACAACGTCCATATGTACTTCGTAGTACTCTGTACGCCATACTCCGTACGGAGGACACTGTTGTAGGATGATCATGACGAAGGAAGCAAAATGACGGGTTGCCTTGGTGGGGGGCCATGGAGTACCACAGGGATGACCCTCTAAAGGGATATTCTAGTACCGATATGGTCATTCCGAGGGAGAGCCTTGCAAGCTTGGATCGAGTTGTTGACTATGTGGAGAATACGAGAGAACCATCGAAACGCTCAGTTGATTTGATAATGAATAGATCATTTCAGTAATTCTGACAGCAGCTCCCCCTTGGACTGTGTAACAAGAGTCATCGAAGTGGAATGAGCGCCAACGGTGTGGCCCACCGAACAAGTGTAGAACCTCCTTACGGGGCCAGGAGAATGAAATTGTGCTTATATTTTTCTTGACAGTCTGATGACCATACGAGGTGACCCCGCCATCACTAGAGGTGATTGCATTTTTTGTCCCCTCCCGTATCAAAAATTGAAGAAGAAAGAAGGGTTGAAAGAACGTGAAATCGGTAAGGGTATCCGAACGGGTAAATTAGGGGAAGACTACATAGATAGAAACCGTTGATTCAAAGCTGCATGGCCGATCATGGGCCATGGTGTGATGGTTTCTTGATAGCCAAGATTTGCAGAGTTTTCTTTCTCCTATTTGAAGTTAACTAAATTCAATTCAGGTCTAGCGTGCTAGACAAAGAAGTTCGTATTTTACGTACCCAGTCGGGTACAGAGGGACGGAGGTATATACATCTACATCAGAGTCCTATATTTACCCAACTTGCAACCTATGTTACATACAGAGTAGATGCACCATTTCGAAATTGAAAATCAAGTCAAAGTGAAACGAAGAAATTAGACATGAAATAGATACACGCGAAAATAATATAAAAGAAGAAGAAAAAAAAAAAAAAAACAATTAACCCCTGAAGTACCATTAGCTAATATCTTGGATCCACTGAGCTCTGGGCTTCCTGCAGGTCCTTTCCATTTTTGGATCAACAACCTGACTCTTTTTCTTCCCTCTTCCCTCCTCTCTTCCCTTCTTTCTTCCCACAAAGCACAATACCCCCCTACTTCGTGATACCCGAGCTCTAGTGCTCTTTTGCTTTTCCTTTCCAAGATACCCTATACCCAAACGACTTTTCTAATTTTACTAAGCTCTGCTTCTTTAATACTCAATTATTTTAATCATGTCCGAAGTCCAGAAGACCGTTGAGGAGACCCCCGTCGTCCCTGCCGTGGAGACTGCTGTTGAGACTCCGGCCGAGACCGTTGAGGCCCCTAAGGAGACCACCGAGGAGCCCACTGCCACCCCCGTCGTTGAGAGCACCGAGGCTGCTGAGCCTGCTAAGGAGGAGGTGAAGCCCGCTACTGATGGTGTTCTGGGCTACAAGGCCCCCGGTCTGGTCAAGTGAGTTGCGACGGAGATGACGAACGCGACACAGCGACTAACGAGTATTGTTTTACTAGGGGCTTCCGCTTCGCCAAGCGCTTCTTCTACTTCAGCGAGGAGGCTGTCGAGAGCAAGAATCTTTCCGTCTTCCACCAGAATGAGAAGGCCGCCGTCGCCAACCCTACCGCTGCCTGGGCTACCCAGACCGGCAAGGGTCTGCTTTTCTTCACCAAGCGCGCCGAGGACAAGGCCACCCCCGCTGGCATCTTGAACCTCGTAAGTGATTTGACGACTATGCGATGCGACAAAGACTAACGTGTTTCAATAGGCCGATGTCTCTGACGTGACCAAGGAGGGTACTAGCGAGTTCCTCTTCAAGATTGCTGGTCACAAGCACACCTTCCAGGCCTCCAGCGCCGCTGAGCGTGATAGCTGGGTTGTCGCCATCGAGGCTAAAGCCACCGAGGCCAAGGCTGAGAAGGAGACCATCACCTCCAGCGAGGGCTACAAGGCTGAGCTCGAGAAGCTGACCAAGCCCGCCGTTGTCGTCGCCGCTAAGAAGTCTGAGGAGAAGAAGGAGGAGACCCCCGTCGTCGCTGCCGAGGCCGCTCAGGAGGAGCCCAAGGAGGAAAAGAAGGAGGAGAAAACCGCCTCAAAGAGCCGTTCCCAGTCCCGCAAGCGCACCAGCATCTTCGGTTCCCTCCTAGGCAAGAAGGACGCCGAGGACAAGAAGGAGGAGGCCCCCGCTGCTGAGGAGACCAAGGCTGCCGAGCCTACTGCTGAGCCAGCCGTTGAGGCTACTGCCCCTGTTGCTGCCGAGACCACTGAGCCTGCTGCCCCCACTGAGGTTGTGGAGCCTGCTGCCGAGACCTCTGCGGAGACCACCGAAGCCGCCAAGGAGGAGGCCAAGGATGAGAAGAAGACCGAGAAGAAGGCCAAGCGTGCTTCCATCTTCGGTAACTTCTTCCAGAAGGTCGCCAGCCCCTCCCAGGAGAAGTCCGAGAAGGAGGCCACTGCTCCCGCCGCCGAGGAGACCCCCGTTGCCAGCACTGCTCCTCAGCTCGAGAACCCTGTCGATGAGGCCGCTGCTAAGCCCATCGAAGCTGAGGCTGTCACTGCCCCCGCTGAGGCTGTGGAGACCCCCACTGCTGAGACCCCCGCTGCCGAGGCCGTCTCCACTCCCAAGGAGAAGCGCCGCACTTCGTTCTTCGGCAACCTTGGCATGAAGAAGGAGAAGAAGGCTGACTCCTCTGACAACGAGGTCACTGATGGTGAGGCCAAGGACACCAAGGCTAAGTCTAACAAGCTCGGTGGCCTTTTCCGCAAGCCCAGCAAGGCTGTCAAGCTCGACAAGGAGGAGGTTGCCGCCGCTGAGACCGAGGCCAAGGCTGATGCCGCCGAGGAGGCCCCTGCTGTCCCTGTCAAGGAGACCTCCACTGAGGAGGCACCCGCTGTCGTTGAGGAGACTCCCAAGGCCGTTGAGACCACCCAGGACTCTAAGAACGTCAACGTTGCCGTCGCCACCCCCGTTCAGGCTACCGCATGAAGTGCGACTCGGAGACCTGTCGTGGAGTTTGAACGGTGGTGGGACATGTCCTATCCATCGCCCGCCCGCGATATCCCTGGTGGTCTGATTGAGACCTGAAGGTGCAAATTTGATACCAACGCGCTCCTGCTGTTTTGCTTTTCCCTCGCCACTGTCACCGTCTCCGGTACCACACGGTCCCCCTTACTCGGACCTGGACTTGAGATAGTGACAATGAGATACCCGCTGTCGCTTTTTTTTTTTCCCCCTCCATTTGATCTGTTTTTTTCTCTAAAAATAATACCATCGGCGCCAACGACGCCAGCAGCCTTCTGGAATGCGGTTCATTCCTTTACGACCTGCGTCCCGCGACTGTGACTATGCGCGACGCGATTATGCGTTACGCGGTGTGTCGTCCGACTAGATTGATACCACTCTGCCCTTTTTCTTGGTTTCTTGGTTTTGTGTTTGATACCCTGTGGGGAGGATGGGTGCTCTTTTTGCTTGTTGCTCGAGCTTTGGATCTCGTCTTTGACTTGTTTCTTCCTGCAACCCAAATTGACCCTCTAATGTTGTCTACCGTTGTTGTCCCGAACGGCTGGTTTATATTCCACCGACGGAGGTGACGCACCTTGCGATAGGTAATACTTAATAGAATCTCTCAGTTTTTGCTTTACAATTCTGTTCTTTGTGTATAACACGTATTCTTCAGCCCCCTCGATCATCGCGTATTGTCACTTGGCATTTGCACCACCATCTCGAGGTGCACACGTGTGTGATGATGGCGGCTCTTGTACTCGCGTCTTCTCATCTACAGCATCGGGATCAATAATTGAGCCTCTCAATATCAAATGTAGCTTAGACATAGAGCCCAATTACCCAACAGTCACCAAAATGGTTCACTATCGCACTATGCGTGGTACTTATCCTTGGAAGCCTGGACGTCAACCTTGTCTCTACAGCTGTGTCGAGCATCATTAACTACTTCCACACTGTCTCCATCGGGATGGTACTATTCTGCATTCCGGCTCTGCACCTGCGCGTTCCAGTTCGGGTTCGCACAATTGTAGGAATCCTTCTCAATCACATCCTTTTGGTAATTAATGTTGTATTCCTGGTTGATTTTTGACTCTATGCCAGTGCTCCTACGTTCATTGTACAATGCCAGGACTCGGATTCACAGGTGATATGGCCGGGTTTTTTGCAGTTATGGTGCACATTATGCCGCTTAACAAGTGCCCAATGTTTGCGGCTTTGACGGCGTGTGGGGAATCGCTTGCGATCATTGCGGCGCATATAGTAAGTGCTGCATTAATGCAGTCTTCGGGATAGCGATTGTGTCTCCGGTATACTTTCCTAGTCACAGACAAGGTAGTGGTTGATTCACACCGACTTCTTCGTAGTGACAACGTCCTCTCCATTGGCGTTCTCTCACTGGTGACCATGTTTTACCTCTTTTCAGACCCAAGAACCCGCCAGGAGGATGACCTGACACTAAACCAGAAAACCGGAGAGCTGGGCCTCATCAGCAGTACTTCCTTTCTGCACCATCAGAAGCCGAAGTGTGTACTGATTTGATGGCAAACACTTTGGATTGGTAGTTACCAATATAATCTTCAGTCGTTGGCTCTCGAATAAGACTTCATGGCCAATTCACGACTACAAGAAGATGCGCTGGCAATACTATATCCTGCCAGACCCTAAGCAAGAGAGGCTACCTGGTGATCCCCATTCTCGTTGGTTTGATACTCGGGCTCTTTCTTTAGGGCATCGGCACCACCACGTCCGGCTACTACGCCCTATTGATGACCTTTGGCTCTGTGCGCATGCCCATTGCCGCAGGCTTGGTGGCAACGTCCGACCTCCACAAGTCCCTAGCCAAGATCATCCTCCATTCCGGATTCGTGGATTTCACTGGAGGGATTGGCTTCCAAGCTCCCCAAGCGGGTATTCAACTGGTTTGGACCGGGGTCATCTTGTTTAGGCAGAGTATGGACCCAGTGGGTTTGATCGCTATTGCGCAGGTTATATCTACGAAACATTTGTCGTCTAAATTGGCTGAGAATCATACCAGGGCTGACACCTGCGTACATATATTGAACAGCACGGACTTGGGGATATGAAGTATGGAGTCCGTCCCTATGCAGCGTCGGGACGAGGTCTTTGGTGGTATGAATCGGAGCTTGACTCATACTTGGATTACCGTTGCATTGACTTGCATGACGATGGTGGGAAGTGTTCTGGTTGAATGGTGCTCTGTCAAGCAAAAGTAGTCATCATCCTTCGTATGGACGGCACGAAAGGAGCGACAGAAGCTTAGATAGGAAAGCCCCACCCTGATTGCATATATGCAAGCAATACTCGTAGTTGAGGATCTAGCGACCCCATCGCAATGCGTTGGTGTTCTGGGGTGCATTGTGATACATTGCCGTAGCATATGGTCTCATTCTAGGAAACTACCATTCGATTAGGCAGAGATATATGTTATAGTCGATGCCTATGATACTGGTCTCTCACATGGCCTCATATTGTGGCTACCTACGTTTAACATTTTCCAATATAATGTTCTATCGTTTGTAAGAGGCTGATTACAGTCTAGACTTCAAGATCAATTATGCTAGGCAATCATGATGCACTTTTTTTTTCCCCCAATCCATCACACATGCCTGGAGGTGTTCAGCGGGCACCCATTTCGGCGAAGCCTCGGCCCCTTACGGAGTACAAGGTACGTCGGCACTATGCAAACCCACATCAAAGAAAAAAAAAGATAAACTGGGTCTGGACTACGGAGAAAGACTCCGTATGATAGCGTTCATAGTTGGTAGAACTTTTTGAAGTATGTAAACCAATAGATCCCAATGAACCATATTTTTGTCTGCGACCTTGGAAGTACGGAACACTCAAAGGACTCTCTGGCTTATGGTATATATGTTGTATAAGTAGCATCTATGATAGAATCTTGACTTCCGTACTCTGTAGCAAGGATCAAAGTCAAAAAAAGTCAATTTCACGCCCTTCGGCAAGACTAAAGAAATGCAAGCATCTCATAGGACATGGGCCCATGTACTCAGCCCATGGCGGGGACACAATTAGGAAAAGATCGGTGGATCCTTTGCATCCTTAAGGAGAACGGCTGTACCTCCCCGAATGTATCTGGAATTGAATTTCTCCAAACCCGCAGTCTAGTATACTATGTTGGATGTGTGTACAATGTAAAGTTTTGGAAGACTTGGGAAGAGAGTGAAAAAAAAAAAAAAAAAAGGGAAAGAGAAAGAAGAGAGCGAATGAAAAAAAGAAAAATTGAAATGGGCGATGCCTGGATATTCCGGAGGGATAGGAATCTGATCGATGATTGGTCAATCTGAAAAGACGCGGAGAGGTTGGTGGAGACAGGTACTTCAAAGATACCTGGACTTTCTATGTAAATGCGGGCAAGTATGTAGGTAGCACGTCATGTACCGTGGACAAGATGGATGCCTGTCAAATCTAACCAATCAGAACCACGGCTCACACCTGTGACTCACACCCCGTGACTTCGACGACTAAGCCCCGTGCGGCTCCTGAACTCCGATTGGTCAGCGCCAGGGCACACAGCCCTTAAGAAGTGCCTGAGTTCCCCCTCCCCGTTTGCCTGATTTTTCTTCTTCCTTATACCTGTTTTCTTCATATCCCCATATCCCACATCAACACCGCCATATTGCTGTCAGACCAAAACTATAATCAACTTCACTCTCGTCAAAATGGGTGCCCAATAAGCTCCCCGTCTTTCAACAACCAGTCTATCTCAACTGAGACAGACATTATTTCTCCAACCGGAACCCACCCTCTTATCTCCTCTCTTCCCCCTTCAGAGTCTCCTTTTGGACCTCTGAACTTCAGCATCGCATCGCGTAGCTCGAGTTCTCCCAACAACTTTGCCCCGATCGACTTAACGTCGTTCACCACGGATTACCACCAGCAACCATGGCTTCCCTCACCCCCGTCCCAGCCCTTGGCTTCCAATCAGAACAACAACAGCAACAACAACAACAGTGCACTCGAGGACTTTGTGCTCTATCCATCAGCAACACCACACCCGCAGCCCCGCTCGCGTGTGCCCGTGAATCCAACCCATAGACCTTCTGCACTTCAGCCATTCCTGGCGCAGAATAACCCTCGACGACACTCCTTCAGTCTGCAGTTGCACCGACATCTTCAGCAGCAGTTCTCTGGCTCACCTGTCCAAGACCCCAGAGTGACCCAGCTTGCCCGGTCCCCCTCTCATTGGTCCCGTCCCACGCTCACGCACAACCGTCCTTCGGCTTCTGTGCCTTCCAACTCTCCAAACACCAACCGCCCTCCCATCCCACTTTTCAACGGTCAGCAAAACTACAAAAACAACGCGCAAACATATAGACGTGTCATGTCCACTCCCAATTTCATGGAAGGTAACTCATCATCCGTCTCAACACATGTGAGCGAACACATCGCTAATCCCGCCCCAGCTCATGAGGTTGATCTTTTCGGTCTTCCCTCTGCCGACTTCCCTGCTAGCATGGATTCCCCGCTCTCGTTCAACGATCTCGGTCTGGTAAACGACTTCGCATCTGGTCCTCCAGGCACTATCTCACCAAAGGACCTCATGATGGATGCGTCCGTCCCTCCTTCTGGCACCTTCACCGACTTGAGCACTCCTTCCTTTGAGTCTCCCGGCAACTTCAGCCAAAACACCTCGCCCATGTTCACCGACATGGACATTGCCGGTCACGAAGAATGGCCCTCCCTCTTTGATCACACGTCAGATCCACTCAACGCCTTTGACTTCGCCACTCTGGATGCCGCAGCCGCCTTCCCTACCGAAGAAAAGAAGCCAGCCTTGCCCATCTCCATGTCTCCTGTCTCTCCTCGTGCAAAGCGATCGGTGGCTTCGTCACCTGTTCCTGCATCCGGTGCAGTCAAGCACTCCAGCGTCGCAGGTGTCAGCTCACGATCGCGCAAGCACCTGTCGCCTATCGAGTTTGATCCCAACGATCCTATTGCTGCTAAGCGCGCTCGCAACACTGAGGCGGCTCGCAAGTCGCGTGCCAAGAAGATGGAACGCCAGTTCACTTCGGAGCGCCGCATTGAGGATCTTCAGAAGATTATTGCTGAGCGTGACGCGGAGATTGCCAAGCTCAAGGCTCAACTCCAGATTCAAAATACCTACCAGTAATGGTGATGCTTTCATCCCACTTTTGGTCCTAAGTTTGAAACATCGGTTTTTGGCTTACGGCATACTTGGTGGTTCTGACGATTACAACGATTGCCCATTCAGTCTTATGTGTTTCTGTGTTTGATGTTTTTGGTTTCTTTTGACCCTCTGGGTATTGTGGTAGGCGCGGGTGATGGGTAAAGCCTAGCCCCGACGTCTCACCGAGATCAGATGAACGCGATTTGGTTCGTCTCATCTGATTCTCTTAAAAGTTTGAGACATGTTCCTCAGTTATTTCTTTTTCATTTTTGATCTGTCTCGGTTTTGTTTCTCCGCTCTGTTTCAGTTCACCTATCTGTTTATGATTATTTTTCGTTAGGCCGGTTCTGATTGTCTCCCTTTGTGGGATTGACTCGTGGCTATCTTAATATGGAATTTGCTTCTTCTTGAATCAATTATATCGTTTTACATCCTACCTCTACTTGCAGCCCATGCTCTCATAAACTACTGTGCCCTACTTCTCAGATATCATGTGTAGTCCTAGTACCAATCTACTTCCGAGTATCCCATGATCCATCTGTATGTCCCTCGGGTTAAAGTGGAAGTGTATATAATCTAACCAGCTCAGACTTGCCTTTAAAATGCCTCATCAACACACCCCGAGCCCCCCAACCACCCTTTATCCCATACCATCCACACTCACAACCCGCCTCCCAAATCCCCTCCCTCTACCAAAAGGCCAAACAGCACTCCATCACTCCCTAAGAACGCGCCTCGCCCGCTTCCTTTCAGCATGAGCTACGCGCCGTCCGAGGACTGCTGTTGCTCTATGGATGAAGTGAAGAGGGTAGGAGACACTAGGAGAGATGGGGCGTTTAGGGTTCCGATGTGTAGGGGTCGGCAATTTGAGATTGACAGGTGTGTTTGTAGATGTTAGGTGTTTTGAAATGAAGGTTGGTCAGTTTTGTTGGGGTGAGGTAGATGTTTCGGAAGTATCTGTTTCCATGTTCTGTCATCATAGCTGGTGGAGGGGATGGGGGAGTGTCATAGTATCGAAGGGTGCAAGGAGCAGGAGAAATTTCTAATGGAGAGAGAAAAAAGAGTAGATGGATGGATGTGTAGGAGGATGTATGGGGGAAGCATGCACAAAAGCACCTCGAAAGACTGGGAAACGAACGTGTAGCAGAAGTTCATCCGCCACAAGTCCATCTCAGCTCAAAGCATCAGTACCTCTCGACCTCCCCGTCTCCATCTTAGCCGTCCTCGCGCCGAATTGAATAGCTCTCTTCTTCTCGCGAGAAACCTTCACCAAGCCCAGCCGCAGAGCAACAAGCCGCAGCGCCAACTTCTCGGAATCAATACCCGCTGTGGCATCGATCTCCGGAAGCCCGAACCCGCACTTCTCCCACACAGGAGCCCGGAGCACCCAAGCCACGAACTCCTCATCCAAAAATGGGAAACGCGTCTCGCGGCCCCAGTGGGAGAGGACGCGGTCGTCGCGGCCGAGATTGCGCGAACCGAGACGACTGACATCGAGATCGATCTCGGCGATCAGGTCTTTGAATCCGCCTCGGTTGAAGGCCACGCTGTGTCGGCCGTAGCCGGCGAAGAGCTCGTCGGCGCCTAGGCCGGAGAGGAGGACGCGGGAGGAGGTTGTGTATATGGGTGATGGGGTGTCTGGGGTTGGGAGTTGGGCTGAAGGGTTTGTTTGGGCTGTGCCTTGGCCGCGGGATGCGAAGTACAAGGCGCATGCGATGGACATGTCCATTTCGGTGTTGTGGGGTCTCATTAGGCGCTTGACTTGATCCCGGTGTGCAATTGTTTCTGCGTAGGGAATGTCAATGGCGATGAAGCGCCATGTGCGGCCCGGGCAGGTTGCTTGGAGCTCGATGTGAGCGGACCGGCCGGTTATCCGATCTGGACAGTTTTCGTAGATGGAGAGGAATGATGGCGAGGCGAGAGACTTTTGTTGATTGGCTTTTGCAGCAGCTGCCACTCGGGGGTTCTCGAATGCTACATTGAGGAGGTCGATTGGTTCCTCGAGGGGGATGATCTCATGAGAGAGTCTGGCGAGAAGGGTGCAATCTAACCCGCCGGAGAAGAGTACAGCTGTCTTAGCGGTCTGGCCTGCAATGTATCCTGGAGGTTCAGGGATGTTCTGTATTCTCAATTCGAGTGATTGACGCAATTTTGACTCGAGTTCCTTGACGAATACTGAGTCTGTTGTCAATGCTGGAGGCTGCTCTGTTGGTAATGATGTGTTCATGAGTGGAATTGATTTTCTCTTTGATCTCTTGTCAGTTGCTGCTCCCAGGGGAACGTATGAAGGACGTACAATATGATCAGCTGGAGGTGAAGCAGCAGAGCTCCATGGCAATATCTCAATCTGGCACAATTCTCTGGGAGATAAAGAAGGATCTTGATAGCGAGCTAGGTCAATCGTACAAACGCCCTCGGTGCCCACTTCCTTGAAGGAGTCTACCGACGCACTGTCACAAATGCTGCAAATCTTCAGATTCCCTATTTTATCGAATCCCTCGAGGAGAGATCGCCTCCCAAGACAATCCCTGCTGTAGAAGAGTCTTGAGTTGACGGCATCATAGAAGACAAAGGCAAACGGCCCAGAGAGACTTGCAATAGCTTCCGACATTCTTTGAACAGAATGATTTCGATCACTTTCCACTGCCTGTAGAAATAATTTGAAAACGTGTTCAGTATCATTGCCTTGGACACGCTTCCCAGCGATCTTCCAGGCTTCTCCGTTCCAGCAGAGCACAGACTGGGTTGTGGGGTCTACAAGTGGCTGTGTGTATACATGATCGCCTCTCAAAGAAAGCACTGTGGACGTGAAAGTGAGATAATAGGAAAGGGGCCGAGACACTCCATCCTTTGCACTGATATCTTTTTGTACCGTGTGAGTTCTGTAGCTGTCTGGTCCTCGCTTTTGAAGCAAAGCACAGGTATCATCTGTTGATGGCGTGGGCTTTGATGAGCTCAACGAAAAGAAAATACCACACATGGTGGAAAATCAGGTGGAAGTGTTGTTTATTCTGAGATGGTTCGCGTGGTGGCTTTTTTGGATATATTTATGCCTGAGGCATTGTATATTAGTCACGTCTATAAAAAGGGCTCTTGGGTCGCCCAGATGAACCATGAGATCCCCTGTCGCCTGCGTATGCATTGAATGGATTGTTCAGATATTGAAATCGTAAATTTATGTTCCTTTCTAAATAGAAATGCTCTCCCCTTAATGAGTTTGACCTTGAGATCAGTGAAAGGTGAAGAGCATCATGCAAGTACCTGCCAAGGCACACAGTTGAGTATGTTGGAAATGCATGTAGGTAGTCAATATGTCTCTATCTTTGATGAGTATATACATAACACTGTACGGAGCATATCTTGATGATATACCCCTTAGACCCTCATTCCTCCATACATCAATGTAGGCTGAATCAAGAAGCGGACTACCTCGGTTGAATGATGATCCGCGCATCAACATGGGAGAGCCGCATGAGCATACCTGTAGTCTTTATGAACCCCTGAATCTGTCTTTTTTGCCTAGGCGCATATGTTAAGTATAGCTTATGTCGGCCACAGAATCCCCGTCCTCTCCGGGTCCCGAGACGAGAGACGCCCCCCATATCCATGAATCCACTGAGACGCCGGCCGCTCCAACTGATATCCTACTCCAAACACAGGACGATCTTGCGAAATCAGACAGCAGTCAAACAGTCCAAATGAGTGCACAAAAGACAACAGAGCCGGCACACATGGCGGCTGCTCTCTCCGATCCCGCTGCGATGGACTTGACGACAACTGCCCAACCATCACAAGTTGAGCAGCAACAACTTGCGGGGCAAATGGAAGGACTGTCAGTCTCAGGGAAAACAACACCTAATCTGTCATCTAGCACAAGTACTCCTCCGCCCCCTCCGCCCCAGAAGGACGATGCCTACCTCAACCTCAACGCAAGCTCCACGACCACTCCGCCAACACTACCCCCCATCAATACAAACCAGGCCTCCAGCCCCGAAAAAGAGCTCCCAGATGTGCCTAGTGATAGTGGCCCGGACGCTAAACGAGGTGCCCAGGTTGAAGGGTCTCGGGATGAGAATGCCTCTCAGCCGGAGATTCAAAGTATTATGGGACAATTCCAGGACCCCGCGCGGAGCACCGACCAAAAAGAGATCATGTCTCCACGGCTCGAGCTTGCTGAGCAATTTCGAGGTGGTCCAACATATTTCCCGCCACGCAAATCTAGTTTGGACCATGCGCCTTCCATCGAGCCTGCGGATTCTGCGGTCGCTGCATCCCCGGGGAAGCAGCCTGTATCCCAACATCCCCACAAGCCCGAGTCGCCAGTGTCAAACCGGCGAGCGTCCACCTCGACCGTCCCACCAATGCCGGAACCAGAATCTGACCAACCATTTGATTTCCACCGTTTCCTAGAACAGCTGCGTCACCGCACCGCCGACCCCGTAGCAAAGTTTTTGCGGTCGTTCCTTATGGAGTTTGGCAAGAAGCAATGGATGGTCCATGAACAAGTCAAGATCATCAGTGATTTCTTGACGTTTATCACAAATAAGATGGCCATGTGCGAGATCTGGCGAGATGTATCGGATAGCGAATTCGATAATGCCAAGGAGGGCATGGAGAAACTTGTTATGAATCGCCTGTATTCGCAGACCTTCTCCCCAGCCATTCCAGCTCCGCCCACAATACCTAGAAGTGCCAGTCGGAGCCGACGGAGAGAGCTAGAGAGGCTCCATGGGCCGTGTCGACGTGGCCAACATCAGGAGGATATTGAGCGAGACGATATACTGGCCCAGAAGATTCGCATATACGGCTGGGTCAATGAAACGCACCTGGACATCCCAACTGTGAGCGGCGGTGGACGTCGTTTCTTAAATCTGGCACAGCAAGGTGTGTATTATGGGTATCTTGGTGAGATTTTCAACTTTCTAACTTTGTGACTTTCTTTGCTTGACAGAAATATCAAAAATCAATGGCTACCGGGCTCCCCGAGATAAGGTCATTTGCATTTTGAACTGTTGCAAAGTCATCTTTGGTTTATTAAAGAATTCCAAAAAGGGCGACACATCCGCCGACTCATTTATTCCCCTCCTGATCTATGTGGTTTTGCATGCAAACCCTGATCATCTCGTTTCTAACATTCAATACATTCTTCGATTCCGCAACCAGGACAAACTTGGTGGCGAAGCAGGGTATTACATCTCATCGTTGGTATGTTTGACTTCCGTACTGCCCTAGATGTCCAGAGACTGACCTCTCTCAGTCTGGAGCCATCCAATTCATCGAGAGCCTCGACCGCACAAGTTTAACCGTCAGCGACGAGGAATTCGAACGCAACGTCGAAGCCGCCGTGTCCGCCATTGCAGAACAGAACCGCGAATCTGAAAGCTTCGAAGAAAAACCCTCCACTCAACCCCCTCCATCCCAGACCCAGGCCGGACCAAGCCGCAAAGAAACCACCCAATCCAGTGACGACGAGAGCTCTGCCCCAGTCGCGGGACTATTACGCACAATCCAAAAACCCCTCTCCACCATCGGCCGCATGTTCTCCGACGACCCAGACCCAGGTTCTACCGCTTCTCAAGAACGCCCCCAACCTATCCCGACGCCCCAATTCGGTGTTGCCCCGCCCCGTCTCACCCCGAACGTCTACCAGCCTCCTCGCGCAAGTAGCGAGGATGGCCGGCGGTCAGGCGATGAGCGCGTCCACCCTACCCACGGTAGCAGAACCTCCGCGAAGAAGAATCTAACCCGTGTACTCGACGCCCAGGACGCCGCTGCGCGCCAGGCTAGCGCTGAGGATGCGGAAGCGCGCCGCATCCAACGCGCTGAACACAATAATGTTGTCGAGACACTTTCGAACATGTTTCCCAACCTAGATCGTGAACTAATTGATGACGTCGTCAATATGAAAGAGGGGAGGTGAGTACTTCCTATCCTTGCGGATGTTTGAATTTCATAAGCTCAACTAACCGTTCCTTATAGGGTTGGTCTAGCCGTTGATGCTTGTCTTGCTCTCAGTGCAGAGTAGTATATAGAATAATGTAGCATCTTTGCTTGTTCTGGAATATCATGTCAGGAACAGTCCTAGCGGCAATGCTCTGTCTCTCGTCTTTGACTTGAAATAAAATAAAACCTCAGGAGCATCTTCTTTTATAAGAAAATAACCTCCAGTTCTCCTTGGTTTGACAGAGTATAGTGGTCTATCGCCCAGACCGAAACCATTCAGTATTACATGGCCTAAGTATCCCATATATTTCCAACTAATATATTGATATGCAGCGACGTATAAGTTCATAAAAAAGGAGATGTCGGCAGTTGAATAGAAGTTGAATGCCTAAAGATCCTCGGCTTCTTCCCCGCAAAACCGCGGTCTCTCTCGGAATTTTACTAAGCTGGTACCCCTTGACATATAATTCCGAACTGCAATAATTCCAACCTCTCTTCTCTCAAGAAGCAACTGTGCACACCATGTCGTCCCCTTTCCGCATCGTTGAGCATGTCGTGCCCACTCAGCACATCAGGGAGTATCCTGGAGCCACCGCTAATGATCAAGAAGAGCCCTTACATCTCGCCGTGAAACAATATATACCACTAGACAATCCAAATCCACAACCAGGCGATATAACTATCCTTGCTGCCCACGCAAATGGCTTCCCCAAGGTATGAGATACAAAGTGCCGAGGTCTAGAGCCGCTAGACCCGCTTTTGGAGCTGCGCGCGCCTTGCGATGCCCCTTTCGGCATAGAAATCGACGATGTACTGATTATCTCTCGCAGGAACTATATGAGCCCCTTTGGGAGGAAATACACGCTCGTTCTAAACAGAATGGAATACGCATTCGCGGGATCTGGATGGCCGACGTGGCGCATGAAGGTCAGAGCGGCGTGATCAATGAAGAGTCCCTCGGAAATGACCGTATGTAATGTGAATATCTTATGGAATACAATTGTAATGCTCACAATCTGTTACAGCTAGCTGGTTCGATCACCCCCGGGATCTTCTCCACCTAGTCAATGTCAAGCGGGCTGAAATGCCTCGGCCTATCGTTGGCATCGGGCATAGTTTGGGAGGCGCTCAACTGTGAGTTCCAATAACCAGACCATTCACACAACGGCTAGCTAATATAATCCCTAGCACACAGCTATCTCTTATGCATCCCCGACTCATTCATACGCTAGTCCTCCTAGACCCAGTGATCCAACGCCAGACTACTCAACTAGACGGTCTCATGCTTCAAATCAACAAGCGCGAAATCGCCAAAACAACCCAACTATCAACCCATCGGCGCGATATCTGGCCCTCCCGCCAAGCTGCCGCAGAAGGCTTCCGCCGCAGCCCCTTCTATCGAACCTGGGACCCACGAGTGCTATCCCGCTGGATCGAGCACGGCCTGCGCGATCTCCCAACACCCATCCACCCACTAGACCCCAAGACCCCGATAGACAAAGCCACCGGGCCTCCAGTAACCCTCCGCACCACACTACACCAAGAAGTGTTCACCTTCTCGCGGCCAAACTACACGAACCCCCCTAACAGCACCAAGCCCGTCAACCGCGTAACACACCCAGACCTAGACGCAACTCACCCGCACACCTACCCATTCTACCGCCCAGAGTCGGCCCGCATCTTCTCCCAGCTCCCATTCCTGCGTCCCAGCGTGCTGTACATCTTCGCCGGCAAATCGGATATGTGTAACCCCGCCATGCGCGCCGACAAGCTGGCCAATACCGGCACCGGGCTGGGCGGTAGTGGCGGCGTTGCTGCAGGCCGCGTGCGTGATGTTTTCTTTGAAGAAGCTGGTCACCTTCTTGCTCAGGAAGCTCCGAATGAGTGCGCTGATGCGGCGGTTTCCTGGCTTGTGCCGGAGATAAGCCGCTGGCGCGCTGAGGAGGAGAGTTTCCGCGCGGCTTGGAGTCAAAAATCAAAGATTGAAAAGGTTACTGTCGATGCGGAGTGGTTGAAGAATGTTCCTGCGCCGGAACGGAGGCCGAAGAAGGTGCAGAACGGGGAGTCGAAGCTGTAAGCGAATGGTTTAAATACCCGCCTAGTCTTGTACCTGCTTCGATTTCTAGCGTTGGCTGTAGGTATAAGCAATAGATAATTTGCTTTTGCTGGTTATTCTAGCTGGTTATTCAAACGCATCTATATATACCATGTTCAAGTTTGCATCTGTGAATATTTTTCTATTGTTTTCAAATCTTAGGAATGAGCACGCTGAGTCAACGATCATAATACTCCACAAACCAGACTCCCATCTATAGCAATGACCCCGCGCGCCCACAGTTGAGAAAAAAAAAGAAGAAAAAGGTATCGTATATCTATGGTCCAAAGCCAAAGAATCCGTCGCCGGGACGAATTGTGTTCGTGAAAGCTATGCAGTAGCAACGCCAAGAGGGAATCAAAACAGAGCTCTGCTCCGAGTCTCGCAGAAAAGGACAGACAGGAAGGAGCATGGTATCTATTTCAGGTTATGTTGGGGGTCACAGTCGCAAGAGTGCGGTAGATCGCCACCCATAAGCAACGATGGGTGAGAGTAATAAACCAGCTCGGCGAGAAAAGATATCTAGGTGGCTGTTTCACGTCGACTTCTTGGCTCGGGGTACCCCGTTTTCAGATGATCCGCCCTCGGTGCGGATCACTTCAGGGATCTGCCAGAAGTGCGCCCAGCGCAGGTGATATTCGTCTTGTCGGTCGTTGAGGCAGTGACGAAGCCAAATTCCCCAAATGATATAGAGATAAGCACCGATACCAGTCATGATATGCCTGCAAATATGGATCAATTAGCAAATGATCCAATGGTAGTTCAGTCCAGATTTGGCACATACCACCAGCCATGTCCCTCCAAGAAGATACCCCATGGAAGGCCAACAGAGCGGCGCATCCGACGGATCTCAGAGCAAAAGATGTTATCCAAGTTCCAGATGAAGAAACCTCCCAAAAACATGCTCAGTCCATATATGACCATAAACCACATGGTTTTGAGTGTCTTCTCATTACGCACATTCTCGTAATGCTGGCGTTCCTTCGTCGGAACGGGGAGTCCCTTCTTCTGGCGCGCTAGGCGGTCCTCCTCCGTCGAGTGGCGCCATTTGGGTCGGAGGGTCACTTCCATGGTGTACATGCTGCGAAACACAACGATGGTGGTCAAGAGCGCAAAGGCGTTCTGGTGGAAAACCGGGTCTTGGAGGTAGTGGTAGTACAAGGTGATGAATATTGCGAGACCTGCGAGCGAAATTCCGAGATAGACGCGCACGGTGTTGGACCGGGAGTATGAAAATGAGGCATAGGCCATAAGACAGGTGGTATAGATCATTGAGAGTTCGTCTACTAGTTGCATGGGATCTGTTGTGAGGGTTCACCGGTCAGCATTGCTCTTGCGATCACTCATACGTAGTTCTGGGTATGGTTGGTGGATGTCCACCGCAGTTTAACCATATATTGGGCTCGGGAGGGATATAGGGGCACTTGCATTTGAGGGTCGAATGAAACAGGAAGCTCCCTGTTCCGACTACTAGGTAGCCAAGGAGGGCAACGGTGAAGATTTGGTCATGTCCATTGCGACGGCAGCTCCGTATGCCCTGGATTCCAAGCCACATGAATAGCAAATTCGTGAGTGTGTTGACGATCTCCGCAGAATACTCGGTAGCATAGTAATCCTAGGCAAAGGGATATGTTAGCATGCTTCTCGTCATGGGCCTCTAGTCGGGAATACACACCTCTTCGCACCAGTTCAAGGTGGAGGTGACAGGCTCCCAGTATCCATCCTTTGCAGGCGGATACGGAAAGAAGGGTAGATACCAAGGCATTATGCTATACACCAAGGTAAATAGAGATGTTAATATCCAAACCTGCAAGCTCTCTAACAAAGAGAAGAAGGAAAAGAGAAACAAATACCACATGACGTCGATTACCCATGGGGCTAGCTGGTCCGTGCACTCCGCGAGATGCCGGAAGCGGAAGGTCTCTATTTATTGAAATCGACCATATTTACATCCTTACATTTCGATTTCGGTTTCGATTGGCATTTGCGTGTAATTATATTTAGATCTATGCGTCTAAGGATATTTCTGCGTTGGATGTACATAATATGATGCATATGCGTTGACTGCAAATAGTCTACGGAGTACAAAAAGGTCCAAGAGCCGCATTAATGATGATACCTAGGTATGACAGTCATACGATAGATATACGATGTAGTTGATTTTGAACTACTAGTTGAACTATTGACCATGAGTTTAATAGATATTATGCATGTGGTAAGCATCTACTTCCATCTTGCATAATGGTTGTATAAACCACCCGGGCCACAGAAAACCTCGGTATGGCTTATCGATAGCCACTGCTGACCCCAATGACTTCACTGTTTTCAACGTCTGTCCGTGACCTCGGCAAAGTCAACGCTTGCAATTGCTCTCTACATTTCTTGTTTCATTCTATTTCCCCTTATTTGATCCCTGGTGGAATGCAAGCCGGTGCCCATCTTTGGCTGTGACCGTCCTTGTGGAAATTTTCTCTCTTTTTTTACGCATCCGGTGGATCTCGACGCCTTCTTGACCGCTACGCATACGCGACGCCTATGGACCTCAATCTGGCATTGAAACTTCGATCTTTGAACCCAATATATTTACTGTCGCAAAAGTCAAAAAAGAGTTGTCCCAACAATGTCGAGCAATAGCACATTAACAGTGCCACAGGTGAAGACAAGCACCTCAACAAGTATGCTTTCTGTTCCAAACCCAATCGTTTTCTTTCATTGCTAATCAAAATCTTCTTATTGCTCCAGCCTCAAAAACACCTTTCCACTTCGCTGCTGGCCTTTGCTCTGGCCTTACCTCCTCCATCCTCCTCCAACCTGCGGATTTACTCAAAACTCGAGTCCAGCAATCCCAGGGAGCAGCCCTCCTTCCAACTTTGAAGGCGATCATTTCCTCTCCGAACCCAATCCGTGGATTATGGCGGGGTACACTCCCTTCAGCCCTCCGAACCGGCTTCGGATCAGCATTATACTTCACCAGTCTCAACGCATTGCGCCAAGCCGTTGCGCAAAGCAACCCAATGGCCCTAGCCAATCCGGTAACAGCCGCTAGATCATCCTCCGCCCTCCCCAAACTCTCCAACACAGCCAATCTTGCCACGGGAGCCGTCGCAAGAGTCGCCGCGGGCTTCGTAATGATGCCCGTGACCGTACTCAAGGTCCGTTATGAGTCGGACTACTACGCATATCGCAGCTTAGTAGGCGCAGGCCGGGATATTATCCGCACTGAAGGGCTGCGTGGACTCTTTGCAGGATTTGGCGCTACTGCCGCCCGTGATGCCCCCTATGCTGGCCTCTATGTTCTCTTCTACGAGCAATTGAAGCGACGTTTCGCTTTGATGGCCGCAAAACCCTCTAATAATGGCGAGACATCTACTCCTGTGTCGTCTTCATCAATAAACTTCGTCTCCGGCGGAGCGGCGGCCGGCATGGCAACTGCAATCACCAATCCTTTTGATGCCGTCAAGACCCGGTTGCAACTGATGCCTGCCAAATACAAAAACATGGTGCATGCCACGCGCCTGATGATTCACGAGGATGGCATGCGCAGTCTTTTTGGTGGACTTGGTCTCCGCATGGCTCGCAAGGCCATTAGCTCGGCGCTGGCATGGACTGTCTATGAGGAGCTCATCATGCGCGCTGAGAGGCGGTGGGAGACGAATTCCCAGATGGGCCTTTAGGCTTGCATTATACCTTAACTACCACTCTCCATTCCCATTCCACTTTTTGTATTATAGTCCGTTCAGGCCCCACTCTAGCTCGCATCCGGGTCCGTGCCCAGACGTGCACACCTGCATTGAGCTTGACCCGATGGGATGTTCTAGACAGTGGGCTGAGACCTGATATGTATATTATACTGCATTTGCACATATCGCCTATCATGTAATTATCGGCTTCGACCTTTCCATTTATACTGGGGGTATCTCCCAGTCTAGCTGTACCAAGCATCTGTACTTGCAAGATGTTCACATAACCCGTAGATATCACACTGGATATGGTAGGCTAAATATATCGGGAAGGGTGACAATGAATAGAGATGGTACATTGAGAGAGAAATTGGATCATAATAGAAATCAGGTCATCAGCTCATATCGCGTTACTGTACCACAAAATACTAAGTGATATAAAAAATCGAAAACAACCACAACTCAGCACAATTTCAACAAGAAACAGTCCAATAGGACCGGGCCTCATAAAGGACAACGCAATAACAACATTCAAATAGAACATGTACGTAAATCCGAACTTCTTGTTCAAGGATCATCCATGATCAAGGTAGCGCAAAATCGAAGACATTTATGTGAAGACGTGCACCCGACGACCTGAAGGGCTTTTCTTCCGAACCAGGAACATTCTGTCCTTTTTGCGGTCGTTGACTTTCAGTTCGGTCCTCGAGTGGGAAGTCTCGGCGATGACCTTGCCCTCGCGTAGACGTTGAGTGTGGGCGAAAAGCTGATCCTGGAGGTCGTGGTCTATCCACTTTTTGATGATGATGTAGTTGCCGTCGTTCTATGAAACCATTAGTCTTCATTGTACACATACAGGGGGATAATCTTTACCTCGTCGAAACCCCAAGGCAGACCGTAGGCGATCAAGGTATCTGGTAGCAAATGCTTGCGATGGACCTGGTGAAGTGTGAGTCAAAACACCAAGTATCGAGAGAGCACATCTTACCCTGATCCATGTGAGCTTGGTCTCTTCCTTCTTCTTCTCCTCCTCCTTCTTCTTCTCCTCTTCCTTCTTTTTCTCTTCTGCCTTCTTTTTCTCCTCCTCCTCCTTCTTCTTCTTCTCTTCTTCTTCTTTCTTCTTCTTTTCCCCCTCCCTCTTTTCCTTATTGATGATATTGTCAATCTCCTCCTCCGTATAGCCAATGCTGCGAAGTCGATCACGGAACTCCTTCGCCTGCCGCGCCGCCTCCTCGGCTTGTCTTTTCCTGATGCGCTCCTGTTCAAGCTTCCACTCCTCGACAGCAGCAGCCTTCATAGCTAGTTCTTTCTTCCGCTTCTCCTCGACCTCCCTCGCCTTTCGCGCATCTTCGTCGCGAATCTGCTGAACGAGCTTTTCATGCTCCTCCTCCTCCTCCTTCTGCCTTGCAAGCTCCTTCCACTTCTCCTCGCGCATAAGCTTCTCCCTCTCCTCTTGTTCCTCCTTCTGTCTTGCAATCTCCTTCCACCTCTCCTCCCGCATGAGCTTCTCCCTCTGTCCTTTCTCATCCTGTATGCGCGCAAGCTCCTTCAACCGTTCCTCTTCCAGTCTATGTCTAATCTCCTCTTGCTCAGCAGCAGATCTCTTGTCCGCCGCATACTTCTTGAGCTGATAGCGCTCCTCAGCCTTGCGCTCTTCCTCCGCAGACTGTTGCTTGCGCTCGAGTCGCTGCAGCCTACGCAGCCGTTCCGAAAGTTCTTCCTCATAAAGCTCGGCCTCCTCCTTGAGCAGCCGAGACTCACGCGGATCGGCTGGCGGATTCACAATAATCTGCTCGCGCTCATGCGTGCTGCGATCACGAGATTTCTGCAGCTGCCGCTGTAGCCGTTCGATCTCTTGTTGATGCTTCCAGATATCCAAATCCTGCCGAAGGTTATCGCGCTCCATGATCTGCTGGACCATGTCCTGCCGAATGTCGTTGCGATCCAGCATGTGCTGACCCATAGCTAGCTCGTGATCACGGTGGAAGGGGGAAGCTTCACGTGAGACGGCAGTACTGACGGCGCGGGGGCGCCCACGGCGGGCTGGGAGGACCGGTGCATCGTCTTCATCATCGAAGCGGTTGTGGCGATGATGGTGACTGTGGTCATCTTTAAATTTTTGATGCACCCGTCGAGACTGGGGCTTGTTCTCGGCACGACTCTCTGACTGCAGCCCTTGCTCGTTGAAAATCATTACCGCTGGTGGTGCGGGTGGTGCTGGTGGTGCTGGTGGGTCTCGGCGGCGTCGGCTGCTTGTCGAGGCCGACCGAACCATGCGGGTTTGGGATGGTGCTAAGAAATGAGTGACTTCCGGGCGGCGGTGACGAGAGATGGAGCGCTGTCGGATATGGGTTCTGACACCCGGTCGATGAAGTGAGACGTCGGTCTCGGAGTACTCCGAGCTCTGCGAGTCATAACCATCATCCCACACTGCGTGTGCGGGCATTTTGGCGGGGTTGTTGCGAAAAGTACACGGGGGTACGAATGATGATATAAATCAGGGCCCTGAAGGAGGGGCCTGAGCGGGGATTATCAGGTGCAGGTAGCAGATGATAGGATAGACAAGAGAAGAGAGAAATGAGAAGTAAGCCGAAGAGCAAAAATGGGGAGAAGACGAAACTTGTATACGAGAAACTGTGCGCTTATACTTGTCAAAGCGGGGGAGGGGCTGGGAAGAAAGGAAAAGAAAAAGGGAAAAGCCAGGCCTGTACCTTATTTATTCAGCTGGGCGTCATGGGCGTCATTTTTCATTGGCACCCTCCATGCAGTTCAGCCTCATGGCGCATAATCTTTGCATTTGACTCGATAATATTATCCTCTTCTTGATGTGGGTTTCTACTCTTGATACACTAAGATTTCCACCCTTCCTCTCTGTCTTCTACATACACACTCTCCATCTCCAACTCCAAGTCCGGTGGGATAAAGAGCATCATCAGGACCCACTTCGAGTCCACATCGAGGTTAATGATAACGCCCTGGCAAAATCTGGGAATTCTAATATTAATTCTCTTAGACCGCACATCGGGCCTTCCTGCTGCATAAACCTCCGAAATATGCAACCATGTCCTTCGTATACGCTACTTAAAATAGTCACGAGCGAACCGTTTTGCGCTCACTTTCTATGAGACGCTGGGAACGCATCTAAAAGATATAAAGCGCTTACTGACCCTACATTTTGCGATCGACTCCTTTTTCCGTGGATAAACTTGTCGCTCGTGGCTTGGAGTAGAATTCGGGGTTCAGTCGATTTGGGCGCTTAGTCTCCCTACCCTTCTACCTAATTCCGATAGTTGGAAATCGAGGTACTATTCGTTACAATAATTCATTGGGCACCAACCATGTGTTTCGTATTTACATTTACCCATCCTTGATCTATATCCCTCTCAATTCACGGTAGCCCTGCGGGTGGGGCTTTTCTATCCATGGATTTTGGCTGCCGCTTTTGGGGGCGGATGGGTCAGGCTGGTATATTTCAGTCTGGGCCCGGACTGGCCGTTATCATCATGTGATATATGATGTATCACTTTCAAGCCCTATATCGTACAAACATATGAAAGTCTTGGCTAGACTATCCATGAGCGATTTAGTAAAGCGTCATATGTCCGACTGTTCTGAGTATCTGAAAGATCTGCCGCTTTCACTGCTCGCATGTCCTTTTGTGTATCGCAAGTAGGTCAGAACTTGTAGAACGAGCGGGCTGGTTGTATTGAGCCCAGAACAGAAGGCCTCAAGTGGTCATCCTTGGAAACATTCGAGATAGAGTTGGAGATCTTCATATCCGGTTTTATTTGGCCAAAAAGCGGCGAGAGATGAGCCTAAGATGGAAAAGTTCAAATCTGAGAACATGATACCATCCATGGAAGGCGACGTTGAACTGTGGACGAGAGCCGGTGTTCCCGTAACATGACCCATGGGCACCTGACTTTATCCACCCGACCTCGGGACTCTCTTCATTCTAGTTTCTACGTCTATGAACACTCAGGTTTCACCCAGACTTCAGGTACTTTAATCTCAAAGTCCAGCACCTCAGCGTGCTACACCTAGCTGCACATACTTGCGTGTGAGTTTACAATACCTGGCTGCACCATCCTTCTGACTAAACCCAAAGCGACTAAGTGAAGTATCGCTAGTGGTTGTAAATCTCCACTGCGTGCTTGACTGCACACAGTAAAAAGTCAGCCAAAAGTTGCATTGCTCGCTGCCAACTTCTATACTATAATTGTATCTAACTTGAAGTTTCCTGTCTTGGTCTGAGCAGTACCAGGACCTCTTAGGAGTAGATTTTAGACTTATTCTAGCCTTGTGTTTTACCTACACAGAAAATTGGCCCAACCCAAGCCACACCTGAAAGAAGCTCCCCGTTGAATAGGCACAGTGGCAAAAAAAAAAGTATATTTTATGTCTATCAGGTGTATCAGGTGCGCAAGGTATTTGTCCTTCTCTAGTTCCAAGCCGGGGGAATCCTGTCATGGTGATAAAAGCGACAAGTGTGCTTTTTTGCCCACCAGCAGTCAGGCATTGACTTGATGCAAGAATCGCGAACTAGCCACAATAAGCAAATATCACTATTTACTAGACATTGTTCCACAAATTATAGGTCAGTGGCTCTCATTACAGGAAAGGAGTGGTTGTGTTGCCCATATACGTCATTTTTAATATATGCAGTGGGGAAATGGGCATTGATGTAGCCGGGACACGAAGATGACGCCAACGGCGTTGGTCTGGTAGCACATGGGAGCCCTGCAATGTAAGATATCCATTATATCACATTGTGCATAATGTTATGATCAAGACTTATTTCCTTCCAAGATCGGAAGACCGTTGCAGATCTTCAAGTCCAGTTTTGATTAGACCACCCTTGGCATATCAGCCCTATCGAATTGGGCTTCGGTGCGACATGCGATACTATGAGAATACAAGGGCCATCTGAGCACGTACATCATATTAGAGAAAACGAGGATGATGCAAATTGAACCGTGCTTCGCATTCGAGGACCCTTGCAGCATTGATAGTGACAGCTGCAGCGCAATAAGCTACCACCGGCCCCACAATGCGCGTCTTGAGACGCAGCTACAGAGCATATGAAAATTTGGGAGGTCAGCACCGAAGCTACGTATTTCTCTTGATGGCCCTCTCCCGCTAGCGCCCGAAGATTAATCAACCATTGGTTCCAGATTCAAGCTCCGACAGAGAAATCATAGAAGATAGAGAGATATATACAAAGAGGTTATCATGGCACGCTCTTTCCTCGCTTGATTCATTCAAGGTATTTTTTTGCAAACCATAACTCCGGGTATCTAAGTCACTATCTTGTAACCCAAGTATGTATGTATAGTCGCCAGAATGTGACCAGGCCAGCCGGACATAGAAGGAAGGTATTCGCACCCTCCCTGCATCTCCCCGGGGCAAAGTGTACCATATCCACTCGTCAGCCTCAAGATGACAGCATCTCCAATCCATCCTATCTTCTCTATCCAACCTGTGTCACAACAGGCCCACCCGGAAGGAAAAGACAGTATAATCGGCCTTGTCAGTTCCTTCCCATTTGGATTCACATTCGCGAGAACCGCTGGACCATTTGGTATAAAGGTACCACAATCAAGGATACCCCTCACATGGGGGCGCATCGCGTTCACATCTTGCTCTTGTCTCATGATCTTATTTCAACATTTTGTTCACGCCCTCCCCCCAGACTTGAGAATTTGTTCCATGTTCTCCCGACTTTTTTGGTTTGTCGTCTCGTGGTACTGCAACTTTTTCTCGAGATTGGCGATCTCAGCTGTGGCCTCGCCGCTTTCGCGCGTAAGGCGCTTGTTGACAGTGTCGATGGGAACGTTGACGAACCTGGGACATCGGAAATAGTCAGTGTCGGTTTTACGAAAAATGGGGCCAATGAGAAATTTCCCCAACTGCCTCACTGTTTCGGAGAATTGACAACAGAAGAGAGTGATGGAATCAAATAACTAAGAAACAAAAGGACAAGCTAGGAGGGAGAAAAAGCTCACATTTTCCCGACTCCTTCATACACGTTCGTCTCGGAAGGCAACTCAGACAATTCCTTCGATGTAAGCTGTAGCATGCGGATATCGCGCTGCTTGGCCGTCATGTGAGCCTTGGTGATACTGATCTGCTGCTGCGAAGCGATCGCACGGGCCTCAATCTCCTGAAGGAGCTGCATTTCTCAAACCATTAGCATCTGCACATGGTCATTGGATATGATATCTTAAATCGGAAACCAGAGAGAGAGAGACAAGAGGTTGAGTGAGACCGAATTGAATTGGCCCACCACTTGCTTTGTCCGTCTGGTCGCACTATCCAACCGGAAAATACGAGGTTATTCAGTCTGAGACACACCTTTTGGAGAGCTTCGTTTGGAATCGACATCTTGGCTGTGAATGTTGTCGGAGCTTGAATCTGGTTGAGGGGTAGGGGTGCGGAGGAACGGGTGGAAGTGAAATTGTTTTGTTGTCGTAGACTCCGGATTAGTTATTTGATTTTCTCTCTGGAGTAAATATGTATCGATCGATTTGGTGAGTAAAACTGTCTCGCACGCGTGTCTCTGTGCAATGTCTCGATTGATGGAATCAATTCGACTTGCTCGGCGAGGCCATTGGGGTCAAGGCGGTGGGTAGGCGGGGCGGTGGGGTATTGCCTGACTTAGGGCTCAAGGTATACGAGAGGTATACGAGAGGTGTGTCAAGACTCAAGTCCCAGGGAAAAGCACGGAGTTCGCGATGAAAAAGGGAAGCGGGCGTACTTTTCTCTGCTCCGTGTCTATTATTTTGAGAGATTTAACCTACATTAGGTTAAATTTGCTTTCTTCAATTCACATCGTATGAACTTCTCTCTAGGACGGGTGAATCGACATGGGTTCAATGGCAGTGCTATCCGCCGCTCCTCGGTTAAAAAAAAAATAAGCAGGTCTTTCAGCGTCCAAATCTCTTCGTAGAAGTATATATGGCTATTATCCAGCACAAAGTCCATGGGTCCACTGGTCATTGATTCAATCGCCATTTTAGTCACCCAAACGAAACAGCTGGATCTATCAGCTGGATCAACCGGGGAGGGGCTTGTTGCGATAATGACTCTATTGTTTAGTAAGAATTGAGAATAACTTTGGTACCAGCTACAAAAAGGCTATACGGTGAAAACGACATTTCCAGATATAACCTTTGATAGTGAGCGAAAACATCCATTTATAGAGATATAAGAATACAATAATCATAGTCGCTGCTGAACAAAATCTAAAGCGAAAGTGAAAGTAATGAAAGCAGAAAGTAAACTTAGCTCATCCGCGGCTTGTCCTCCAGGGCTATAGTATAGTATCAAAGACTCTTTATAGCAAGAATTGCATCACGGACATCAGCTCCAAGCACAGTTCCAGCGTCAGTGTCACAACTGGAGGTATCACCGGAGTCAAAAGTCTTATCTTGAACAAAGGAGTCAGGGAGTTCTGATCCTGAAACACAACGAGCTAATGTAACCAGTGTTGACCGATTGAGGTACTCGCCGGCGGAGGGCCAAAAACGCGTGGCCTCAACCTTTTTCGCAACGGCGTCACTTGCTCCTCGGCTCTTTGCATATAGGTACGCAATAATGAAACAGAAGTATAGATACCGTCGGCGAGGACGGTTATCGGAAACGAACGTCAATGGCTTGTTGTCAATCTCCTATTATATCATTAATATAATACTCAACTCTAGTTTTTGCAATACTAACCTTCAGTTTCATGTAGGACCCGCCCAACACACCAATAATGTTCTCCTTCTTTGATTCGTCCAAGACAACACACCTCCATTCAGTTGGACTTTTCATTGGGCCGGGCATAGGTACAATCGCGATAGTACCTTGGTTGAAAAGTAGCTCAATATTCTCTGCTAGTGTGATACCTAATTTGTATAAGTTAGTCATTTCCTTGGCCATAAGGAGATAATCTTACCATTGCGGGGGTCGCCAAAAACTCCATCGCTGACTCCAAATAAATGGCCAACTTCCTTGGGTGTCATAGTTTTGGGTACAAGATGGGCAGCTTTGATTTGGTTTTGGGGAAGTACAGTGCCCAATACATGACACCACCCAAAGCCAGGGTGACAATGCTCATTAACACCGTAGTACGCATAAATTGCTTTCTTGAACGCAGATTGATCAAACTTGGAAGCCTTCTGTTTTGCACTTGCGCCAAGCACACGGGGGATCATAGCCTCGCGGTAAGCATGCTCGAGCAGACTTTGGTCAACCGGCCCTTCAACCCTCTGACGTTTCATTGAAACTTCTTCATCAATATCTTCAATTATCAGTGGGCGTTGTGCCTTCAGGACTTGAATGGTTGATGACCAGGAACGGAAGGACTTCAAGAAGGGTTGGATTTCTCGCTGAAAGGCGTCGTGGGAGACCTTTCCAGTCTGTCTTACTTCGTTAAGGCCGTCTCGAACACATCGCATGTACTCAAGTTCACTTTCCATGGCCGCGAGTTTCATGTCAAGAATATCGGATGTTGTTGACTCAACTGACATCTCAGAAAGGCGGGATGCTGCACTCACAGACCTTTGCTTGTGAGTCCGTAGCGCTGACTGACGAGAAGGCGCCATAAGAGACGATACTTTTTCAGGGATCATGGGGCACTCAGCAGGTTCGTTCAGGGTTGACATGTTGGCAGTATGATCCAGACAAGAAAACGAAGGGCTGATTAAAGTAGACGAAAGAAGAGGTGACAGGCTGTTGAGATATTGGGAGATAAGTAATACCAGTGGTTGAGCTGGATGGAAAAAGGCGATAAGCCGATGAAAGGTATGATAGACTTGATTCCGGTGATGAAAAGGGATGAAGGAAATGGGAAGGTGACAGAATGCTGAAGTAAAAGGAAAGCAACTAAGCCCAATTTGGATTTGACATGATGCCCCAAATGCTCCCAGGTTCCCATGAGACTGTCAAAAACCTTCGGCTATACCAAGCATTTCTGTTTTGATGCCTTTCCTTCTGATACAATGCTTCCAAACCTAGGAAGGCTTCGCTGCCCTCGATTCATTTGCGAGCTGACATGGATATAGGCTCAGAATATCTCGGAGCAAGCCTACGAAGTACAAAGAAGAACGTTGTGAAAACAAAGCGCTTTGGTGGTAATCACGGGAATAAGGCTACACAATTTCACAAGCACTAGGCCCATTCAACGGATAGTTGGGACTGAACGGCCGATTTGGTGTAGTCAACCATAATCCAATTGATGGTGCATAAATACACATGATGTTCTGTTATAAGGGGATAGATAGTTAGAAAAATCCGGAGAACCCGGAGAAACATGGGAAAGAAGAAAGTCCTATTGCGCCACCAGGACCCTCTAGGATACAGAGACCTGGGAGAAATATCTCAAGTAGCGGTGTGATATAGCGTGTCAGAAGAAAGTCGAAGGATATCTTAGGGGTCATGAGATCCGAGATCTTGTGGGGGTGGGCGTTATCACTATTGTTTATGGCATATAGGAGTGATGACCGAGATGGTCCAAGTTGGTGCTAATCTAACTGGATATGGTTACAATAAACGCAGTATTTTACTTTGGTTTACTAGCTTTCGAGATAGAGAAAGTTGGATTGGATATCCGAGTAGTAAAATCAATGCGTATTAAAAAGATCGCGATTCCCTCCAGTGCATCATTCCTTCGACGTGAAGATAACAGAAATCTAAAGACCCGGATTGGACCGACTTCCAGGAAGATCCGCGAATCAATCGAGAGTAAGACAAATACCAGGTTGATTGGCATGACAGTAAGAAAAGTAAAAGACCGAACCCAGGAGATCATTCCCAGACTCCATATGCCCCAAGCCCAAACTCCGTTTTCCACTGAGCCTTCTGTTTTGGAAAGCTCCTCGGCATGACCACCTCTCACTCATATTCTCGTTCAGTAATAGAGCAGCAAAAGGCTGGTCAGCCCACATGCAATGACGCGAACAACTTATGCAAGGCTTTTGAGATAGCCAGGGGCATAGTCAATTCTTTGCCGGCATTCAGTAGTTGTTGGAGCTGGGCTCGGCGGAGCACCACAACTCAAACTCAGCGCCAGTAGGGTCAGCCATGCTTTCATGGCGAGGCATATCCCATGATGAATCCCGGCCCTCAAGGCTCTGCATGCTGGGGAGATACGCAGATGCCATGCTAGGGTGAGTGTATGAAACGGTGCTGGGGGACATGGAGGGCGCCGATGAGGCAGCGTAAAAGTTGGATTGAGTCTCGTCAACCCAGGTAGAGAATGAGCCAGTATTGGCAGCATAGGACGGGCCGGCCATGGTGGCAACCCCAGAAGACTCGCCGCCATTGCTCAGAAGTCGGGGATCCATGTCATGCATGGGGAAACCATGTGATGAGGCGGTTAGCTGAGGCTGGAGCAACTCGTGGTGAGTAGCACCAGGAAGTCCAGCGAGGGAATTTCCATATCCCATATCCTGCTGGTTTGGACTGGCGGGGCGATAGTGCATATCTCCAGCGTAGGACTCATGGCCCAACGAGTTGGGCGGCAGCATTGGAAGGCCATTCGGGTGGCTTGTATTCTGCCAGGAGTAGGTAGATCCAGGTGTCATCATAGAATCAGGTCCAAATGGCGAGGAATCCCGGCTACTGTCGTAGTAGGCCTCTTCGAAGCTTTGCGATCGAGAGTGGATGTAGGAAGACCCGCAACCCATACTCGATCCAAGGTCACTTTCCATGTCAGAGAAAAATCCTTCATCGACGATAGTAGGAGAGCCACCATCACGTCGGTTGGCAGGTGGGGTTTTGTTAGGCGAGAACTTGTAGTCTGGGTGTGTTGCGGCATGGTTGTCTCGTTCTAATTTCGCTAGATCTTCGTATTTTCGGCGAATCTCAACGGGCTCTAGCTTCCAGCCCATGCCCGCGATCTTTGAGACGATTTGGTGGTTATTTGCACCCACTAATCTCTTGGTGCGCTCTGCGTATGCAGAACGGTAAAGCATGAAGGAATTCATAGGACGAGATATCTTCCCATTCTTCTTGCGGACTTCGTTCTGTCGCTCATGAGCAGATCGAGACACCCAAGCATCCATGTCTTTGATCGGAGTCGAGTGAAACGCTTCAGTGAGCTGACTGATTGGCCCATCAAGCTTGATACCTGGATCGGAGAGTTCTCTCCGGTTACGATTGCGTCGCTGCTTGGATGCCTTGACTGGTGTCTTGTTCCGAGAGGTCCGTGACCAAGTTGAAGAAGGGGTCATCACGGTGGGTGACCCCATTGGGATGAGACTTTCATCAGAAACCGGAGGAGGCGTGGTGACCTGGTTACCGGACATGATGATCTGTGTTTATGTACCTCGTCAGTCACATGCACGGTCACATGGCAACAAGGAAATCCAACTTACCGATTGAGGAGGCATATTTTGAGGAAAACTGGGGGTGGTGTAGAGTGGGGGAGAATCGTAGTGCTAGGATGGTTAGTTTTGCTATGAGGCAACCTCCAGAAGACAAGAGACTCACCATTGTTTGGGACTGGGGCTGGATACTGTTGTTTTCCTGTCCAGGCATCCCGATGGTGTTGTACGTAGGTTGGTACATGCTAGGGCCTTCGAAAGAATCTTCGGGCAAGAGACGTCCGTCTGTGGACTGTGGAGGTGTAGGAGGAATGGTTGTTGCTACCAAAGTCATTGTGATCTTTCAGACCCTGATAGACAGGATCAAAAGATGTGTTGATAGAGGTTGAATTGCAAGGAAGCTAATCCAGTGGGAGTAAAGAAGAGAAAGAGAATTCCCGGAAAGAGGAAAGAAGTGGAAGAGATGGAGAATAAAGATATTCTCTGCTGTCCTACCCAGATGATGGGTTTGTCTTGCAATTTAGCTCCCCTGAAAGAGGTCTCAAACACGACTGCAGTTATATCTGCTGGCAGGTGAGACAAACACTGCAACAATCCAATTGGGTGAAGTGTGAATGTATGAAAGTAAAGTATGAAGATCAAGTGGATATGTGGATTCCAGTTCAAAGAAGTTGAGAGACAAGAGAAAATAGCTCAAGACTTGAAGATTGAAAGATGGGCGGGTCTCGAAATAAATAGAGTCGACAGCAGAGGGAGAATACGCAAACAGCTAGAGGCTGAAACTGACTCAAGAAAAAGGCCTGGAGTACAATACACATGGCGCGGATCTATTTCTCTTGGTTGGCTATTTTATTTTTTTTTATTTTTTATATTTTTTTTAATCTTTTTCTGATTTAATAATTTTTTATACTGATTAGAATGATAATTAATTTATTTCTCTGGTTTTATTTTGACATTTCTTTTATATTCTTTTATTTTATGGATTTCCTTTTCTGTTCCCCCTACTTTAAATCTAGTGCTCATGGTAGACGGTTTACCCTTTTGGTCCTAGTAAGATCTGCTATTGGCTTGAGATGCTCAATTTTCCACCCGGTTTGCATTCCATGTCTATGATACTTTGATTATGGCATATATGGCACACCCTTCAAGGGTCCCAATACCTCAAACGTCTACTCTTTGTGCCAAATTTGGAGAACTACAAATAGCCTGGAGAGAAAGAAGAAGGTTCGGAATGTTGACGATGCACCGAATAACCCCGGCAGAGAGCCCACATAGACTCCATCATGGAGCCATTGCACCAGAGGGGCAAACCATGGACCTGTAGGAACGCTCCAACGCCCGATACCCGGGGATGTAATAGGCCATATTCAAATGGCAAATGGAAAGGAGACATCCGGAGCCGGGGTAAGAGGGGCTTAGCTTCCAGATGCTTGGGAAATGTCATAGTGTTGATCTTAGCTTAGATGCAGGTTCGTTGGAATATTTTCTCTTTTTTTTTTTTTAGGTAAATTGCTTTTTCGTCTTTCTTGTACAGCTTGGCACTTTGATATTGGAAAAAGCAACCAGGGAGAGGCACATAGATGATGCATGTATCCAGAAAGATGCTAGTCTGGAGATAATCAGGAAATTGAAGCACCAAAAGCATGTCCATAGCTCATTGGTGTCAAGCGTAGGTGATACTAGCGCTGTATAACAGCCTCGAACGGAGATATTTAGATTCATTAACAGAGCAAGACTAAGCCTGCAAGACATGCTAAGGATGTAATGTAAACCATGACAGTACTAGTGACCTCCACTACTAATGATATTGATCAACTTCCATCTACTTGCCACGACCTTTTTCTAGGGAGTACTCCATAGTTCCAACCCAGAGATGAAACTATGTTCAATCTGCCCCAGATAGCCCAGATCACCGATGAATTGCTATAGAGAAAAAGGCAACAGTCTAGATCTAATCGTCACTTGTAATCTCACGTCCGGGGACTCGGGGGCTTTTCGGGTTTCATTTTTGCCTTGACTACCATAATCATTATTAATGTCAGGGATGAGAGTGGAGAGTTCTGGGGCGAGGTCTGGTCCTATCGCGGCGGTAGCGGGGTGTGTGGAGCCTTTGCCTGATCGACGGAAAGGTGACAGTTCCACGGTTGAAGTCGATATCGTGACCAGAAAAACCAACTGGAAGTCAACAGCGCCACATTCACAGATCGCTTCTGATTGGCTGGGTCCTACCGGGGTGATGTATCCGGCGATGGCCCAAGCTAGAATTGGTTCAATTGAGTCTTGGCGGACTTTTGGGCGTGACCTACCTTGCCCTCATTTCTACTCCAAATTCCTACACTCCGCGCGATCATTTCACCCAGATCATAGACTATACTGTTGGGTTCCAATTTGCATAGTAACGCCAATCTATGACCTGTGATGCTTGATGTTGGATGTCGGCTTGTCCAGGTTCACCGGTGAAGATAAATCCGACCAACGCCACGAGAAGTTAGGAACTCATTGAGCCCAACATCCCTGTAAGATCTCCCCGATGATTATTGTCGAGAGCCTCTTTGCTAATCCAGACATGCACGGCGGTTCGCGCTTACTCGGGGACATCTACGGGGACACACTTCCCCATCGAGTTTAGCTGATACAACACGACCTAATAGGGGCATTGCTTTGATAGTGTCAGACCCGACGATAAGTCACTCGGGACCAAAATGCTTCCAAAAGTTTGGATGTGGCTATTTCCAAAATACGGTGAGAGACCAACCAACCCCTGCGGATGTTCTGGAAGGGATGGCATTCCCCAGGGCCTGGCTCTTGGGTTCTTTGACGCAGGAACCACGTTATCACACGGCCCTCGTCGTGTTGCAGACTGGCCATGCATGTTTTTCTTTGTTTGGCCATGTTGCCTTCCCTTGCCCCCGAGACTCGAAAACCCTCCCGAGGGACGCAGAATGTCGATCAATTGCTAAAATGGTGGGGAGCGTGCAGATGCCATGTGTGATCTGCGAGAAGTTGGAAGGCTGAGACCTGCACTGCAGGACCATGTGGATTACCCCTCGCCCAAAGAAGGCGGGGAGTTGATACAAGCCTGCGCTTTGAGCTTATCTCTTTTTACTTTTTTTATCTCCTAGATGGCCCTGTCAGGCATTCTGTAAGCATCTTATTTGTCCTGGTTCATATGCCGTGATCTTATGCCGCGATCTTATACCGTGATCTTATGCCGCGATCTTATACCGTGATCTTATGCCGTGATCTTATGCCGTGATCTTATACCGCGATCTATGCCGCGATCCTATACCGTGATCCTATACCGCGATCCTATACCGTGATCCTATACCGCGATCCTATACCCTGATCCTATACCCTGATCCTATGGGGCCAAGTCACAACGTATTCCAGGTGTTTGAATGATCAAAGAAATAACACTGAGGAAGCAACAGAGCTGCCGCCACCGACTCGGTGGACTTGCATTGTAGAAGCTGAGGAAACACAGTTGGTAGTGCTCCATCCTCCGATTCCTAAATCCCATTTGATACTCGAAATGCCTCCCCGGAACTCTGGCACCTCGACACTCCCGGCCCACACCCTATCCTTGAAGTCATATAGCTGATACTCTGCGCCTTAGCCTGATATGGGGCTTTTGGCTTTCATGCAAGTGCATTTTCTCAAATCCCGAATTCGTAAGACCAAAAATGAGATACCAACAGAACCCTCTCCGCCGCACCGGGGGAATCATCGGTCCGGAATCTCCAATTTCTAAACGTCGATCCTAAGAGACATTGATCGACCGTGTTCACGAATCCAGTTCTCAGGCCTCTGAATGGTTGCTGCAATTGGACGCGCACCATGAACTCTTCTCTAATAAGCGGGAACCATATTGACAGCCCAGGATCACCCCGCTTAAGCCCGTCTTCTTCTCTTCCAAGAGCTTCTAGAAGGTCGATATCGACAGAAGAGGATAAGCTTGAACACTAATCTTCGCTTGGTCGCAGTTCAGTCTGCTGACTCGACTGCTTTGGAAATGCGCCAACCGCACAGATCTCCACGGTCTCAGTGCCGAATGAAGTTTCATGTTGAATCTTCTCTTTCACCTCTTGATCGCTTGTTCAAGTGTTTCAAATGCTTCTAAAGATATCTCTGTTTCAAGCTATTCTTAGTAGGTCCATTGTTGCATTTTCATAATGACAGTACGAGAGAAAGAGAAAGAGGATGGAGAATTGATCCCTACTACGGGGAAGAAGATCTACAGTTGATACTCCGTGGTGAGGATCAACATAAGAGGGCAAAGGTACTGATTGAACTAGGAAACTTTGTTACCGAAATTCCATTCGAGGTCATGTCCCCGATACCCCGAGACCCCGATACCCTGAACCCTGTAGTCCATTCATAGTGCTTTGGCTTTTACAGGGCATATGATTTTTGCAGGGGCCCCGGTTGACACGGCCGGATCGACCAAATGTGGTCATTGCTGCTATGCGATCTACTTGGCTTTACCTGACATGAAGATCATTTAATCTTAGGCGAAGCCGCTTTTGGTACGAACCATTTCAAGTTCGTAAATAAGCGCATTTGCCATAATCCCAGCCCTCGCGTTGCGGTCAGGCTGCGCATTTCAAGAGAAGAGCGGGGAGATGCATCGGATTTGGCCGCGCATATGGCGGATCGACATTCGACATTAGAAGGGAATGTCCCCGAGCCCCATATAGCCTAACTCTATCAATCTCTCACTATGGAGAGTATTGAATGTCAACCCAGGGGAATGGATTGAAATCAGATCTGCGTAAATCTCCAGACCGCCACGAGGGAATCTCCTGCGCAACCTGAGGCAACCTGGGAAAACCTTGCCAGATTGAATTAGTCAGGGATATATACAAGGGTCTGATGCGCTTGGGGCCCAAAAGGGAGAAAGGGCAGCCTGCAAGAACCTGCAAGCCTTAGCCAAAACATACTGGCGGTCCCAACCAACAGTTAGGTCTCCTCATCATTGGTTGAGGGCTGATATTGACAGCTTACCTGCCAGAGCGTGCACGGGTGACAGGCTCTGTAAATTCAGTTCGAGCCGGCGTACTTTGTACCGTGTAGATATCTATCTCTTGTCTCTGCGCGATTTCTGGACTGCTGCATTTGACCTGCTGCGATGATTATATAGAACCTTAGAAGGGAACGTTATGTTGTCATTATTCCTAGCGCGAACATTGACGCCCACGTTTCCCCTCTCTCTTTTCTTTTTCACCCCTTCTTTGGTCAGCCTCCACTAGCTTTGCATAGTGGCAGTAACATACGTCGATCTTCATATCGACTATTCGGGTGGAATTTCCCTCCCCTCGAGCCCCTCAGTGGTGGAGAATTGATGTGGGATCTGGCTGACACGCCTTTGACGCCCTGCATCCTGCTCTTGGGAAACCGGACTGCCTGAAATGCGAGATTTCCACAGTTCTTGTTGCTTGATAACTGACTGGAATAGACTGGTATTTGCTTGTGTTGTCTGCTTTTGTTCGAGATAATACCGTGCCTCTTACGGGAAGCAAGCCATAAGGAGAAAGGTGTCGGGGAGATCTGTTGTACTATAAGTTGAGGATGGTAGATTTGGATTCTCGGATCCGAGAAATTGAACGAGCTCCTTTCTCTCTTCTCCATGATTAATCCACAACTCTTTCCACGCTTGAATTGAAAACGAACAATTACTGATATTCAGAGCCAAACCCGACGAACTGGGCCGTTAATCATGAGGGACACTTAACACAACTGACAAGTTTTGCGTAGCCAGCACAGACAGTGGATATCCCGAGTCATTTGTTACGATATACTCCGTACAAGGTACGTACTCGCGTACTCATCCGGGGCCGTACTAATCTCCAAAGTACCTAGCTTAATCTGCCTAAGAGCCCCTGTCGGCTTGGCTTTCGGTCACCTGTTCACAGATCCGCGTTGACATCGTTTATCTCCGTAGCCCTACTCCGTACAGTGTCTGTTGTCTAGGTCGTCCTGGATCATCAAGGAGAGTTACTCAATTCAAACACAAGTCAAAGCCACTTTAGAGTTCACTAAAGAATCGGTGGCTTACGGATAATTCCAGACGAGGCAAGAGCAAGAAGATGGGCCGGAGTTTGGCGCGACGTATGTGATAGTCTTCCATCACATCTAACGGCGCCTTGACTCCGGAGTGTAGTATTTGCTCCACCTCTGCGGGTATCGATGTGCTGGATGGACTATCCACGGGGGATCTCGGCTGTGTCTAGCTTTAAAGTACTCCGTACAGCTGTTTCGTCTGATTTTCAACCGAGAAAAAAAAGCACAGACGGAATACGAGTTCTACATACGCTAAGAGAAATTAATAACTTGCCTCATTGAAATTCTTAATATCGAAACAAAAGTGGTAACCTCCGATCTTCAATTTGTTAGGACGGGTTGGGTTCCCAGTTAGGTCTGGTAAATTGAGGGGGGCAAAAGATGGGAGCTACGTGAGAAAAGTTGGATCTTTGAGGATCGCCTATAGCACCTATATCTCTTTTCAATGTACTATCTAAGAGATATTGATCTATATGGTGGAGTATGGAGTACCTTTGATCAAAGAAAGAGATCTCCCAAGGACAAATGCAATTGTCTTTCCTTTCGTATCAAAGGGACTAGCTTAGTGGATAAATATCACCTGTAGCCAGCCGTGTCTGATTCTAAAAAAACGGACCATTTGACAAATAATATTCAAGTACTTCTAGAGATATTTCTCTTTCCCGCTTTGATGTCTCAAGAGGTCTTTAATCCCCAAGGCACTACGGACTACGGCGTACTAGTCCTACAATGTACCTTTCAAAAGTCCAGACCTACGGGAGCCGGCACGAGTGGCCGGGTAAGATTCCGGAACTCCACTATTTGCGCATCCTTCTAACATGAGCTGCATGAGGCAAAAGCTCGGATCACGATCGTGTCTGCCGTGTGAACCTATAATATGCCCAATCACCATGTATCTATATTGCCCTAAGCTTATTCTAGCTATATCCGGAGTCAAAACGAAAGCTATGGTATAATACCTTGATTTTCTGATTGGATCATTGGCTGTCATTTTAGTAGCTAATCATTGCCCTCTAATTATTATTTGCCTCATATTTTATACGGCGAAGTCGTACAAGTATGTCCAGTCAATATGACCGGGGTATGGATTCACTCTCCGTACAAAATATACCGCGTCTCTATATACTCCGTACTTCATACAGATCTTCTACCTACCCCTGGAGTGTATGTTATAGTCCAATGTAGATCTGAGGAAGCTTGAGGTTTTTGGGGAAAACGACATATACCTTCATCTTCATCTTCACATTCACGTTTGAATTTAAGCCAGAGCTCGCTTCGTTTTCGGCGCTTGGCGCCCCGAGCTCGCGGGTGACACTGTGATCTATTTTGTGCATTTGTGCATGGTAGAAACCTCACTTGTCTCATTTCAATTTCCTACATTCCTCTTTTTTATTGGACGCGTGTTTCCTATTTTTTAATCATTTATTATGCATCTCTCCCAGGGAGCCTCAGTAGATCCTTGCCCAGACCCCTTTTTAAAGTGGAATTATGACAGCAACATGACAGCAACATGACAGCAACATGACAGCATGACAGATCAACTTATGTGTTCCGGGCCCCGTTACCCAGTCATCCCTGATTTCAAGGAACAAATTGCCGTGATATAATAGGGGGGGAGGAGGAGGGAGATGAGCATGCAGCTAACGTTACGCAGGTTAGAGCGGGATCTACATTGATCGTCTCCAATTACCGTCCAGTACGGAGTACGGTCCCTTGCAACTATGTAGGTTGGCTGCGCCGCATGCTAGACCCAGTAGGCTAGGTGCTATAATTGTGCCAACGGGTTAACCTACCTTTTTTTTTAGCGCCTCAGTAACGTGTCCGGGATATGGAGTACTGTCCTAAACTTAGGACCTTGCTCATCGGGTGTCTACCTAATACAACTTGCTACCACTACTACCTATTGCGGAATGGGATGTTGAGGGACGGGAAGACGTTCATTTGTTTTTTTTTTTTTTTGGAAAAAAAATGGTTTTCTGTATCTCCTTTTTTTTTTTTTTTTTTAAGATTATGGCCCCTAGTTATTGCGGTTGGATTGTGTCTCCAATAAACGAAATGAAACAATTGATAAAGAAATAACATAATATGATTGAGAGACGGGGGTTTGGAAGAAAGCGTTCAAATGCTGCGAGCCGCGTTGGTGTCTTGGAGACAGGGATCTATGATATAGGTACGGAGTAGTATGCAGCTCTGTATGCCAACGTACACACTCCGTGCTGTTGGTTAGCTGGGCAGGTCTGCGTTTGGGCATTGCATTTGTAGCCAGGGGTATATGCCGATCGACGTATCGGTCAATTTCAATCTTGGCTGGGCATAATACTTTTGTGTTGACTACCACGTTCTTCGACATAAACTGAAAGATGAAATGAAGCCATCTTGTAAAAACAATGTTGAATTTTCTGATATTTCATAGATTGTAATGGTTCACAATAGACTAGGACCAGGGCATTGAGAGTACTGCTATGTATATGTTGGTCTACTATTTGTACAGAGGCTGCAATTATAGGAATATAGAATATATATCTCGACCTCAAAACATTTCCCATCTACCCCTACATCAACTATATCAAACATCAAGTAGTCCAAGATTGAAATCAAATAATATTGTCTATTAGAATACACATGTCGCCTACCAAAACAATGGTGCCAGGGCCAGACCATCTGAAAACGCCGCTCAAGTCCCCATCCACCTCGATGCATTGTAAAAAACAGAAAAGAAACGAACAGAAAGGAGTTCCAAACGCCAGCCCACCATAGTCTCAAGAAGCTCCAAAGAGAATCGAAGGAACATTCCCACGAGACAGAGCCTCGACACCAACGACAAAGGGAAAACTCGTTATCAAAACATGGTACATCAACAAGGTTCGGCTGCAATAGCAGAATTCTCGAGAAAGACAAGCACACAGGTGCCTCACAGGCCAGAAGGCTTCATGTGGCAGATTTGAAGATTCAGTGTATGACATGTCGTTTCTCAGGAAAATGACTCCGGATAACCTGGAAAAATATACCCGGATGGATACTATTTGCGCCCACTCGATCACGATCTGCAGAAGTTAAAACAGACGTCGAAAAATGTATCAAAAGCACAGATCACATCAGCTCAAAATCACTGCAGCACCAGTTGTGGGGTTGGTTTCCGACAATGCTTCCAGAATTTATTCTAAAACAACGATCAGATGTTCGCAGGCTGAAAAAAGGGGGCCAATGCAAAATATATTTGGAAAAAGAACATATGCTGTTCATACTGCTGCGCAAGAAATTCATTGGCTTTGGCCATTTCTTCCGCGCTGAGGCGAAGGGACCGGATCAGGGTACTGAGATGTAGTCCCAGAGCCCAACGGAGGAATGCGATTCAGCGACGGTGATGACATCAGATGCTGGCCATTGCCCTGGTAGTGGTGAGCCTGGTGTAGCATCGAGGCATTCTCTCTCTGTCGGCGTTCCTCCTGCTCAGGAGTCATGCATTTGACAGGTGGAGGAATCGGGGCATCTGGAGAGCTACGGCCCATGAGCTTTGGACTGGGCTCTAGTCTGCGAATGGGCGGCAGGACTGGTGCACCCGCCATGGCACTGGCAGTAAGCGGACGAGGTGACTGTTTAGTTGGGCTAATCCCCGACATAGCCATGCCGTGAGAGCTTTGAGGAGGCGAGGAGTGGTTGCCGTTGGGCGTCGCGGCAGAGAAAGACGGATAGTGATTAGACATCGACGGTGTGGCTGCATGGCCCGACTGCGGACGGGGAGTCTCGAAAGAACTCCACGGGGAGGCTGCATGGGTCGGAGCAGCAGGCGGGAAACCCGCAATAGGGCCAACATCAGGGTTGCCTTGGGTAGGTGACATAGATGGTTGATTTTGAACAGGACTTTGGGCGGATTGAGAGGAGGAGGGCCGCACAGGGAATGATCCAAAGGGGGGAAGATGGGGAGTTGGTTGCATAGGCGGCAAAGAGTGCTGCAAGGAGGATGACTGCGGGTGCTGCTCCATAGCGGCATGCAACAAGCCATTCATACCCTTTGGCGGAGAAAAGGGTGGACGGGGAGGGCTTGAAGATGGAGTGTGATCTGTGTGATGAGCCCGGCGCTGTGGAGATGGAGGAGGATAGAAGTTGCCATGACCAATAGCCGACGAGTGTAAAATAGGTTGTGTTCTTGAGGGTTCGTCTTGGACATTTGATAAAGCGATGTGTGAATTCTTCACGGGTGAAGGGGGAGCATGGTCTTCATCATCTTCCACCTTCTGTTTCTTACTGACCAGAGGAGTAGCAGAAGGAGACGCTGAAGCGCTGACTCGGAATTTGAGCGGCGGAAGTTTGGGCTTGCTAGCATCTTCTTCTTTTTGCTTGCAGTCTCGGCAAACAAAGTGAAAGTCTTCCTTTTCGGCTGCTTCTTGTGAAATACCAAGACACTTGCTATGCTGCCAAACATTGCATTTCTCGCAGGCAACACTGTGGCTTCCGTCATCCTAGAAAAATGTTAGATTGGGGCTGCCACGTGCTTGGAAATTGGAACTCACCAAGTTTTCGCCATGCACTCCACAGCCAGAGCAATCAAATACCCACTGGTCATCATGCGTAAGCCCTGCTAGATTCTTCTGGAACTTCTCCAGATCAGCCTGGAGGTTTCGGGCAGACACCCGGCTTTCACCCCTCTCAATTTTTTCCTGCTCTTCCGCAATCCTTTCAAGCTCCGCTTCATGCAGCAGTCGCTTCTGTTCACGATCTCTGATGCGCTGCTCTCGAGTCATCGTACGCGACTGCCGATCCTCTTCAAGCTGATTTTGCCTCGCCTGCTGCTTACGAGCCTCGGCCAGGTCATTTTCACGTTTCTGGGCAGCTTCAGCAGCATCTCGCTCCTGTCGTTCCCTTTCTTCCTTGGCGGCAAGTCGACTGGACCTCTTAGCACCTGCAACTAGTTGCAGGTTTAGAAGCTCCTTTTCACGCTTCTGGCGCTTGCGCTGCTGCGCTTCTTCTGCCTTTTCGAGGATGGGCAGGACATGCTCAACAATGCTATCGCGCAGGTATTTTTCATCCGCGTCCTTAGTTTTTTGCAGTGTCTCTAAGAAAGCCTGGTATTCCTCAAGTGTGACAGCTACACACTCCCACTTGAAAGGTTCTTCAGCAAAGGCCGCGACAGCATTTGCATCATTAGTATCCTTGCTCTCTTCGTCGGAAACCTCTTCCGCCGCTGCCATGGAGGTGCGCTTTGACGTTCTCGATACTCGCGAAGACCGGCTCTTTGCCTTCTTCTTGGGACGCTGGGGAGGGGGAGGTGGAGGAGGGTCGGTGCGACGGTACAGGCGGTTGTCATCTAGCACATAGTATGAACGCCCCTCGCGATCCCAGCCAAACTCTTCAATACGCTGGGGATGGTTAGTATGCGATAATCAGACGTCAAGGTTATACAAGAGTATCTCACCCATTCTGTCTGCTCAGTTTCCTTCTTTTCAGGCATCTTGTCGCGAATGCGATCCGGGTTCCAGAAAGTCCATACCGTCAGCTGGCGGAGGACATGGATCTTGGTAAAGACATCAAAATGCAAGAATTTTTTGGGCTCTTCATCGTAGCCGAAGGGATTAGTGGCATTGGGTGCTTTCGCATTGTACTGGCGTCGGGTGTACTCATCGAAATTATCGAAGCTGCCAGCAAAGAAGTGTCAGTGAAACCGCTTGGGATAGCAAGAAGTCTGATCCAGTATACGTACGTGAGGCCGCGATGTGACGAGATCCATTTGAGGAGACACAATCCAATCTCTAGTAATTTATGAGAGGGCTCGGGTTTGAGGCATTCGACTTCTAGGTCCTAGCGTGGGGTAAAAGCTATCAGCGGTAATTCAATAAGGTGAGATGCGCTTGTGTATTCTCTCATAAATGCGACACGAAGCGCATCATTGATCTTATCTCACACAATGGCTTATAGACATACCTCAATCCCAAACTCCTCGTCGATCTTCATGACCTGGCCAAATATGGCAATGTATTGCATGAGGCTTGCAAATGCCCAGTCACTCCTGAGCTGTGACAGCAAGCCAGGCTCTTCTGGTGCCTGTTGCTCGGCCGCCGGGGCGGCCTCGGAGTGGGTGCGCTTTCGCGATCCCATCGCGGCGGGACAACCGTTAAGGCCGGTTTTCTCGGAGGTGCCCAACGGGGGATTCACTGGATGGAAATTTGGGCGAAGATGAAAGCCAGAGAAGTATCTAACTTTCAAATGAAAAACTTGGGTGTAAAGAATGAAAACGGGCCTAAGAAATATGAGGGTTGAGCCTGGGCTTTTTTTCGTGTCGTGAGGCAAGACGATCAGTAAGGCGGCGCGTCAAGGACCATGTCACGTGAGCAGATGCGTTTGTCGAATTTAGCAAGGGGAGAAGTGAGAATTTGGAGCAAATTTTATCTTGTAGATCATATAATTGATCTTAAATTCTGAAGAAAAGCATACTGTGAGATTATGCAAACAATGGAAGATCGAATATTCATGAATCGGAGACAAGTACAATCCATGCTTTTGAGAACAGTCGCATATACACAAGAGAAGATAGAAAAAAAAAGAAAGAAAGAGAAAAAAATCAAAACAAAGTAGACGCCTGGATCTTTGGATATCTCTCGCTCAAAGGTCTATTTCACACAGAGCAGTTGGGGGTCGTCATAGACGAGGAGAAAAATGCACACAGACGACAGCGCCAACCAGAATTCGCGCCACGACAGAAGAGTTCCGTCGAAAATGAAAATCAATGACAAAAGAGAAGAAGAAGAAGAAGAAGAAGAAGCATATTTCCCAGAAGCAAAATGCAGAACAAAGATAATAAGAAAAAAGGAAGAAAGGCACAAGAATACATTAAAACCTCCCCCCAACGCAGATCACCGAACCCTCAGAAACCCAATATAAATGCGGTAAAGAGAGAAACAACCAGGAATGAAGAAAAAACAGAGTGGGATCCGACGCCCTCAATCAATGACATACCTCACGCGTTGGATCCAGTTCTTCAACCACAATTTTGCGCCTTGTGTCCGTTAATCGCCAGAAGCCTTTCCCATGCATATCGTAAGGTAAAATCTTTCGGGAGAAAGAAACAGATGCTTTTCGTATGTTACATGGCTGCCGGGGCTCCATCCGAGACGGTGTCGGACAAGTTGATAAGGAGTTGAGCCAGGCAGCGCTTGGTGGCTGCATCGTCACGGAGAACGGAGGAGAACGTGGCGTCCCGGAGGGGTTCGGGGAGACATTGTCGCAAGGCCTCTCGGGCCCGGCTATTGTCACTGAGGCTGTGTCACACTGTTAGAGATGCCAAAAAACAGGGAGATTGCACGAGGACTTACCGAAGGAAGCAGCGCACAACATGCTTGAGAAGGCGGACCGTCTGTTGCTCCACTAACTGAGTGACCATATTGCTCAGGACAGTGCCCACGGCATAGAATCTTTCATATGTCGCGCAAATGTAGCCCAAGCCAATATCATCAAGAAGAATTTTCTGTACGATAAAGATGGCAACAGTTTTGCTCAGTTCCGACCCCGTCTCCATAATACGTAGGCAGAGAGGGATGATCTCTGTAGTCAGGAGGAAGTTAATCACGTCAGAGGAGTCATTCTTCACCAATGCGCCGATAACGCCCAGCGATGTGAGTCGAAGGTATTCGAAGGGACGAGACTTGGAGGTGGTGTTGAGGAAGGGGTAGAGGAAAAGAGGGATGTGAGCTGAACGGCGAGAATAAATTAGCGACCGATTTGACATGGGTTGTGGTAAATAGGTTGCTTACCGTTCAAGAAAAGAGTGCGGGTCTCATTGTGGGACGCGACGCATTGCAAAAGCGCCAGCGCATTGCAGACTCGATTTGACGCGGCGGCAGTCAACTGAGAAGGGTTCAAGAGCGGATAAACTGAAATAATTTCTTGAAGGAGTGCAGTCATGACACCTGCAAGTTTCCGACCGTTAGTTTATTGTAGACGGGGCTAGGCGCACGTTGGGAATGGGGCCATACCAAAGGAGTGCCAGATAACCAGAGCCAGTTCGGGGACCTGTTCCCGCTTCTTGCTCAGCTCCATCAGAGCAGATTCCCTGCGAGTTGGATCCAATAGCTCGGCGACCCAAATGAAGACCTTGCGATTCTCCTCACTAATTCCACCATCCATGGCGGACACCGCATTTGACATACCATCTCCACCCATACCACCGGCGCCACCGGCTCCCTGCGTGGGGTTTCCAGCGCCGTTGCCGCTCATGGCAATGCGGCCATAGTGTTGTTGCTGTGCTGCGGCAGCAGCAGCTTGCACCTGGGCATGCTGTTGAGCGACCAGGGAAGCGTGCTGCTGCTGCGACTGGTGTGGGTGGGGCTGAGCCTGGTGGTGTTGTTGCTGTTGCTGATGCTGCATCCACGAGGGATCAGCCTGGGGGTATTGATGTTGGTGGGAGAAGACGTGTTGGGTCTGCGCTTGGAGCATGATGGGTGGTGAGTCGTTTCGGAGACTCGTAATACTCCGAAGGATCGGAACTTAGGCGAAGCGACGGCAAAATGGGGGTCGCTGTGAAGTTGAAATAGGGTTAATAACGTCAGGAGTTAAATCCCGAGACTAGAATCATTGATGAATGGAAACAAGTTGCAAGGATAGTGGGAGAATGGGTAGAATGGGTCGGACAGATAGAACAGAGGAGTGTGGAGGAGGGAAAAGGCGGAAGTGAAGGCGGGGAGGTAAAGTGCCTCCCCTAATTTTTGTGTGGCTTTTGGCCTTGGGCATGTTTCTTCACTGTCTGATATATTCTATAATTATTTTGTTTTCAGTCTTTTCAGTTTTCTCTGTCTTCTCTACTACTTTATTTCATTAAACTCAGATCTGATTTATTTACCTTGTGTCAAATCTGCAGGGCATCCGAACAGAGCACATTGTTTCCTGCAAGCTGTTTGCTTTCTGCAGCCATTGCAATTTCCATGCGTTATTTGCTGATACTTATCGCATGCCGGTGCCCGTGGGCCAGCAATTATACCATATCAATACTCATTAGGCAGTAATCAACAAGTTCAAGAATCATTTCATGTTAGGTTTGTGCTCATAATCTCATATGTACATCATAGTGTGCCATAACTCTCTCATATCGACATCGAAAAAAAAAGTGAAATCAAAACCCAAAAACAATTATCGTGTAAGTCGTAGTCGTACATTAGTCACGTTATAAATTCAGCGCCATAAATGCATAATCAAACCAGAGTTGTTGAAATGAGTCCCCTGGGCGACAAAGAGAGAGAGTTCTTCTCGCGTTAGATATCATGGACGATCAGAGCGAGTGCGCGATCGTCGTGACCGCCGTGTATCCCTAGTTCGTCTGTCAGAACTTCGGCTACCTGTGAAAGAAGGAAGGTCAGTAAAGTTATTTCGTTTGCCAAGATATATGGGGGTAAACCTACTCCCTGTGCCCGAGTAATAATCGGAATAGTAGTAGTATGAACTTGGGTAGGAAGACTCTGTCTTGCTGTCATCGTGCTCTCTATCTCTCTTCCTCTTCAATCCCAAACACAGAGCAAGAGCACCGAGAATGATGGCAATTGTACCCAAGCCCCATTTGGACTCTTTCTTCTCGCTAACCTCACTGCCTCCGGCGGCTGGTCTGGAGCCGAACCATGTTCGCCGGCCGGCAGGAGGAGGGGGAGGGGGTCGATTGCCATGCGAGTGGTGAGAATGGTGCTCTTCAATATAAGTTGTGTCTTGTCTGCGTCGCTTCTTGCCAATTCCCAGTGCTGCAAACAGGCCTTCCAAGATACCCTTGCAGCAGAGACAGGCACAGAGGAGTAGCAGCAAGAACGCACCAACGATACTGCCAATAACGATTCCTGCGATGGCGCCACCACTTAGTCCGCTGCTGTCTGTGGCTTTAACCCCTATCAACTCTGCCCCGTTCGTTCCGACCGGAGCTGTGAATCCCTCCGTTGTGGTTGGGGCTGAGGTTGCAGTTACGGTGCTTGCCCCATTACTCGTCACTCGCACTCCCGGCGTGGCCTCTGACCCTGCGTCCGTTGCTGTCGCAGTCGCAACAAATGAAGAACTCTCAGCGACACACTGGCCCGCATCGCCAGCCTTATTCCAGGCGCATTCTTGCGTGGCATCACAACAAGTAGAGCCGCACTTTGTCTCACCGAGGTCGAATCTGCATGTGCCCGTGCTTGTGGCTGCGGCAACCTGGCTGCTCCAGACGGAGGTAATAGTTGTTAGGTCGGTATTGGTGAGCACATATGTTGTTGTGTAATATTCCCAATCTCCGCTGCCATCGCCACCGCCATCTGAACAGACGGCCTCTTTGGCACTGTTGGTACTGCACGTCTGACCGGTCTCACAGCAAAGCCAGTCGTTGTAGCCGCAAGGATTTGCACAGCGCTTCTCAAGTCTGTTTTCTTCCGTTGCATTCGCTACCAACGCGAGCGGGGTTGCGGCTGTGTGAAGCGAGTAATTGAGAAGTAGGACAAGTGTTGAGAGCACCGGCAGGACGGATAAAGACCGCATCGCAAAAAGGAAATAAGCAGAGTGAGGCAACGTTTGCCGAAGCTCAATGGTGAAAGCACTCGAGCGGGAGAGTGTGGTAATTTGGACTGGATGTTTCTCAGTAGTCTCACCTGGATACTCGAGCGATCTTTGTAGATCACCAGTGAACAAAGATCTCAAGTATTTGAGACGTCAAGAGATCGGAATGCAGACAAAGAATGAAAGAGAGTGAGAGAGGTCGAGAGAGGAGAGTGTTCCAGTTTGTTAGCTACACAGTGTCTCTCCCAGCCTCTCGCCGTATACCCAACCACCCGATTTCCTACCAATCGCCTAATCCACCGCTTTCTTTTTTATTTTCATGGTGGCTGGGGTTTCATATTAAATACTTTTTACTAAATCCTGATTAGTCCAACACTTCTTTTCACCTCGAATAACAAGCCCTGGGTTGCCTCCCCTGCGTCCTGTCAGAAGCGATCAACGGTTGAACGCAGGTCTCTCCACCCGCATGGCAGCAATTTCCTTAATGTCCAACACCGCCATTTTGGAATTGCCATGGCTCGGGTAACAAGAGGCTCGATGTTTATGACTCTAAAAAAGTAACACAGTCTAATTGTGTATACAGAATACATTGGGCAGCCATGAATCCCATAGATTGCAAGTCATGGTCGGAGATATTCTGTGCCACCAATGGCAGCCCAATGATCAATTGCCCAATCCTTGGAAAGGCCTGGAGATCCGATCAAATCTCCAGCCAGAGCCCTGGAGAGCTACTGGATTGGAATCTGACCTACAGAAGTTCATGTCTCCAAGGGACATCCCCCAAACCGTCTTTACATTGTAAACTGATGAATTTGTTTAGTGGAACGAGACCAGAGATCGGCTCTGTTTGTTCACTGATTCCGCCACAAAAGCTCCCAGGCGGTTCATTCTTATGGAGAAGTATCACTACATGGGAGACCCTGCAATGCTTGTTGGAGAAATGTTCACTCTGTCATGCCACTGAATCGATAGGAGTATCGCGCTTCTAATTGGTATGAAGATATTACTAACTACCAATAGTGGTGTATGTCGCGAAACCACTTCTTAACGGCTTGGTTGCTTGTACTATGGCTCAAAACCAGCGATAATATCACCAACATATTCGTCATTGAAGGTGCAGTGCCTGTTTGCTGTTACTCCCGAAGCTAGTGTCTTATCATCAGACAAGTACCTATGTTAGGTCACGCAGGGATGATAAGACTCTTTGTATCGCCAAAATTGGTCACGTTCAAAACTAGCTTCAGACTATCCACGATCTCGCTGCCCACCATATTATCACCCTTGACAGTATCCAAAGCCTTGAGGTATTCTTAGCCTGCGCACGCTTGAGCCATATTCTGAACTGGGCTACATGACCCAGTCAACATATGGATTGGATGTGATGAACGGGGAAGACCTCGCGATGTTCTAAGATCCCAAATACCAAGAACCTCAATTTCAAGCACGAGGTGCTGTACGATAAAGGAATCCGGACAGAACCAAAGTTGCAGGGAATTTTCGGATACGAGTAACTAAGATGGTAGAATCGAGTTCGGGTTCCCAATACGTGAGGCCATGATACGATGGTGAGACTTGACTGGCTCTGAACAATATCTCAAGTGCCTATTCTACTCAATTTCAATTAGCAATGGCACCATCAATTATCTTTCCATGCTCGCCAGTTTGAACGCAGGTCTAAACATTTGACATATATGTTAGTACGAAACACAAGGCTCGCAGTGAGAAAAATGTATCTGCGACTTAAGAAGCCAATCAAACTATTATTCAAATTTACAAAATCCCTCTTGACAAACAACCGCCATACCCAACCATTTAGTTAGGCGGTCACTTTCTGCCTCAAAAGTGAGGTTTTAGTGAACTGAACGAACAGATATTTCGCCCTTCGGGGCATATGGTCAACTGAAAATATACAGAGAAGATTAGCATGGCCCCTGCACTAAGGATGACACGCTCAATCAAAGAGAAGCTACCTATTTTTTTTTACTCTTACAGATCCTATATTGAGGGTATACAAATGTGGATCGTTTAACAGCATCTAATTGGTCTTACGCTTTTGGGAAGTCACGTGGATATATGATATCCGCGTCGGACGTTCGAAGCCCGAGTCTCAAAGTGGGGCGAATATTTTCAACCATGGTCGAATCAATCTTTATGAGCGCCATAGATCCACCGGGGCATACCTACCTAGGTATCCCGAGGTCGGGTACGAGCAGATGGTTCATCTAATCAATCTACGTATACATATAGGATTCTAACCCAGGCTAGATTGAAAGAGACCCTCACCAATGCCCGACCAAATCTCAATTACAACTATTCTTATACGCTGAGCATCCAGCAGACTTATGAGCACCTTGCATTTTCAATGAATCGAAGTGGTCGTTCAATGGAGCTTGATAGAGGGGCAGAATTTTCCACGGTACCTGATACTGCATCAAACAGAAGATAATGAGCGATCCTAATTACTCGGTTAATATGATTGTTCGCATCTCATCCCTCCGTTTGATCGCCTCTCACGCCTGAGCGAAGAATAATCATCTCGCCCCAATGAAGAAGAGAACAGAGGTGGAAGCTAACGGTGATATGATGTGAATAAAAATGTTCATCTGGCCCCGGATCTGCCAAGTACCTCTAAGAGACAAGATTCCGCCAGTCCACGCGGCACTATATATATGTATATAACTGCATCCAACGTATGGACATATTTGAATGGATCTTGTCGCCGAACCCGGTCAGACTATAAACCCATCTTTGAGGCGTTCCGTGACACGGATACTGTGTCAGATTTGATTATGAATACACATAAGTAGCCCTTGGATGAATTGGAGACAAGACGGATCTAATTCATTCAAATCCTTTGAATCAGCAGAGATATAGCTTAAACCCGATATACATTGTATCTTCCAAAAGCTTTCTGATCGCTCCACATGGTGATAGAAAATTCACAGGGAAAAAAAGGATATACAAACAAAAGAACACATCGCAAATATCATTTCAAATCCGTCAATCATATAAACATCCCCGCGACTCCAACCGCTAGCCCAAAGACCAGATCCTGGAGACTCGTCATCCGCACAGGAGATGCATCATTTCCAGCTGCGTCCGCATCACCAGTCTGTGTCGCGACGCTGTTACAATAACCCAAATTAATACCATGGCAAGCATCCACACTCAAGCTCGAGCAAATAGAGGCCGCTTGTGATGCAGCTGTGACAGCCTGAACCGTCTTACCCTCTCCCGCGCCGCCAATGGTGACGCCGTAGCGGCCCATCAGCGCACCAGTGCACTGTGTATACTCAGACTCACACAGGGAGTAGTATGACGAGCAAGTCTCCGAATTTCTAAAAGCGGTCGGAACAACAACAAATGGGTATGCGCCGTCCAGTGTCGATCCGGTGACGGATGCTGCTCGGCCCTCAGAAGTGGGGGTTGCGGTTGCGGCGTTAGGGAACATGAAGGCGGTACCTGTACCTGCCGTCTTCGTGTCTGTCAGACTGCCGGTACAGCTTGCGCCACTCGCGCAGCAGGCGATGTTGTTGGCGGCATCGCGTGAACAGTTTGTTCCGTGCTTACAGCATGCGTTGGCGTTGCCTAGTTCAGTGCAGGGGATGAAGCCGCCCGGGCAGTTGTTTTCGACTCTTCTAAGGATGCGGAGGACTTCGAAGGCTCGTCTGTTGGCAGTGGCTTCCTCTGCTTTAGTGAAGGGTGCTGTCTCTGTTGAGTGGACGGTCGAGGTGAGGAATGTGGCTGCAATCCAGATCCACCGGGAAGCCCGCATTCTCGGGGTCTGGGGGCGGGGGTTGGAATGGTCGATTTGGAGGAATTGGGTTTGAGGTTTCGGTCGATTTGGGTGCGTCTAGTGGATTGTGCTCATGCTTCGTTTCGTCGTTCAAGGCGTTATCCGGGGTTGGGCACGGATGTCAACAAACCACTTGGAGGAGTAAGATTAGTTTTCCCCGGTCGCGAGGGGTGTAATTGAGGACTCGGTACTCAAACATACCTGAGTACGGGCTGGTTGAAGATTTGAGAGATTCTAGAGAAGATCTGGGTTTAAAGAACAAATGATGTAGTTCTCAGAGTCAGGTCATAAATCTCCACCGGGATGCCCTAGCAACCGCAGCCCGACCCTCTAGACCCGAAGCACAAGTCGTATTATATTAATTTTTAGATTAATTCTATTAATGGCCGGGGGAGCGGTAATATGTTTAAGACAATTTCAATAATTACTAGTTTATAGTCCGTAAAACAAAACGTGGGACACAGTTCGGCATTCAACTACCTACTGCAGCTAAATTCTTAGGCTGATTGGGTACGTTCCTACGGTGAGGCCCCAATGCCAAACACGATACGGAGTACACGATATATGTCTTGGATCATTACCTATTCACTCTGTGGGCAGGGAAATCAATGTGCAAGCTGTTATAGTACCTTTGATATTTCGAAGATCGATAAGGTCAGATATCGATCAGCAATGTATGTACCAATGATCAATGCTAGTCTAGGTAGTTGAATATTGTTATTTTACTAAACTGTTCTTGGATTTCACCAAGTCAGGAGCGATTCATAATTTAGATTATACAAGTTTATACGAGCGCTGTCCGTATGGAATTTATCAATGGTTCTCTCTACGCCGTCTCTTCCAACCGTCCAAACACCACATTCGACTAACTCTCTCCACCGTTCTATCAGTCTCTCTAATCTCTGAGCTCGTATTTCGTCACCAAATGGATGGAAAATGTCATGTTGAAAGAGCTGTGTAACAGACTCGGGAAAATTGATGTGGACGGAAGCCCGTCTGCTCACTGTCAGGTTCGCACCGGCGTATTGACTCACTATACAGCCCAGTAGTAATAGGATCATTCTCGTTGGAAAATACCTCATCTCTCTGGCCAAGGAAAAGCCATCTAATGTCCCCGAAGCTGACTGTGCGACTGCTATCTGCAACCTGCAAAGAGTATGACGGGCAGGATGTTCTTGCCCTATACCTCCTGGTCGCGAGGCATGTCCATAAACATATGCCGTGCCGTGAAAGCCATGGTATCATGTGGAGCCTCCAAGCCAGGTGTCGTAGCTCTAAAATGTGGAGTCGTCATTCTCTTTAGAATTGAACGCATAAAGCACTCCTCCGGTGCAGGCGCCGCATCAAGCCCACAGATAGATTATCTGACCGTTAGCATGTCCATTTACGTTTGTAAAAAGCCGCGTATCTCTAGAGATTGTCGAGAGCGGCACAGAAGGCATTCTAGCTTCGATAACCGCCAAGTAACGAGCTATAGCAGCCACAGTAGTATCAACCTAACAAGGAGAATATGGAAGCCAAGACCAAAACCCGATAAGCAAACGCGACTTCGTTAAGTCTTCGGGCGCTTCGCCAGAGGGCGAATCGGCCATGGATCTACCAATTCGAAGCAAAGATATCCAGCTGTTAAGGGTTGTTTCCAATAAAAACCACATATCCTTGCGCTCGTCGATTGGATGCACGCTATCCAAAATTTAAAGGGTCATTGGGAAAGCAGCGCGGTGCAGCTGTTGGTCATAGACGACACTGACACAATGCGAGCCTAACTTGAGTACAGTGCTCTAAATCATGATAAATCGTTAGATAGTATATGTCGTTGTTCTCATCTGGAAAGATTTCGTCAACTAAGCCCATTGAAATAGTCTTCACCCAGTAAAAGAAGCCTTTGCGAGAATATCGAATCTAGGAAAAATTCACTGATGGACGGACTCGTTCGGGCACAGCCTGTGTATATTCATCTGCGAGAACCAATGGTTGACTAGCTAGCTCAACGAGTTCGGAGTCTCTTGCGCATGGCGGGCCATCCAGCCATACGTGACTAGGTAGTTGTGTAAACTCGCACAGCGTTCGTAATCGAGGGGGCCATTGAGGCGCGGAGCAATAACCTCAAACACCAGCTCGATGTTGAGGAATTTTTGCGGTGTGGTATCCCATGAGTCGTGATGGTAAGGTTTAGAGGGCAATATTATATTATTGAGAACCAATAACTGAAGACTCAAACAATGGGGCGTCAACCCCCAGAAGGCAAAACTACCTAGGTAATCAGAGAAGGAAATCCACAGATACCTAGGTACATGTACTGTACCTCAGTGCCTGACAACCAAGGGGCGGTATGTCGGAAACTTACCTTTCTCTTCTTTTCTTCTCATCTCTTGTCTCATATCTTCTTGTCCTAGCAATCTCTTGACCCTTACACTAGTGGGTAGGTAGAACCTAGCCTCAATTTGTCATGGAGTCCGCCAAGTCCCCCAACATCCCTGTTGTGGACTTTGCCAGCTGGGAAACCGAGTCAAGTCGTCTGCGAATCGCGCGAGAAATTGTCGCCGCTTGCAAACAAGTGGGATTTGTGTACATAATCAACCACTCATTGCCAGAATCGACGTTAGACGAGGCATTCAACTGGTCAAAGCTATTCTTCAATTTACCCCAAGACGAGAAACTCAAAGCGCCCCACCCAGAGGGATGGGAGGTTCACAGAGGGTACTCTTGGCCTGGACTGGAGAAGGTGTCGCAGGCGATGAGCATCGATAAGGACGATAAAAAGGCGGATCAGCTGAGGGAAGTTCCAGACATAAAAGTGAGACTCCGCTGTGTTTATCCATAGGTCTCATGCCTTCGAACCAGCACCAATTACATATATGTATAACACAATTCTGAAATTCATGGATTGACCTGCCATAGGAAAGCTATGACATAGGAAGCGACAGCAATACCAATCAGCCTAATCAATGGCTGCCCGAACACAGTCTCCCTGGTTTCCGTGACTTCATGCACCGCTTCTACTGGGAGTGTTCCCGTGTCGGAGGGGAAGTCCTAAAAGCGCTTGCTGTGGGATTAGAGTTAGATGAGAACCATCTGCTAGAGAAACACTCGGGTCATAACAACCAGCTGCGCCTACTACATTACCCGCCTATTCCGGCAGAAGCAATTGAGACAGAGCATGCAGCCAGATGCCCCGCACATACAGACTGGAGCTCGATTACCTTGCTGTTCCAAGATGACTGGTGGGTTGGAAGTCGAGGATGTTTCATCACCGGGGACGTTTGTCTTTGCAACGCCTATCAAAAATGCAATTGTGATGAATGTGGGCGATCTTTTGCAGAGGTGGAGTAATGGTTTGTCGCTTGATATGCCTTTGATGTGCCCACCGCTCAACCGCTGACTTGCATAGATATTCTTAGGTCTACCAGCCATCGAGTCACTTTGCCGCATACTCCAGATAGATTCGAAGGAGTTGACCGTATAACTCGCAGACGGTTTTCTATTCCGTATTTCATGGCACCGGATCCTGACTCGGTGATTGAATGTATTCCATGTGTTGGAGAAGGCGCTGCAAAGTATGAGCCAATCACACAGGCTGAATACAACCAAATGAGGGCTTCTATGCAGTATTGATAGTATCTTCGAGTATTGGCTTGCTCTCATGATTTAGGAATAATCCAATGGCAATTGGTCACTTTTCACCAGAGTCGTACGCGGCGCAGAATTGAAACCATTGTACTTTTTCCAAATTTTTTGCTCTTTGTCCTCCTCTTCAATTGTCTTCTCGAACTTCAACTCTACGCTGTGCACTTTAGTACTATTATTTCCGATCTAACTCTCATCTGCCCCTTTCGAAGACTGAGAGCCTTTACTCAAAAAGTGACTTTATACTTGACCTTGGCGCCGATCGCTCCACCTGACTAAGAGCCAATCTTGGCGCTCGCCGAAATGGTTCCAAGTCGCGTCCCTCATCAGGACCCCGATCGCGTGGCCACCATGTACGGCGAACTCGGCAACAAATTGGTACGTGGGCTATATATTGATCCTGACACTGGGTGTTTACAATCCCTACCCAGACCCAGACCGCCAAATAGCAAAGGGAAAAACAGAACATGACCCGCTGACCAACACCTTGCCCGCGATAGGTCCAACACGCCAAACGCACCCAATCCCTCGCCCACTTACCCCCGTACCAAACTGAGATCGTGCGTGCGGTGACCCGTGAAGTCCGCGATCTCGACCGTGATGTCACCCGCCTCCTAGAGCCATTCGAGGGCGGGTTTAACCCCTCCGCCGACCCAGCTATCGCCTGCGCGCTACTCGTCGACCACCTGTGCATGCGCCGGAATAAGCGCTGTCTGCTTGCCTACCACCGCGTGCGCACAGAGAAGCTCGAGGAGTTGTGCTGGACGGGAGTGGATATCCTCGAACAACAGCAGCCGTCCGAGGACAGTGGGGCGACTCAGCATACTGCTCTCGGGGAAAGCGGGCATAGCTCGTTGAGTCCCGAGGAAGAAGAGTATTTTCGCCAGTATGGGGATATGCTTGCCGCGTATAAGGGCCAGTGGACGGATGTTGATTTGACGGGGACACTGGAGCCGCCGAAAGATTTGTTCATTGATGTACGAGTGTTAAAGGACGCTGGTGAGATTCAGACGGAATATGGGTAAGCTTTTTTCCCCCTATGGCATTGCTTGGGGATCTGGTGGCTAATTCGGGCTTAGTGTGATCAACTTGACCAAGAATAGTCAGCTCTATGTTCGTCAGGGTGATGTGGAACGACTGATTGCTCAGGGTTTCCTGGAGCGGTTGACTTGAAGTTGCGTCGGGACTACCTGGCTTCCTCGGGCTCTATACGAGTACAAACATGAATTGGCGTTGGCTATCTACAGTGGTTTTATGAAGGGACCATGTATTTTGAGATACCCCCGCCGTTAGCGTGTCTAAAGCTAACGGCTAAAATGATGATTTTCTGCATTGCAATGGTGTGACACGAGTGTGCTTGTGTATGACTGCTGGTTTGATCCATGTATCTTTTTTTTGAATTTATTCTCTAGGGCTATATTAGTCTCACGGTAGAAGGTCAATCGGGGCAGAGTCTAGATGCCATTAGACAATCACTCTGGAAAGGCGAGGATTAACCAAGCTACGGACGTGTAAGATGTCCGGTGAATGTTGGCAAATGACCATACCCGTGGATTGCTCATTGGCTTATGGCGTTATGCAAGGAATAACAGGGCTTATGGTGTGGTGCCAATGCCGATCATGCGTATCGCGATGTCCGACTGCGGAGCTGGAGCTTGCTGCAGCTTGCTGCATACTATTTCAGCTTGCATAGTTAGTTTCAGAAATCGAGTTAGTCGAGTTAGTCAAGTTAGTCCAAAGTCAATCCCAGTGAAGAGACAGGCCTTGTAAGGACAGGTTAAGTGTTTTTATCCACATGGCTGTTTTCCCCTAGTCACCGCACGGACCACCTCTCACTATCTTCATCTGTATCAGTCCGGATGTGGTTTAGCTTGCCTTCTAGGAGATAAGGAATGTTTAGTCAAAAACTCCGGTACTTCGACCTTTTCTATCCTGTTGCTAATTCACATTTGTGTTGATAACTGGTTCTCTCTATACATATAACCCATTGAGCCTTCTGTGCAATGCCCATCTCGGTTGCGTCATTTGCTTGCTCAAACGGTCGCCCCATACGCTAGTGGCCCGTTTACCTTCCAACCTTGGAACTTTCAACTTTTTCAACATCGCTATCACTTGGTTGCACGGCAATTGCGCGAAAAACTATGGGGGTGCTGCAACCTCGCGGCCGCCGCGACTCTCGCGCATCAGCACTGTCACGCAATCTGTTGTTTGACCGCGATATCCAGGGTACCGCCCCGTCAGAAACGTTGGTGGAACATGCAAACCTAGGCAGCCCGCCCGGTCCAATGGGAGTGGAATCATCCAGTTACAATGGATCGACAACGAGAACACCTACCCGTTCATTTTACCACCGGTCCTTCAACAACAATATGGGTGGGTCATTGTGCATAATGTACCATTAGAGAGACTGCGTGACTTTTTTCACTAACCCCGACCTATCGTAGACCCGGCTCATTATGCTTCAGATGGTCTCCGTGACCAGACCGCTGAACTCGCTACCTATGGCCTTTCGCTGAATAAGAAATCCCTCTTAAGGGACGGGCCCGGCTTACCTCCCAGCCTTGATATATTCCACGGCAGCCAAAATTCTGCAAGCTACTCCCAGGATGAAGCTACAAGCTCTCATAATGACACGGGGGAGGCGTTGTTGGAGCCGGGATATCCCTCTATCGATCCTACGTCGCCTTCAGGCTCTTCGGCCTTGACAGAGATGATTCGTCGTCCATTGACGGATACGGCGGAGGACCAGGTCACGCAACCCGAGGCGGATGATACCTCTTTTCCCCCACTGCCAAATACCCATGAGGAACCCGAAGGAGACAATGAGCACACCTCATTATTGTCCAAACCACGATCCAAATCTACACAAAATTATGGAAGTGCAGGTGACGTCGAGAACCAGACGGCTGCTGTCAAACGGCCTCCAACCCTGATAAGGAAAGGGGTTTCATCTGCCACCCACTATACTCGCATACTGTCGAATCCAAAGTCATGGAATAAGCGAGCTATATGGAGAGAGGCTGTGGTATACCCCGCCAGTCTGGTTCCTGCCGTATTGCTGGGACTACTTCTTAACATCCTTGATGCCCTGTCTTATGGAATGATCTTGTTTCCTCTGGGGGAGCCTCTGTTCGCTCACCTAGGAACTGATGGTATCTCAATGTTCTATGTCAGTACCATTATTTCCCAAGTGGTATTCTCCTGTGGAGGCTCGATCTTCAAAGGAGGAATCGGAAGTGAAATGATTGAAGTAGTACCCTTTTTCCACCAGATGGCTTTCACTATCATGAATTCGATTGGCAAGGACAACCCAAAATCAGTGATCGCAACGACCATCTTAGCCTTCTCGGTCAGTTCGATTCTTACCGGCTTGGTGTTCTTCTTAATGGGTGTCTGTGGGCTAGGCTCGCTCATTGGATTCTTTCCCCGTCATATTCTCATCGGGTGCATTGGTGGTGTGGGCTACTTTCTTCTACAAACCGGAATGGAGGTTTCAGCCCGGCTTCCCGGGTCCTTTGAGTACAGTCTCCCCACGATCCAGAAACTTTTCCAGCTTGACACTTTTCCTCTCTGGATGGTACCCCTGTTCCTTGCAATTGGCCTTCTTGTTCTCAAACGATTTGTTCGCTCAAACTTCCTTGTTGGTGGATACTTTATTGCTGTTGCCGCAGTTTTCTACATTGTCATTTTAAGCGCCCGGATCTCTATGGGTGCTCTGCGGCACAATGGATGGGTCTTCGATGCCCCGACTTCGAATAATCCGTGGTATCATTTCTATACCCTTTATGGTGAGTATATTGGCTGCAATACTTTGGGTGTTGCCATGCTAATTCTTCGCAGACCTCTCAGCGGTTAATTGGACCGCCTTTGGTGAGACAATCCCGGCCATGTTTGCTTTAACCTTCTTTGGTGTGCTTCATGTGCCAATAAACGTACCTGCGCTCGGTATATCTACTGGCGAAGACAATCTCAATGTCGACAGAGAGCTCGTGGCACATGGCGTGACGAATGCACTGTCCGGATTTGCAGGAAGCATTCAGGTATGTGGCCGCCATATATAGGGCCGTGGTTAATGAGCTAACGAAAGTAGAATTATCTTGTCTACACCAATAGTCTTCTCTTCATCGCAAGTGGCGGATCATCGCGGTTGGCCGGTCTGATGTTGGCTGCAGCCACTGCCGGCATAATGGTCATTGGCCCAGTCATAATCGGCTATATCCCCATTATGGTTGTTGGAGCCTTGATTTTCTTGTTGGGCATTGAGCTTTTGCAAGAGGCATTGGTGGACACTTGGGGAAAACTTACCCGGCTTGAATATCTAACCGTCGTCATTATCGTCGTTACGATGGGCGCTTGGGACTTCGTGGTGGGAATCTTCATTGGGATCATTTTGGCCTGCATGAATTTTGTGGTACAGACTTCTCGCAAGTCCGCCATTCGAGCAACATTCTCGGGCAAAATTTCCGGGTCGACCGTCCGACGTCCTCCTATTCAACAGCAATTCCTACGGGAAGCTGGACAGCAGACCCTGATCATCAAGCTTGGTGGATATCTCTTCTTTGGAACCATCGTGAATGTCGAGAACACCATGCGTGGCCTGATCGAGGAGGAAGCTTTTGACCGACGTCCCATTCGATTCCTCATTCTCGACTTTTCTCGGGTCTACGGACTTGACTTCTCAGCTGCAGAAGCATTCACCCGCATCAACCGTGTTCTCCGAAAGCGCAACGTACAAACAGCCATCTCCGGCTTGAATGTAGAAGGTGACGTAGGCAAGTCCCTACAAAACGTAGGACTCTTCGAGCCAGAGTCCGGCGTGCCTATATTCGAAGACCTTAACTCGGCACTCGAGTTCTGTGAGAATAACTACCTAAAGGTCTTCTACAGCCACCAGGAAGCACTCTCCACACCCACCGACTCAACTGCAAACTCCGAGCTCCTCCAAGTCCCCGCCTCAGTCCCCGTGCCCTCAGGACCTCAACCCACCACCCTAGCCGACAATGTCGTCAGTTCACCCCGCCGTCAATACCTACAGCGCGTAGCGACCTCAACCATCCAAGCCCACGAAACAACAATGATGGCCTCCCCTGCATGGTCTGCTATGCGTCAACCACTGCCCCTCCTCCTCCAGACCTTCCAAGGCCTCTCAACTGAAAATGAAGACTTTTGGTTCCCCGCCTGCGCCTATTTCTCCCGCGAATCTTACCCTGCTGGTACAGTGTTGTACCACGAAGGCGACATCCCGCGCGCTTTCTACCTCCTCGAGTCGGGCATGCTGCGCGCTGGCTACGACCTCCCACAAGGCCGGTACTTCGAGCTCATTGTCGCTGGTCGACCGTGTGGCGAACTGCCTTTCTTCAGTGATACGCGGCGCACGGCGACGGTCAAGGCCGAGCGCGATTGTGTAGCCTGGTGTTTAACGGGAGCGAAGTGGAAGGCGTTGCAGGATCAGGAGCCGCGTATCGCTCGTGAGCTGTTGACTGTTAGCCTGAAGCTGACGACTGAGCGCATGGATAGTATCACCTCGTATGTTTTGACGATGGCAGCTTGATTTTGTTTTCTTGGCCTTTTGGCCTTTCGCATCTAGCTTGGTGGTCATCTGAGTGAGTTGGGCCTCATTTTTTTAAAGCTTATATTACCCGGCCCTTTTGGTTTACATATTCATTCGTACATAGCAGCTAAAGCATGCATGCATACCGATATTCTCTACGATTCTACAAAGTAGGTCACCGCACTATGAGCGATCTGCGAGGCACTCCTTTCCGATGGGCGGACGTCGACCTTATAGTCACCTTAGATCACAGGGCGGTATGGCTTCTTGCATGCCGAATCCTTCATTCCAGCCTCAATCGCCAGTGCCAGGATATAGCTCAAAATGCGCAGGGCCAAAAGCAGTGTTAAAATGCCAAAAGACATCACCCCTGAGCCGTCCGGAGATATGCGACAGCTATATGGGATGGGGGAAAGATTTCCCCCGCGAGGATTTAGTTGTCAGTGTGAGTGAATTACTCGATGCGGAACACTCACTTCGAATGTGCAACGCTTATAGAGGATCAATGACCAACAAACACATTCTCAAGGCATGGCCCCATGGCTTAGGGGGACTCTGGGGGCGCTGTCTAGGATTCACTTCTCGCGGTGCAGACATTGAAGCCTTGCAAGAAGTCTTTGAGCCCAATCGAAGCTATTGGATCATGGAACGGGACTGACTACCAGATCTTTAGTTCCCAACGGAATGCTACCCAGGATGTCAAGCCATGGTGCTCTACCCTAAGATAATATACACCGTACTCTTTGCGAACACTGTGTCAGATGAGGATACTGCTGCAATCGGCATACCACACGCGGGCAGATGTTTGCTGCCGGGTATTGCACCCTGCAGTGTTTGTGTTGTGAGAGAAAGCCAGAGACTTGAAACTCAACTGGGACCAATGGAACGAAATCCAGCATCCTTTGTATCCCCTATCAAGGCTAAATATCAGCTTCACTGGGATAAATCTACAATCTTGAGTTTTCTAGGTATTGTCTTTCAGGACTATTGTAACCACACGTGTATAATCTCTACGGCCATCCTAAATTTTGACCTCTTCATCGGACATTTGATATTGGCACGCAACATCGAACTTGAAGCACACTTTAAGGACCCTGTGATACATGCGGAAAGAGGTCACATCTTTTGCACAGGTAGACGCGCACAGCTCGAATTATCAACATGGCTTTGCATAATACAGAACAGAGGGGCCTATATTTTGGTATTCGTTTGGGGCAGTTGGTTGTTGGTGTTGATATACAATAGATGGTCTGCAGAGGAAAAGGAAATAACTACAACCCGAGACTCGTTCGTCATGCAGAGATGCCTATTAATCCATGGTACATGAGTTTGCTTCAACCAAGCAGTACATCTGTTTTCAAGGCTGCTTGAGCAATTCATGTAGAAAACTATGTGTTATCGACCAGAGTAGGAATTTGCCTGGGAGTTTGCCTGAACAAGACCTCACCCAGACATAAAATTCGTTGTTTGCCTCCGCTATACGCACGAAGTCTTTAAAAACCTCCCACAATGGTCAAATTTTCCTCATCCCTGGCCATCATCATACCCTGCGCATCTTTCCCCTTTTATATCTTCGTTGCAAGTCGTTCATCCATGAGCCATCTGGGCAAGATGGAGGTAGCTTGGCCACAGTTATTCAAAAGCGACTTTCTCAATCCCGATGTACTGAATGCAGCGAACCCACATCCAGTTTGGGGCTACGCACACGGTGAGTACAGGATAGAGGGAATTTGGACCGGCAATGGCAGTCTATTGAGCCTTCATAGGACCTATCCCAAATAACAATCCTGATTGGAAACTAAAATCAACGACTGCAAATGGATCCATAAGCATAACCAAAGCCACAGCTGCTCTTGCTGCTGATGGGCCACAAGCCCCGATGGTTACTCTTAATTGTTGGGACACCATAGTGTATAACATGAGTTCCTCGAGGTTTTGCCAGATCTAGACTAATCAAGATAGATGCGATATATTGGTGAAAGACACCCAGCTATGTGGAGCGAGTTTCAGCGACCCGGGCAGTTTTCCCCGTCACGTTCGTCTACACCATCGTGGTGCCGGTGCGTGTTCCACTGTTCTGAACTCTGTGTGTTTGAAGCATATCTGATAATGTATAGTCCACCTGCCAAGCCACGGCCCTCTGAATATCGAGGAAGCAACTGCTGCACATAACGCGATAAAGCGTTGGATTTTGATGGGAGGTTGGCGTGATGCCCTCTATTTGAAGGAACCTAGGAAAAACGTCATTGCTGCCTCTCGGATCGGCTTTTATTGTGATACATTAGAGGAAATTGCGTGGGTTTCATATCTTACTCTCAAGGGAGATCACTCCAGTATATACTAATGACATGATGTACTAGGCGCACCGATGCCCAGTTTGCTGCAGAGTATGGGTCCCAATTTCACCGATCCGGGTACCGAGACCCAAGTCTTGCATTAGACTACGTAGGTATACCTCTGGAAGACGCCAAGAGAAAGGATGTTGACAATACTAAGTGCAGGATTCATCTTCCTGCCAATCGATTGATCCCCTTGGGTACAGCAACCGGTGGCGATGACTTTGTAAAGTCCTCTAGATGTGAAAAATCTACTCAAACTGAGCCTGTATTTTACAATGACCTCAATGTTAACCATAGTGTTACATCTGGATCTGGACCTGATTATAAGAAAGTGTCCAAGTTTGTGTTTGAGGTCGACTCCGAGGATGAGGACCAAGAAGAGTGGCCGGTTGACGCTGTCACTGATATCTTTGCTGGGTTGTATTTACCGTCAAGCAGGTTAGACGCAGCATATGGACCAATGCCGGGAGAAATGGACTAGGTCTGAACGAGAAAAAAACATCACGAATCAGATTAGGGGTGTTGCACATCTGGTTCGCCCGGGAAAGCAGTCTCTGAGCAAGTTGAAATGTGTCTGAAAGAGGGCATACATCGAGTTCCATGTTTTATTGACAATCGCTCATTAATACTAGTATGCTCAAAGGCGACCATGGTCATATTCCATTGGAAAGGTAGTTTTCTCTTTTGACCGTACCAGATATGTGAAGATGTACAATTCCAACATACGGAGTAGACATAGTCGAACCCTCCGTTTGGCAGAATTACACCGAGAATCTGGCATGTAAAAACTCGCCAATATTAAAGAAGAGACCTGGTTTAGCTCGATTCGAAAGAGATAGATCAAACGAGATGAATCGAGCGAGATCTATCAAATCCAATCCCCGCGCGCCACGGTGCACGTGATCCGGCGTTCTTGACACGCGTGGGCGCGTCTCCGATTGCCTCATTGTGGTTCTACACTTGGATGTGACTCCCCTGGAGATTTTCCATTCAACGATTCGGTCTTCGACCCCATACCTTATCCCTAACTCTGGCCATGGCAACCAGAAATGGAGAATCTAAACTCTTCGAGCAGTGTTGCCTCTGCATTGTATGCTCTAAGGATCTTTCGAGCGAATCCGCGGAGCAGGTACGTGTTTCCCTGCTAGTACAGCCTGCACTCGACTGACAAAACATAATCATCTAGCTCGCAACTATCATCGAGCAAAACGGTGGCGAGCCTCTGATTGTTCAACCCGGTGCTGAGGTCCCCGATGTGGCCAAGTTCAGCCATTTGATCTCTACCACGATTGACTTCGAAGCCTACGATATTACCTGTGATGCTTTGATCCCTGTGGTGAAGCCACAGTGGGTGAGTAACTCATTGACGAAGAAGAAATTGGCGAATCCCCGCCAATACAGCCCAGACCCGCGGCTGTTCATGAACGATGTCGTGGTTACCTGCGGTGACATACCCGAGGGAGACAAGGATGCAATCATAGGCGGCGTGGTTGCGAAAGGTGGATTGTACGCTCCAAGAATTTCTCAGATGGTGACACACCTGGTGGACCTCACGGCCGACTCTGACAAGGCGCGCATTGCTCAGGCGAAGAAATTGAACGTGAAAATTGTACTTCCGCACTGGTGAGTCCCATGGCACATTAGTCCGCGAGCCTGGCTGACTGAGAGCAGGTTTGATGACTGCCTTAAACTCGGTCGACGAATCGACGAACGTCCATATACACTTCCAGACCCGGAGATCTTGCGCGTGGGACCTGATACTCCAATCCGATGGCAAGAGAATAAGGATTTGGTGGGTGCTTCAACAACAGATCCAGCCAAGCTACCCACGCTATCTAGTTCGGCGCATAAACCAGGCCAGCGGAGTGTCTTTCAAGGGAAGTCTATTATGCTGTCTCATGATCTTGGAATCGGCTCGCACTTGCTGGAATCAATTCAATCAGTCCTCGAACAAGGCGGTGCCACGATGACATCAAATATCGATGGGGCAGACATGTTAATTTGTCGTTACCGAGAAGGCTTTGCATACCGCACGGCATCGCGACTGAACATAGACGTTGGGAATCTCGCATGGCTTTACCGCCTCATGACATTCAACACATATACTTCACCTCTCAGGCGACTACTGCATTACCCGATCTCTCGCACTGGCATACCCGGGTTTGAAGGCTTAAAGATCAGTTTGTCCAACTATGTTGGCGAAGCAAGAATCTACTTGGAGAACTTGATCGCAGCAGCAGGTGCAGAATGTACCAAAACATTAAAGCAAGAAAACACTCATCTGATAACGGCACATGGAACGAGCGAGAAATGCAATGCGGCGAAGGAATGGGGCCTTGAAGTTGTCAATCACCTGTGGCTGGAGGACAGTTACGCAAAATGGAAGCTACAACCGGCCTCAAACCCGCGCTACAGCCACTTCCCCCTGCGGACTAATCTCGGAGAAGTCGCAGGCCAGACTCAGCTCGACCGCAATGTTTTGGAGCAGATCTTTTTCTCGTCCGGGGAGACTGTTGCTCATAGCCCGCGGCGCGCGATGCAGAGCAAGGACCAAAATACGGACTCTGTACAGCCTCCCGCTGAGAAGAAACGGAAGATCGATGAGGATGCTGCAGAAACCTCGCATGGTACTCCGCAGGGAAATGGGAAGTCGCGCCGACCTATCCAAACACCCGCACGAACTCGAATCATGTCCGAGGGCAAAGAAAACGAAACCCCGTCGTCGACCAGTAGCCGCAAGTCAAAAGACGCAGCAACTGCCCGACTCCACGAATATGCCCCAGATCTTGCCTTGTACGAAAAGGAAAGGAAACGTGTGGGCGGTGTTATCTACGGCGGCAGACGAAAGTCAGACGAGGGCCGAGTTCAGGAGAACAAGAAACGTGCCTCGCTTGAAGCCGAGGGTGAGAGCGAAGGCGAGCAGGCAGTGGAGACCAAACGACAGAAAAAGTCTCGGCCACCAATTGCCATGCATCTGCTGATTACTGGCTATCAGAGATGGGTAGGGAAGGGCAACGAAAAGAAAGAGGACGCAGACAAGGTTTGTTTGGCTACTGCAATTGTAAACATGATTGGCGCAAGGTACACTACTAACACTTTCACAGCGAAGCCTCCGGGATCTCGGTATTGTGGTGGTTCAAGATGCCCGACGATGCTCCCACCTGGCCGCACCGTCGATCTTGCGGACCACTAAATTCGTCAATGCACTCGCATATGCGCCGATGATCGTGAGCACAGACTTCATCACTAGTTGCATAAAAAAGGAGGAACTGCTTGACCCCTCCGATTTCCCTCTGAAAGATAAAGAAGCCGAGAAGAAGTACAATTTCAACCTGTCTTCTGTCACAGCAAATGCAAAGAAGAACAAGAATAAAATGTTGCAGGGCTATCGCATCTATTGTGTCGAGGACATTCGAGGCGGATTCGATGCATTCAAGTCTATCGTTGAAACAAACGGAGGAGAGTGCATGCTATTTCGTGGTCGTCTGGCAATATCGAAACATTCTCGGCGGGAGGAGAGCGACGACGAAAGCGAAGCGGAAGACGACAACCCTGCTCGCAAGGATGTCTTCCTTCTGAGCAGCGCTGGAGCTAATCACGGTCGAGTCTGGCCTCGATTCCGTCAACTGGCACTTGATATCAAGAAGACTCCGCGGATAGTCCGAGTGGACTGGCTCCTGGACATGGCCATGTCGCAGGAGATACGTGCCACCGACGAATACGAACTGACCGATGAGATGATCGAGAACACGGACGAGTAGACTGATACCAAGGTATTGAGTCCACATCCCTCATCCACTAAGGGCTTTTGAACCCGAGAACATGGATTCTGTGTATAAGTTTGAAGTATCGGCGACATGATTTGACATGTCTTTTGGCCTGCACATGAGAAGCGCTTTGTTTTTGTCACGAATAGCCACGATTTATCCCATAGAGAAATCCCAGCATGTCATCTTGATCTCTTCAGAAGAACTTAACACCCTCCTGGCCCTCGCCACCAAAAATCTGCGCCCTGCCTCTCTTAACCAAGACATTCAGCGAGCGTAGCATGACGTCGATATCCATGCCATGGAACTCTGTAGATGCAAATCAGCACAAACCATAGCCACTATTACCAGCAACAAAAGATTGGATCTCACCCTGCGACATGGCACCCTCCCCATGAATAAGCTCATATACCGTCAGAACCGATCCCTTCTGCCCAGTTTCCTCAACCCATTCAGCTAAGACATCTGCCCACTCCTCAGGCCTCCTCCACCAAATCCACGCAACAGCCTTCGGTCCCTGCCCAGCACCATTTCCCAAGCCTCCTAAAGACGAAGCACCTCCAGCATCAGATATCCACTCCGCTCGCCGGCCGCCGCCGCCTTCTTCTTCACTCTTGGTCATCCAGTCGATGACCGCGCGAGCCTCGCGCAGATCAAGACGCTTCCGCAGGGTTGTGTTGTGGAATAGTGGGGTCTCAACGGCATCGATCAGGGAGAGACGGTATTGACGGTGATGCCGGCACCAAGACTGGATTAGCGAAGACCATTTCTCGAGCTGTGAGTGTCGGGTTGTTGTGTTTGGTTGCGGGGTGAAGAAGGGGGAAGCTGTAAGTTGGTGGGAAAGGGAACGGGGCAGTTGTTGTCATGTTGGAAGATATCACAGAAGTCAAGATAAAGAGATCAAGAAGAAAATAGGCAAATGAAAGTCGAAAAGTTCCAAGTACGATGTCGACAGACAAGAGACACGACTCCAAAGGCTGTGGAGTAAAAGGTGGGGCCGGCATTTTCTCAATTTCGTCGACTTCGGCCTTTTCGATTTCTCTCGACTTCACCTTTGCTACTCACAATGGCCACTCCAAATATCCCTGCAAAGCGCATCAAGCGCGAAGAGTACCGTCGCAATGTCCAAGCCCAGCAGGAATCCACCGATGGCTCCGTCATCAAGATGCCGCAGAAGAAATTCTTCCGCCAGCGCGCGCATGCGAATCCCTTCTCTGACCACCGGCTAGAGTAGTATGTATCATCTTTTGTCTATTTTTGAACTGATAGCTAATTGATGCTTCAATAGTCCCCTCAGCCCCGCGCATATGGACTGGTCGTCCCATTACCCTGCATTCGTGGATCCAGACGCATCCAAAACGAACCTCAGCGGAGGGCGCAAGTTGACCAAGGAGGTCGAAGTCGTGGATATTGGATGTGGCTTCGGCGGACTGCTGGTTGGCCTCGCGCCTTTGATGCCAGATACCCTGATGGTCGGTAAGTACAGCGGAGCGAGATCCAAATCCGTGTTTGCAGCCGCTCAGATCAAGTACCGTAAGCTAACAATAACTCACAGGCATGGAAATCCGCATTTCAGTGCTGGAATATCTCAGCTCTCGCATCCACGCTCTGCGCAGCCAACAACAACGCCTCAAGAACAAAGCTGCAAACCCATCATCAAGCGAACCCAAAGATGCCTCCGCGCAACCCGAAAGCACCGAATCAACTTCTGCCCCAGTCCCAGCCAATGACGATGAAATCGGCACGGAGAAACTCTTCCCAGGAAACTTCGAAAATATCACCGCAATCCGCAGCAACACCATGAAGTTCCTCCCCAACTTCTTTGGCCACCACCAACTCTCCAAGATCTTCATCTGCTTCCCGGACCCGCACTTCAAGGCTCGTAAGCACAAGGCCCGTATTGTTTCCGAATCGCTGAACTCCGAGTATGCGTTTGTCCTGCGACCCGGCGGTCTGCTGTACACCATTACCGATGTCGAGGAGTATCACCACTGGGTCCTGCGTCATTTCCTGCATGGGGAACAACCGGAGGGAGGGGCGCCTCCTGCCGCGAGCAGTAAGGATCTGTTTGAGCGGGTTTCTGAGGAGGAGCTTGCCGCTGATCCTTGTGTGCGCGTTATGAAGTATGAGACAGAGGAGTCGAAGAAGGTTACGAGAAATAAGGGCAACAAGTATGTTGCTGTCTTCAGACGCAAGGCTGATCCTGAATGGCCTGCTTGAAAATGAGCGAAATTAGATACCTAATTAGGGAGGAGAGTATGAGAAGTTATTGCATTGATCTTAATGATATGACGATAAAAGAGGTGTTTGCGGCGTTTTTGCCCATTCTAAATACATTGCCGATATCATCCCTATACTCCAAGATGGCAATTTTCGCTTGCTAACAAAATGCAACATAAAAACGAACAAACTCCCGGAATGAGAGCCCGAAAAACGGGTTGTAGAACACACGGTGAGAAATGAAGTGATGCAAAAATCAAACACCGACATCATGCGAATCTATCATAGTAGCAGTAATCTCGTTAAAACATGGTGGTCGTAGCCCCGCAACTAGATGGTGCAAAACGCTAGCACATCCCAGGCGCCTTAAGACGGATTCCTTCACATCTCTCACAGATTGCCAGTTGAACCGGACCACCGATCACGCGGCCCTTAGCTGTTCGCTTAGGCTCGCCTTCACGAACAAAAAACCGCCCCTCCGGACCAAAACCATCGCCACACTCATGGCAATTGAAGCAATTTTCGTGCCACTGGCCGCCAATTGCACTGATTACAACCTCGTCCATGACATGCTGCTTGCAACCCAGACAACGTGGTGCGGTACGGCGTGAGTGGCAGTGGAGGCACCATGCGAAGCCATCTTTCTCGACAAAGGGAGTTTGGGAATCGAAGGGCTATATGAAGAGAGCTTGTCAGTTTCTTTTGGCGTGCAAAATTACGAGAAAGGAAATCGACACCTACATCACCGCACTCTGCGCAGAAGAAATGACCGACATGCCATTCGGCACCACATGCCACTACCACCTCTCCTTCAATAGGGGTCTTGCAGCTCTTGCAACGGGGGCTGAACATCTCGTGGAAATCAAGGTGGCAGTAGAACCGTGGCACGCGGGCTTCATGATCATGCTCATCAGCCTCGGTTGCTAGTCTCTCGGCCCTGCTAGACTCCGGTTCTTGATAGAAAGCCACACATTCGAGAGCTGTGTGGCAGTGGAAACAGGTAAAGCACTCCGGGTGGAATCGACATCCGCCAGCGGTTACAATTTTCCCGGAAATGGGAAGAGTGCATAGCTCACAGCTTGCAGTTGGGACACCAGATCGTGTATAGGGCGAATACCAACGGCTCTGCGAGTCAGATCCTTGCTGTCTGGGGAAAGCCTGCTTAGTTGGGCAGCTTTTCGTCGACTGAGGTACCGGTCTAGCCGGTGTCTTGGAAGGGGCCTCTATCTCAGAGATAGTGGGTACTTTGATGTCTGGGACATTGATGACGGGGATTGGAGGTGGCTCAGAGACTTCGATTGAGGGGGAGAGACTTCAATGGTTGGTGCCGCCACTTCAATGATCGGTAGAGTTGGACGATCAGGCTTCGGCTGATCACTTGGTTTCCAGCTTTGGTCGAAGCTTACAATTGGGCGTCCAACTCGGTCACTGACGGCTGAAGGCATTGGTAACTTCTCACTGCGGTCTCCTCGTCTTTTGCTGGTAGCTGCGCGGATATCATCACTGCGTCTCTCTCTTCCATCCGGGGTGGTGACAAGTTCACCCTTTTCATCGGGGGGAGGAGTCGGAGTAGTAGGCTCGTTCCTAGTGTAACCGGCATTGTGTGATTGGGTGGGGGGAGGAGTAGCGCTTGCATTTCGAGTGTAGCCGACATTATGCGACTGGGTGGGAGAGTTCTTGTTGGTTTCAAACCGCGAGATTTTATCCATCACTGGGCTAGTGTTGGCTCTATTCTGCAACCAAGGGAGTGGCCTAGGAACACGTCCCAGAGCGTTGCGTGGTTTGTTCTTCAAAGCTGACGAGTCGGACTTCGAAAACTCCGGTCTTGCTTCGGGTTCCTTCTGAGTATCAACGGGTTCCTCGTATATTTGGTCGTTCGGGTTCCTGAAAATTCCTTTAGATGAATCACTGCTGACAGTACGCGACTTGGGAGCAAGAGACTGCTCGGGTTCCTCCTCAGGTAGTTTAAAGTTAACTTTGAGATTCTTCTTTGAGGGTCCAGCTAGAGATGATCGTTTCCGCCTTGATTCAGGGCTAGAATTACCATCGGAAGAAATACTTGAGCCTGTCGACTGGCTGAACCTATTGGTCGACGGGATAGTTTCTCGTGAGCTATCTCGGACAGGGCTCTGGCTCTGCCTGTTGGCATCAGGATTTTGGTATGGCGCATATGGGTTTTTAAAAGCTTGACCAGGATTCTGGTGCATCCAAACTAGCTCTGTAGCCTCATCCTGAGCTGCTTGGTGAAGACCGATATCGTCCTCGACATCCATTTGCTGCAAGGCAGCTCGTAATGCCCGTGCCTCTTCCTTTTCGTGTCGGCGTTGACCATTTTCACGATAGGGCAGAGCTGAAGATGTCGGGATGGAAATGGTACGTGCGTGGATCTGTGCTGGAAACACGTTCTTTCGGATTGAGTGCGTGCGTGGCTCCTGAGCTAAAGGACGACTCATTGCGCCACCACTAGACACATGAGAATTTGTCCGGCGATGGGACGTTGCGCTGCCTGAGCGTCGATGATCGTCAATTTCATCTTCGACCGGACTGTGCATAGCGAATGCCGAGGATGCCCTTGGAGGAAGGCTATCAGGCAGTTCGCTTGTTGATGCCGCTGCTCTACCTGGGTATGGCCGAGATCCTGTCGGACGGGCAGGACGATTTGCCCGCAAGTCCTTCAAGTACGTTGCTGTTGACTCATGTATCAGCTCTGAGCTGGCCATCACCAAAGAGTCACTTACAAACTTGATCGCTGGACATAAAGGATGGGCCAGGAGGCGAGACCTTCCTCTGACCGGTGTTATGTTTATGCATCATGGAATTGCAAGGATCAAGGATGTAAAAAGAAATACGGATAAGTACAGGATGATGACGAAGGATCAAAGACCAAGATGGGCTAAGATGAGAAGAGTCTAGTTGCGATCTACACTTGACGGTCTGAGCTGGCTAGCGTCATTGGGCTGCTTCCCCCTCCAAACAAACCCCTGGGGGCCCGTCGCGAGGCAACGGATGACTCAGCGCCCTTATCTACCTAGGTATCATGGTGACACATGTATGATAAGGGCTTGTTCCATTCAACCCTATTGAGCCCTATATTGGACACCGTACCGTTGAAAGACCTCGGGATATATATATACATATACCGTATCTTTATACTTCTTTATACTTAACAAGGTATCGACCTTATGGATACCTGTGGACACATCTCTCATCAAACTTCGATATCCTTGGAGATGACTAAGAAGTCCCCCACATCTACCCAACTTCAGGGCTTGGACTCGACTCTCTCCGCATCGGCTTCTCGGCACAGAGACCCCACAGCCGAGTAACGTGCTGACACCCCAAGAACTGCACAGCTTGGACGCAAGGTAGCTGTCGCTATCTATATCAGCTTTCTTTATTGGTCCAATGTCGCCGAGTAGAAACAGTAAACCACGAGGCCCGGGGATTTTCCCTCTCATAATGTTGGATTCGGCATTCAGTCCGAAAGTCCGATAGTCCGATGACTCCAATTATTACCAACGATAAACTGATTGAAATCTAGTCCCTTTTTTTTGTTAGCGTACTAATCTAGGTTTCTTGCTTTTTTTCACTACATACCTCCATGTTGCGACGAGAACGGCAATCGGTTTTGATCTACTCTCTAAGAAGCTCGTTATTTCATACAATAAGAAGTGGGGCTTGTATCTGAGCTACTATGGCCGATAATGTGCCAATTGATATCATCCGTTCACATCAAGATGATATAGACCGAGAGAGTGCAAAGCAGGAGCATAAGTTACACGCGCAGTCGGCACCACTGGACGTTGATGAAGATGAGAAATACAAGCGCGATGTGGCCCCGGACGGTGGCTATGGCTGGGTCTGTGTCGCCTGTGTTTTCTGGATTAATGCGCATACTTGGGGTATTAATAGCGTGAGTCATGAATCTTTGGAATTTCCCTGTCATTTACTAACATATCTAATGTTCAGAGCTATGGAGTCTTTCTGAGCCATTACCTCTCACACGATGTATTCCCCAACACATCGGCCCTATCATATGCCTTCACAGGCGGCCTGAGTATCTCCTGTGCCCTTTTGGTGGCTCCATTGGCTACATGGATGATCCAAAAATGGGGTACACGACTTGTACTCAATTTGGGCATTTTCTTCGAAACCCTCTCTCTAATAGGGTCCTCATTCGCAACCCAGAAATGGCACATCTTCCTCAGCCAAGGCGTCTGTTTCGGTTGGGGCATGGGCTTTCTCTTCGTGGGCAGTGTCGGTATCACCCCGCAGTGGTTTGACAAGCACCGTGGTGTAGCGATGGGCATCAACGCGGCCGGATCTGGTCTCGGCGGTCTGATCTATTCCTTAGCAGTGGGCGCCATTATCCCGCGCTACGGGTTGGGTTGGGCGTTCCGCATTTTGGGTATCATTTCCTGCGTCGTGAACCTGGTCTGTTGTAATCTGTTGCGGGATCGCAATAAGGCCGTCGGCAGTAGATTCACGGCGTTTCACCTGCCCCTTCTGCGTCGCCCGGAGTTCTTACTCTTCCTTGGGTGGGGTGTGTTCAGTATGCTCGGCTACGTGGCGCTTTTGTTCAGCGTTGCCAACTTCGCCCTCTCCGTCGGCCTCTCGTCGCACCAGGGGAGTATTGTCTCTGCGCTGCTTAACCTCGGTCAGGGTCTGGGGCGTCCGTTTGTTGGCATGTTCAGTGATCGGCTTGGTCGCATTAATATTGCCACTTCCCTCACCTTCTTCTGCGGTCTATTCTGCCTTGCCGTCTGGACTTCCGCTGATAGCATGGGCGTGGTATGCTTTTTCGCCGTTTTGGTCGGTACTGTCGCCGGCACGTATTGGGCTACTGTTTCTCCTGTTCTGGCCGAGATTATTGGTATCAGAGACCTTCCTTCCGGCTTGAGCATTACTTGGCTCACGCTTGTTGCCCCTTGCACTGTCTCCGAGGCTATCGCCCTTCAGCTTCGCAGCCATAATGTCGGTGGTGGGACTTCATATCTGCGTGTTCAGTTATTTACTGGCTTCATGTATTTTGGTGCTTCCTTATGTCTGTGGATTGTCCGTGGTTGGAAGGTCGGCGAGTTGGAGCGTGCCCAAGGATGCTCTGATACTGTCGTCCAGGCTGGCCCGTTGACTGGAAGCCTCGGCGGAAATGAGAAGCAGAGCCTCCCTGCGACTATTTCCCCGGCCCTGGGGGCCACTGAAATGGCTGCTTCGTTATGGGATCCGGTCAGCTTAGTTCGCAGAATGGTCACTTTGAAAAAGGTTTAATTTAACTACATAGCGCAGAGTACAGATATGCAGCCAAAATGAACATATTGAAATAGACAATCGTCTGTCATTAATTTGATTTGAACGCCGTTCTGACACTAGATCTAATCTACATGGATGTAGTTTTTGGTTCATGCCTCCATAACCAGAATTCGGACCCTTCTCTTGCCGGCGCCGCGACCCTCTTCCTTAACGGAGCTGACATTGACACGAACCTTTTGGAAAAGTTCAACCGTCACACTGCGTTCTTTCTCTGGGTGACCCTTCTCTTCCACACGAAGGGTGTATTCTTCGCTATCAAAGTCTGTGGTGCGGTGAGGAGCTAGCTCCCGTCTCTCCGCGACAGAACGAGCTCCAGATTCGCCGGGAAGGACGAAGTCCTCCAAACGAACGACACCTTCAATGCCGAAGCGAGGAACAAAGATGACAACACCGTTCTCAAACACACGCATCACATAGCCTTCTTCTTCAATGCCCGCATCGACACCGTCGGCGGCCATCTTCTCTCCACGGGCCTTGAGAGCCTGGCCCACGTAGTACTCAATACTAGCGCGGCCGGCATGCTGTGCATTGCGGTGACGGACGTTGATGTTTCGGCAGATGTCTTCTAGCTTGTTGCGGGTGCTGACACCCTCGATGACTGCATGTCCATCCTCGCCTTCATAACCAATTGCAGAAGCCAATTGCCGGTGAACCATCAGATCGGCATATCGTCGAATAGGCGAAGTGAAGTGGGTGTAGATGGGGGAAGCGAGACCGTAATGACGGAATTCAGATTCGGCAAAGGCACCCGCGCAGAAGTACTCGGCAGAGGTCATGCAACGGGTTGCCAAGATACGGACAAGGGTGTTGAAGAATGGGTTCTTGGGGTCGACGCAGCGGTCCAAAGAATCAGCCAGAGCTCGCGAGCTGGAGACATCAAGTTCCATGTTCCGCTTCTTCGAGAGTTGGTTTTGAAGATCCTCGAAATTTTGAGGTGGGGGAGTAGCGTGTCGACGTAGCAAGGCTGTTTGAGGGAAGGACTCGTAGACCTTAGAGCCAACGGTGATGTTGGCGAGAAGCATGAACTCCTCAACCAAGCTATTAGTGTCGAGCGTAGCCTTAGTCTTGACGTCCGTCAAAGGATCGCCCACTTCGTCACCCTCTGTTTCGATGCGGACTTCCGGGGAGGCAAGGTTCAATGCACCAGCGTCCATACGCTTCTGACGGAGAACCTTGGAGAATTTCAAGAGGGTGCGCATGCTCTGGGTCAGCTCGTCCTGCTGTGATTTGTCGTCGATACGTAATTGAGCTTGTTCGTAACTGAATGCTTCTCGGGAACGAATGACTGACTTGGTGAAGTCTGAAGACACTATCTCAGCGTCAGGAGTAATCTCCCACAAAACCGAGAAGGCATATCGTTCAACATAGGGTTTGAGGGAGCACAGGTCTGTGCCAAGAAGATGTGGAAGCATGTCGATACGCTTATCGACTAGGTAAACAGTGGTTCCGCGAACACTGGCCTCGAGATCCATTGGGTTGTTGGGCTTGACGAAATGCGACACATCCGCAATGTGGACACCAACCTCAAAATTTCCATTTGGTAGGAGGCGCGCGTGAAGTGCGTCGTCAATATCCTGACAGCCAGGTGGATCGATACTGCAAATAAGCAAGTCTCGAAGATCTTTCCGGCCGTTCCAGCCCTTGTCTTCCTTCGAGGCAGGGACCTTCCAATCATGTCCTTCGGATGGTAGGCAGTCCAATACAGACTTGGGGAACGGCTTGTACTGTACGTCGTACTCAAGCAGAAGAGCCTCGGTCTCGGCCCCCTTAGTTTCGAGCTCTCCCAAAGACCGAATGAAGTGACCGGTAGGGTATCTGGAATCACGCTCCCAAGAATCGATGGTGACAAGGATACGCTGGCCGAGAATCTCGCTAGCCTGTCTTGTGCGTACTCTGATCTTAGGGATACGCTTATCCATAGGCAGTAAGAAAACGTTTTGTTGCCGTCTGCCGGAGGCCTGTGAGCCAGTAGAATTTGAGTCAACGTGACCAACGTATTGACGCCAGCTGCGCTTGATCACACCAACAACCTTGGCGGTGGGTTGTGGCTTGCCATCCGAGTTCTTGCCATGGGCCTTCTTGACTTCTTCCTGGAGAGCTTTGCGTTCTCTATCTGTCACCACAGCCTCGGTCTCTTCGGTATCAGGGTTATCATTACGGGTCACGGCCTCCTCGTCCACAATCTTGGTCGAGGGGCTTTTCCACTGATCCTTTGGCAGTACTTCAACCACGACCGAGTCACCTGCAATAGCGCGGTTACTGTTATCACGTCCCAGAATGAGAAGAGGTTTATCGAAAGCTGCGGTCTTGACGGAGGCTTCCAGGTAGTTGTAAGGAGAAACATTGAACACTCCTTGGTGCAGTGTCCCAGCTCGCAAGCCAGTCGTGAGTTTTGACATTGAAAAGTATTCGGGGTAGAATAATTCCCCGCGAGTCGCCTCTTTGGCATCCCGCGCATCTTTTGACTCGCTGATCATATCCAGCAACATCTCGGATCCCTCCAAACCGGAGACATAGTCAGATAGCGACAAGGCCGCCACATTTTCTTCCTTGCATTTCCGAAGGTTCTCCTTGTCATCGGTGATGACTACAATTGCTGGGATCGCTTTCTCTTTTTCCCCTTTTTTGCTGATTGTTGCAGGTGGGAACCGTACCAGCTTGCTACCATACGCACAGCGCGATCATTCCTGTCATTGATTGTTTCCTCCGGACCTCTCCTCACATGAGTCTCTCGGCGGAACTCATTGAAAAAGAGATAGAAGCGCTTTTCCTCCGACTTTACGAGAGCTAGAAGACGGTTGTAGAGTGGTAGCGATCGGTTTCTCAATTCCTCGAGGACGGTCTGGAGGACAATAACATCGTAAAAGGCCCCAGTGTGCTCGAAAAGATCCATTCCATTAAGCAGCGCATTTGTATCTGGAACAAGATAGTGGCCTCGCGGGAATGCCTTTGTGCCGGCGGGGCGATCGGATAGGATGAACGGCGCAACTGTTTTGCATTAGCAACCTGCTCGACCGGCACTGTAATAATTTCCTTACTGTTTCCATTGGCATCAGCCGGCGCGATAGTCGGGCATTGTGAACAGAGCTTAGAAGAGCAAGGAATATCTTCTCTCAAATAGAGCTCGCGGACAATCTTTTGTACCTTTCCACTTTTCGTGGACCTGACGAAGACCTTGCTGGTAACATTTGCGGCCTGCGGGTTGGCAGACAAGTCTCTCCTTAGACTCTTCATTTCGACGATCAACTTCTACCGTCTGGCAGTTGCTGTATAATCAAAACCTGTGTCTTGTAAAAGATCCGAGGTGAGAGTCTTGGCGAGAAGAAAGGTTATCGCTGATCATCGCGATAACTGGCTGAGTCAGCACACGGGTCGTCACTTTGGGGTCAAAAGATGCCATTTCATTGCTACAAACAAGACTATTTTGTCGTAAAGAATTTTTTTCGTAGTACAAACTTGCTTTCAGATCTCTTTCCAACTTGGAAAATCTAAGCAATATGGTTTTAGCGGTAAGTGTACCATCTATCGGGTATGAGCCACTTTGCCTAACAACCTGCTTTGATATAGGCCGTGGGGCAGCTATGCTCGACTAGCAACATAACTTCCAATCTGGCACAGTGCAAGGTGCTGGTTGAAAAGGCTGTTGCAGCAGGTGCCAAGGTGATACTATTAATATTCTGTTTCCAGCTCTCTGATATACAGCTAATATAAGTTAGGTGCTGTTTCTTCCAGAGGCATCGGACTATATCGCATCCTCGGCTGAGCAATCATACTCCCTCGCCCAGTCTGAAGAGAGGGCTAGCTTTGTGTCATCTTTGCAGAGAGATGCCAAGGAACATAATATTCACATCAATGTTGGAATTCATGAGGTGGCTTCTGAAATCAGGCTCAAGAATTCATTGATTTGGATCGATGACAAGGGAGCCATTACCCAAAACTACCAGAAAGTCCATCTATTTGACGTTGATATCAAAGATGGGCCTGTACTTAAGGAGAGCGCGTAAGCTTTTTCTTTTTTTCTTCTTTGCCATATAAAGATCTGACAGTTGAAGTATCATTTGCTGACCTCAAACGATACAGGAGCGTCCAACCGGGACAACAAATCCCAAAGCCTTTTGAAACACCCATAGGACGTGTTGGTCTAAGCATTTGCTTTGATGTAAGCGCAACGTATCTTGACATTATATTGGATATCAGGTAGTTCAACTTCTTACTCACGCTGGGTTATCTAGTTGCGTTTTCCAGAGATGAGCCTGGCATTGAGACGACAGAATGCTGAAATCATCACATACCCATCGGCATTCACCGTGCCGACAGGTCAGGCTCATTGGGAGCCCTTACTACGAGCAAGAGCTATTGAGACCCAGTCATACGTGATTGCAGCTGCGCAGGCAGGCCCTCATAATGAGAAAAGACGAAGCTATGGTCATTCTGTTATCATCAACCCATGGGGCGAAGTGGTAGCAAAGCTGGGAGATGAGCACCAGGAACCACAGATTGCGACTGCCGATATTGACCTCGATCTTGTGGCAAAGATTAGACGTGAAATGCCGTTGTTACGGAGAAACGATCTATATCCAGAGATTTGAGAATATGTGAACAGCGAGATGGATGTCATCATCCTCTTTGTTCCTAGTGCATTTCACGAAGAGTCTATTAGATATCAACTTTCATGATGTACTTAGTGCGAATTATAAGCATTTTCTTTTGCGACCGGGGCACCTATAACCAACATGACGGAAAGAAACTTAGAAAAGTGTCGAGTGATACAACAAGGAACAGACGAAAATAGATAAGCATGCAAAAAAAAAAGAACCTGTCTAGGAACGAGACCGGAACATCATATCTGCCGTCGCAGGTAATACAGGCATAAATGGAAATAGTTCCTCTTTGATCTCTATGTACAGTGTACAAATTTGGTGTTTATTTCTTGACCTTGTCGGGGTCCTCGAGGATGCCCTCAGCTTCCAGTCTCCGTCGGGCCTCTTCAAGAGCCCATGTTTGTATACTATCGCAATTGTCAGTATTCCAGTTGTGCGAGGGGCGTAAACGCCAATACTCAGGCGCGACGCCGGGATATGGATTAGACGTACGAGGTATCAGGCTTAAAAACGTATGCAACACCAGCGACCAAGAAGCTTCCAATGAATCCGTAGTACCAGATGTTCTCCCAGCCTTCCTTCACGTACTTCTGGCCGGGCTTGATACCGAACAGCCAGCCGGTGGGAGGATCATAGTGGTCGCCGTGGTCCGCGGCATAGAGGCTGGATCGAGTTGAAAATGCCTGGGTGTTCTGGGGCTGGCGAAGCAGGCAGCGCGCCCGGAGGATGTGCGACAATGGCCGGGCAGTCATCTTGAAGATGGGGGTGAAGGAGGGTTGAGGCTAATCGAAGGAACACTGGCGTGCGAGGAAACTGTTGAACTCACAAGGGGCAGAGTATCCCCTTGAATTCAAGTGGCAAGAATGGTCTCAATTGATATGTTGCCTCTTGTAGAGGAGTGGAGGGGTGCGTCGGCGGGTTGATGTTGAAGCCGTAAAAGGCCGGGAAGCTGTCCAGTTATCGCGCTAGTCTACTTTGGGCAATTTTCTTGTCCGCCTTTTCGCCTGCCATCTCAGGCAGAAATCTTCTGCCTTGGAAAATAGGTGTCAGCACTACACGCGCGACGCGTTCTTATCACATCTGGTCCTCTCCCCCAGGCCGCCTACAGGGCGCTGGACTCGCCATTCGTTTCATCCTTCTATATGCACGAACATCCAAAGTGATTGAATCGGTAGATATCCCATCTTCACCTGGTATGCTTCATCTTGAACCTCCAATCCATCCCCATTTCTGACATTGGCCTGCTCCAGCTTTGCGCGGAATGTATTATTACCCATTTTGAACTCGTTCTTGGATATTTCCAAATCAAAACAATGGCAACAAATAATTCATACCCCATCTCTTCAAATTCACGAACAAAACTGAACGCTTTTCGCTTCCAAGAAGGCGTGGTAGCTCCGGACGACACCACCTCGAAAGACGACACGGAAATAGGTAATGGGAGCAAAGAACATAAAATCTCGGGCTCCAACGGCGCTTCGGGCGTGATGCAGGTGTCGTCTGGCAGAAGAAGCCCTCCGCTTTGTGAAGCTCAAGCAACGGAACCCCAAGTACAAGAATCAAAGCCGATTAAAGAATGCCCTCAAACTCCGGGAAACAGGATACCTTTGGCGGACTTGATCAGCAACGCTGAGGATTCGTTTGATCCCGCACCAGGCCCAGAAGTAACCCCAGTCGAGCATGTCATCTGGCAACATGTGCCCGCCAGCTCAAACCCAGACACCTCGTCGCAGACACCAGCGGGTCGTCGCAGGAAGCGCCAGCACAGCTCTTCGCCTGGTGGCTCTCCTTCGAACGGGAAGAAGAAAAAGGCTCAAAAAGAAGCTCTTGATCTTCATTCAATACAAGTTCCCTTCAAGACGCCGCAGCATGATATGGCTGCGGAATTGTGGAATAACTACATCGATAAAAACATGGTTGATGGTCCGGATGATCTTCCGCCGCCGCGGCTCGCAAATCTTCTTTCCTCGTCACCTCAGACCCCCGGCTCCGGCAGAACAACTCGAGACTCTTCAGGGCTGAGACGCGCGATTAGTTGTACCACTGATTTTCCCACCTCTCGGACAAAAAGACGAAGAGTAAATAGACTAGACGTTGATCCCAGTCGCGGCATGTTTCAACGAACTAGCAGCAATGTGGAATCTGGGAAAGCTAAGTCCTCAAGGATCAACTATCTTATGGAGAAGATTGAAAAAAGTATGCACATGGCCCCTGCAAATGCGGATCCGCCTGGATCTTCCCCTCTCCGTCAACATATGGACGCGCGACGGTGTCGATCATCTTCACCCACGAAGGAACATAGGCTTCAGGAAGCTGATGGAGAGGCCGCCGAGTCCTCATCTGTGCCACATGAGAAAGCAAGACCTGGGGAATTGCCTGTTCTGCAAGAGTCGTCCTCCGAGTTTGGAGATGATGATCTCGATCAAGATCTGATGGAGCTGGCCGATGCCTCAGAGGATCCTTTCATTGAGCCGACACATGCATCTAATGAATTTGCTTCTCTGGGATCTTCTGGCTGGTCTGCTCTTGCCGCAGACAAGTCTCGCCTATGGCAGCCCAAAGGGAGTTCAACGCTCGACAGCAACTCTCCCATGCCTTATAACACTACGATTAATGAACCAAAACGCGATGAATTCGATGAATTCGAAGATGAATATGACGATCTGCCCGACAACTTGCAGGAAATACTTGCAAAATGTGACACAAAGCCAGTTACCACTGGGCCATCTTTGCAGAGGTCAGGGGCAACAAATGCCCCGGTAAATGACAGTATGCTTAACAAAACCTCGAGCGCCGTACCTGTCAAAGCTGAGGTGGCATCATCGGATGATGAGTTTGATGATGATTTTGATCTGGAGGCCATTGAGCAAACTATGAAGCAAGCAGGCGAAGGAGGACCGGCCTGTGTTAGTCACTCTTAAAGCCATAATATTAAAATACATGCTAAGACAGCCAGAACAAATAGAACCTAAGAGGTCGACAAGCTATCAAACGTTACCATATCGTTGATATTACGAGGAGCACATATGTTACTCCGAAAGGACGTACTCAGCCAGAGCAGGTCAGATACCTTGCCCTTGCCCCGGATATAGCCCTGTCCGCTGACTTTAAATACAGGGCTTACTAGTTGAAGACGAGAAAACCCGAGATCGCAAGGTTATTATCTTGCGAGAGTCCTGGTTTGACACACCCTGCAGCAAGGACTCCTACGTCCACCTGGTCGGGGACTTCAATGCAGCCGGCCACTGCGTTGTGGATAATTTAAACCACATGATCATTCTTCACCCCGACCATCTCATTTCTGCCACAGTTGTAGCAGACTCGATAGACTGCCAGCGACGAGCTGTCCTCCAGGATCGAGTCAAAGTCATTGGCGCACTCGAGCGACCACAAGCCTTCGGAGTCTTCTTTCACGAAGTTTTTCAAGAAGCCCTCAAAGCGAATCAATGGGATATGGAGTCATTGAAAACATTGGTCGAAACCGTCATGAGCAGACACATCGAAGAACTGTACTCGATTCAGATGAGTATCCCTGAAGCTGTTGAATATCTCATGAGCAGGATGCCTGCTGTTCTCGACTGGGCAGATGCCTTCCTGCATCTCAAGCCACAGGTATGTCTGACGGCCGATAGAGGCATCCTTCGGCCTCGAAAACTTGCTAATCGAGATCAATAGGCAAAGTCGGTGGTTGAAGACCGCAATAGCTCTAAGCTTAATTTGAGTATCAACAAACTGCTCGAGGTCGAGGAGCACATCTGGTCCCCAATGTATGGGCTCAAAGGCAACATTGACGCGACAGTACAAGTCGCTTGTCGCGAAGATCAAATGGAGAAGAACCTGGTGGTTCCGCTGGAGCTCAAGACTGGACGAAGGGATACAAATCAGTCACATAGGGCTCAGACAGCTTTATACACTCTACTTCTGTCGGATCGCTATGGTAAGAGATGAGATTTTCTCTTGATCCCTGATTATCTTCCAGGTGGTTGTGTGGTTGCTAAGAATTGTTGCAGATATCGATGTCACATTTGGGCTTCTCTACTACCTTGAGTTAACAAAAACTCTCAGTATCCGTGGGATCCGACATGAACTGCTCCAGATGATCCAAGTGCGCAATCACCTTGCTGGCTATATTCGCGAAAGGGAGCAACTTCCACCGATGTTGAAGAAAGCTCGGCAGTGTATCCGATGCTATGCCAAGACACCTTGCTTCATTTACCACAAGCTCTCCGAGGATGGCGATGGCGAGACCAGCGCACTTGGTGAGGATTTTGATGCAGCTGTCGGTCATTTGAACAACGGTGATCGGGACTTCTTTCGTAAATGGGATCAACTTCTGACCAAAGAAGAAGGAAATCTCGTGAAGTTCCGGCGAGAACTTTGGACGTTGCTGAGCAGCGAGCGAGAAGCCCTGGGCCGATGCTTCGGGGATGTCGTTATCGACCAGAATTCTGTCTATGAGGAGAATGCTGGACAAAAGATAAATCGCTACCATTATACTTTCGTCAAAAGGCAGGCGTCTCCTGGTTTCTCCTTTGCTGAATCTCAAATATCGGTTGGCGAACCGATCGTCATTTCGGATGAAAAGGGCCATTTTGCTCTCGCCAACGGATACGTGGTACATACTAGCTCGTCACACATCAAGGTTGGTGTGGACCGGAAGCTTCACAACGCACGATCAAAGACGGCTGGCTTCGATCCAGTCACAAATCAGTCTTTCAGGGGAATCATGGAGGTTGGAAGAGAAGAGCCAACTGCCCTGGAAGACCCAGATGAACAGGTCATTTACCGGATCGACAAAGATGAGTTTAGCAACGGCATGGCCATTGTTCGAAACAACCTCATTTGTATGATGGATAAAGACTTGTTCCAAGCGAGACAGCTTCGACGGCTCATTGTTGAGGGGCAAGCTCCCGCCTTCAGGACGATATCATCTTCATACACGATCTCCGATCCTGGCAACCTCAATGTTGATCAAAGACAAGCCATTGACAAAGTGATGAGCGCCAGAGACTATGCTCTTGTCCTTGGAATGCCTGGGACTGGAAAAACCACAACGATTGCCCATATCATTAGGGCCCTTGTCGCCCAAGGCAAGAGTGTTCTCCTTACATCTTACACCCACACTGCAGTTGACAACATTCTGCTGAAGATTCGGGACGATGGTATTCGTGTGCTGCGTATAGGTGCGACCGCCAAAATTCACCCAGATGTCCAGGAGTTTGCCGATCTTGCCGCAGTTCCGAAATCAACCATTGAAGAACTCAAGGATTCATACGAAAAACCGCAAGTCGTTGCCACTACATGCCTCGGAGTCAATCACAGCATTTTCAACCAACGCATTTTTGACTATTGTATTGTCGATGAAGCGTCACAGATCACACTCCCGGTCTGCCTCGGCCCGATTCGTATGGCAAGGATTTTCATCCTGGTCGGTGATCACTATCAATTGCCGCCGCTTGTGCAGAATAAAGCTGCCCAGGAAGGAGGACTTGATGTCAGTCTATTCAAACTGCTCTCGGATGCACAGCCGGCTTCGGTTGTCAACCTAGAGCACCAGTACCGCATGTGTGAGGAAATCATGTTACTTTCCAACACTCTTATTTATTCGGGCCGTCTCAAATGCGGCACACCGCAGGTAGCAGCCCAATCTTTGGTTATACCCAACATCAACGCCCTCGAGAAATTCCATGTTGAGGACTTGACCCATGCTTCGTCACAGTCCCAGCGACAAGTATGCCCGGGCACCTCCAGTGGCCCCTGCTGGCTCCAAGACTTACTGGCGCCATCTGCAAAAACGCGCCTGGTCAATACCGATCCCATCGGCCCTGCAGCCCTCGAGATAGCACAGGGGAATCGTGTCGTGAATCATATGGAGGTCTTTCTCTGCTCGCAGCTTGTGGAGGCATTCATTGCCTGTGGTATTCCCGCGCGCAAAATTGGTGTGATCACTTTCTACCGAAGTCAACTCTCGCTCCTTCGCCAAAGCCTGCGACGCTACACCCCGGATCTGGAGATGCACACTACAGACAAATTCCAAGGCCGCGACAAAGAGGTCATTATCCTGAGCTGTGTCCGCAGTAACGCTGAAAACAACGTCGGTGAGCTCCTACGTGACTGGCGTCGTGTCAACGTCGCCTTCACCCGCGCACAGACCAAGCTTCTTGTTGTCGGTAGCAGATCCACTCTCCGTGATGGCAATGAGCTCCTCTGCAAATACGTGCGCCTGGTAGAAAGCAAAGGCTGGGTTTATAATTTGCCCAGTGGAGCGATAGACCAGCATTTCTTCCCTTCTTGCACCACACAGTCGCAGCTCATGTCTCCGGGTGGCATTTCAACTCATGGCTCTGCCAAAGACAAAAGTAAGGGCAAAAATCACCCACCTTCTCGTTCTTCCCGTGAGCCGCTGAGCCCACTGGGTTCCCGACAAGCAGCGCCTGGTCTTCGAAAACCTTGTAAGACGGGTGCAAAGTTGTTCAACGGCACGAATGTGGTTGGGAATCGGCCCATCTTGCGAGACATAGTGAATAACCTGACGGGCTAGCATATGGTCACCGTGTTTTCATCAAGGTCCTCGTTTCTACTCCTCGGGTGCAAACCGAGCTGTTCTGTTTCATTAGCTTATACGACTTGGCGCGCTGGTACGGCCATTCGTCTTACATCTGTAATGCTTTGGGCTCGGCCAATGCACTGAGCATTTTGTATGTTCTCATTTGATATCGCATTGTGGCGTTGTTGGTTATTGGCTGTCAAATGTTACACTGGGATTTGGTTTGTTCTATCGCAGAGCACTGTAGTCGGCAAATAATCAACACAAGATGCTCGATATTCAGACTCTCAATTAATAGAATCTACAGTAAGAATAGTTGATGAAAAAAACAAATTGGATTCTTGTAGGCTACAATCCATGTGAACCTATTGCAACACCGTGATCAGAATCCTCCTTCCCATAAACAATTCTCCTTCGAAATTTGAAATCCACATTCACAAGAGCAAAGGCCTTCTCACCATCCTTCTCACTATCTGTCTCACCATCCTCCACTAATCCTCATCCTCAACAATCTCCTAATTTCCTCATGATCCTTCGAGAAAAAAAAAGATGATCCGCGACTGTGCTAGGCAGACATGGTATTTGCGCTAGTCTACTTTGAAGAGACTCGTGCCTTTTTGGCCTGGGGTCCGTTCAAGTCGGTCCGGTTCCCATTGGCGTTAGGACCCCACCAGGAATGGTTGTTTGGGTTGGCCACAAAGTCGGTAGGGACGATGTTCTCCATAAACTGAAAAGTTCTCTTGTTGGGCGAAGCAGAAGAGAGGGAAAAAACAGTCTGCTTGCGCTCCTTGGGCGGGGTAGAATAAACTGGTCTCATTTTCTGGGTGGGCTGTTGACCTCGCTGGGCCGACGAGGCTTGGAGCTGCTGGTTTCTTTGCATCACAGACTGCATGCGCTCCTTAGGAGGAGTAGGATAAACTTCTGGGAATTGCTGGGTTTGTGGCATTACAGACTGCATGCGTTCCTTGGTAGGGATAGGATAGACTGCTTGCATTTGCTGGCCAGGCTGCTGAGCTTGCTGAGTTGCTGAAGCTTGTAGTTGCTGGGTTTGTTGCATCAAACACTGCATGCGCTCCTTAGGAGGAGAAGGATAGACTTCTTGGAATCGCTGGGTTTGGGGCATCACGGAGTGCATGCGCTCCTTGGTAAAAGTGGAATACGCTGCTTGCATTTGCTGGCCGGGTTGCTGAGCTTGCTGAGTTGCTGAAGTTTGAATTTGCTGGGGTTGCGGCATCATAGACTGCACACGCTCCTTGGTAGGGGTGAGATAAACTGCTTGCATTTGCTGGCCGGGCTGAGCTTGCTGGGTTGCTGAAACTTGTAGTTGCTGGGTTTGTTGCATCCAAGATTGCATGCGCTCCTTAGGAGGAGTAGGATAGACTTCTTGGAATTGCTGGGTTTGTGGCATCACGGAGTGCATGCGCTCCTTTGTAGAGGTGGAATAAGCTGCTTGTATTTTCTGGACGGGCTGCTGAGCTTGCTGGGTTGCTGAAGCTTGAAGTTGCTGGGTTTGTGGCATCATAGACTGCATATGCTCCTTGGTAGAAGTAGGATACACTGCTTGCACATGCTGGCCGGGCTGCTGAGCTTGCTGAGTCGCGGAAGCTCGAAGTTGCTGTTCTTGATACTGGTATTGACGGAGTTGCTGTCTGTGCTGAGTGATGTTTTGTTTGAGAAGGTCAAACTGCTGTTCGTGGATCTGGCGCTGCTGTTCATCCCCGGGCTGCCGCTGTTTCAGATGAGCTCCCTGCTGTCGAAGTCGCTGCCATTCATTACGAAGATACTGCTCTTGGCTCCGAAGAAGTTGTTGGATTTGAAGCTGCTGCTGTTGACTGGGATGGACCATTGTCTTGTTAGCAACCCCGGTCACTGGAGTCATTTGGGCAGGCATTGGTGTCATTGGGGCAGGCGCAATCTCCAGAAGAGTTTGTGTAGTTGGAGCTAGAGTCGTCTTGTTCTTCCCCTTGCGTGGGGTGCTTTGCGCCTTGGTCTTCTTCTGTGTTTTGTGTAGCTCGTCATTTTGTTTCTTTTTAGGAGCCCGCTTGGCTTTCTGCTTGGGTGGTCGCTTAGCAGGTTGAGAGCGCGATTTGGCTTGTGGCAAGGTAAACACCTTGACCGTACCAGGTGCCGAATTGGATGTGGTAGGAGTGGGTTGGACATCTGCGTCAACAATTCCTGGAGCAACATCGGTGAATGAGGCATCACTGGGATCAGCGGTAGGGGTGACCTGAACAGCTGGAACAATGGCGACCGGAGCGTGCTGAGTGACTGGAACATCAGTGGCAGGAGCGACTGAGGCGGTTGAATTAATGTTGACTGGAGCACGTTGGGTGGTTGAAGCATCAGTGGCAGGAGTGAGTTGGACAACTGCAAGGGGAGGCCCCAGGTCGGCTTTTTCAAGAGACACGACAGTGTCCAGCGGATAGACTGTGCTGGGCTGGTTGGCGCAAGTGTTCTGTGTGGACACATCGACAGGCACAGTGGCATCTTCAGGCACAGTGGGAGTAGGCAATTCAGGGCCAAGCTCCAGGTGATCCTGACACATTGGGCCAATAACAGGGTCTACACCGAGTTCACAAAAGGCTTCGTCGAAAGTCGAGCCGGCAAGCTCATCGTTCTTTCCTTTGAAGCGATATCCTAGAACCACATGTTAGCTTGGTCAGGTGGCCTTAAAGCAAGAGATATAATTACCATTGACACGAGCAAGTTCCCAGAGGGAAATGCAGGAACCATCACGGAAAATCGACTCGGGTACTTCCCATTCGTCGAGACCCGGGAGGGCCTTCGATGGATCTTCATCATAGGATACCTCGGCAAGAGCGTCGAGAAAGAATTGGGTTGGCTCCTCCATAACGGTAGGATCCTCCATGATGAATGGGATGAAGCTGAATGAGAGTACAGATAAAATGGGTCAAAGAAGGTACAGAAATAAAACTGGAAAATATGAATGGAGTGTATGCTGGAGTGGAACACTCGAGCAAAGATTAATAGCTGATAGCTGATAGCTAATATGGACTGTATGAAGAATGATATGGTGAATGTGGGAAGAGATGCAAGAGGTGTGGTGAAGGAAGGAAGAAAGAGGAAGGAAGAAGGAGGAAGGAAGAAGAAGGAACTATGAGAAGTATGGGAGGTGCGTCAGAGCAGAATCATCAGGATGAAGCTCCCCATGGGGTAGGCGTCAAAGGGCAAGGGCTCAATCAGGGTTCGGCCACCGATGCCCCCATCAACTCCCAACAGAAAGTCATCCGGCCAGGTCCAGTGATCCTCTCACTATTCACCTGGCATTGTTCACTTCCAGTTCCAGGGACCATAATCATGAATCCGTCCCTGCCTTCCACTGCTTCTTTTCCTAAAGCGGCGACGGAAAGCGCAAACCAAGATAGGTTGTTAGCCTTGGTACTTTGCCTGTTGATGTCAGTTCGCTGTTTGTTTGTTTTTGCTTCTTTTTCTTCTGATTTTTCGAAACTCACAACAGATCGAGGAACAGCTGCATGATCCACCGGGAAGATATCAACCCGTGCCATTTTAAGCTTATCAAATCAGAGGTCTGGCTTTCATCTGCGTCTGGAACTGCATAACGACTCAGATAGGGATCAACGTCGTCTTCCCCATTTACTCGGGGAGAAGCCATTTGAACCATGGCAATCCATTCTGACAGGACGCCACAATGTTCCTGCAAGTCACCTTCCGACATTTCTTCGAGTGCTTTCCCGTTGTCGTAAAATGGTGGAACGATTATTTGCGCGTGATCAATTTCCTGTGGCTCGCAGTCTATTAACTGTGGTTGAAGCTTGTTGATAGGCTTGTTTCCTACTCCTATTGTTAGTATGTTGCTGGTATCTCTTTTTTCGGTTCGAAAGCATGGTTACCGTCACCCGGACCCGGGTTGCTTTCCAGGTCGTGGAAGAGCCAGGCCATTGATTGAGTCAAAACATTGGTGAATGCCCATACGATTCTTTCAAAGCCTTTCTTGCCATGTAGCATCGAGGGCAGCCGGAAGTTCAATTCTACCACTGACGACATGATTAGCAAAGATTCGACGAGCCCATTTGCTCTGATTGTACACACAGAATCTTTCCTTTGCATGTTTTCTGCCCCCACTGCGCAAAGCCTTGCCTGTGAGACCTGTTCGTTCATAGAGCTCCTTTCCTAGTTCCATTCGAAGTACCCCTGTTTCGACTCGAGTCAACTTTCGGTTCCGCAACAGCAATACTCTTCCAGCCGCAGCTTCAGGAAAACGAACCATCTTGAAGTGTGAAGACATTATCGGAACCCGAGCGTCCTTCGGATATCATCAAGATATTCCCTGTATCCCAAGTCAGATTGACATCTGTGATGAATTGGACTCTCTGGGCACAAAAGTTGTCTAATGCTTGTGCAATTGACGGCCACTCAAAAATGGAAGAACTTTTGGACTGAATTGGCGGAGGCACACATACCTGACTTGATATATGCATTGAAAAAATCATGCTCAAGCAGAGCTAGAGGAGCCATGAAGACTCGTGCATATCGAGGTTTTTCCAGTTTGGTCTCGAGCGACGGTTTGATCTGTGAGTAAAGCTCCTTTGGCAGAATAACCTCGACCTATACCCAGTGATCAGTTAAAAGGCCTCTTATCTCCCTAACTAAGTCACAGGCCACCTACAGAGTGTACAAATGCATGGTTTTGAATCGTTGAAAAGGGCGATCTCTTGCCCGGTATCTGCTTTGGGTCGATAAACGTTGGCAGTTGAGCAATCGTTGTGAAACACTTTTCACGACGCGATGAATCATCCGCTTCTTGGAGCATTTTGTCCCTGATAGCCTTTGAAGTGATGTTTAATGTCGACAATCGCAACTCTTGAGATCCACGGGGATAATTTTTCAGCCGAAGGATGAGGTCCAATTAAGCTCGGGCTTATCGGACCCATAAGGCTGCCGCTATCAAATGTTCCACATTCCAAGATTGAATTGGAATTTGTGATACTTCAACAAAGAATCATGTAGGAATATTGAACAGGAACTAGATACATTGAGTCTGAATGAGATGCTGATGCGAAATCAAGACAGAAGGTACCAATGAAGTATTAATAGCCTTAGTATTGTGATGACAATAATGACTCAGTGTAGCCTTGCCCTCGTATCGTTTCATAAGAGATATTTCAAAGTTGAACTAAAAGCTCCGTTTCACTTAATTCGTATTGATATTCGACATTTTCTTTCAAGGACTTTCATCGTGTGACCATGAATTTACTGTAGAGCAAACAAGATACAAAGTCAATTGGCACATAATGTATCACACCAGTGCCTATGCCATACGATGTAGGGCTATAGAAGGAAACAGTACATGTAGAATACTCTATTAGTAATTATAATCTACCTGTACTAACCTGATCCATTATGTCTGTGGTGAGATACTTCCTGCGCAGGTGGTGTTTCCTAATATGTAATGATATAAAACGCATTTCAATGTTCTTTTTGTAGATGAGCCAAATGTGTACAAATCTCGCTGACCCAATTTTCTCTACAATATTCTGGTGATCGAAGCCCAAGTTGGGATGCAAAATCCAAATCCCAATCCAAAAGGTAGGCTGAAAAGATTTGATGCCTGAGGCGACCCTTGTGATGGCGGCAACACCCGATAAGGATTCCCTGGCAGTACCGGGGTGCCCAAAGGCGGTATCCGAGTACTCTCCAATTCCGTTCACCCACCGTTCTTTGAATAACACCGAGCCTGAGCTGCTAGGTCCTATCGTTTTTACTTCTGCTTCTGCTGCTGCTTCTGGTTCTGGTTCGAATGCAGGTGGATCTCCAGTCTCGCGCCAATTGCTAGAGGAGGAAGACGAAGAGATGGCGCCTGCTCCGCGTCGCGAGCTCCTACACAAGGATCACTTTTCATTCGTCTTTGACAATGTGAAGACCCAAAACTACTTGGATCCTGTCTCTAAGGGACCAGGCTCCCACACGTAAGTTTGGCTTTTGCGCCAAGGTCAATCGTTCATTTACTGACAAGGGTCTGGAACCACAGGATCCGCACTCTTGCTTGGAACCCCACGGGCCAGCTGATTGCCACTGGCTCAGCAGATCGCACTCTACGAATCTGGAACCCCGAGCGTCCTCATGTACGATACTCGACCGAATTGCGTGGCCACACAGCTGGTATCGAGAAGGCCCTTTTCAATCCAGTCCGCGATGCGGAGCTGGCTAGCTGCTCGGCCGATGGTACAGTGCGCTTCTGGGATGTGCGCTCCAAGACATGTGTGAGCCGTCTAGATGTCGGCGGCGAAGCATTTACACTCTCCTGGTCTGCTGACGGCAGCACAATGATCGTCGGCAAGAAGGTAATCCAGCAGCGCTACGGTTCCGCAGATTTAATCTCGCTCTCATGATAAAGTCACTAACATACGACATGTAAACAGGACGACACCTTAATCCCTGTCTCCGTTGAATTCCCCTCCTCTCCTACCGCTCATCCTGATGGCGCGAACGCTCTCAACCTTCCCTCCTCTACACCCGGCGCAACCACATACACAGCTCTCGACCCTCACCCTCAAACCGTCCAAACAAATGCCACAACCTTCTCCTGGTGCATGCCCACACCCGAGCGTCCGGAGCAACACATATTTGTGACGACTGGAGAGGGAAAGGTCAAAATCATGTCCTACCCCTCTTTTGATATTATGCACACCCTCAACGCCCACACCTCCGCCTGCCTTTCGATTGCGCTTGCCCCAACAGGCCGATACCTTGCAGTTGGTGGAAGCGACGCCCTCATCTCGCTCTGGGACACAACTGACTGGATTTGCCGTCGTACTCTGTCCAGCGAGAATGGTGGCGCTATTCGTGGCGTAAGCTGGAGCTTTGATGGCCGCTACATTGTCGGCGCATGCGACGAGCTTGGGTGTGGTGGGAATGGATTAGAAATCTTCCATGCTGAGTCTGGTGATAAAGTTTATACAATTCCTACTGCCGGCATCAATGCTGGTGTTTCTGCCGTTGCGTGGCATCCCTCTCGCTACTGGCTGGCTTACTCAACTACCACTGATGGACCTGGTAGCTCCAGCGCTGGAGGCTTGAAGATTGTCGGTGCTGCTGGAGGTGGCCTGTAATCTTAAGCATTATGTTATCCTTCCTCTTCTTCGGCAAGGTTCCCTTTTTTTTTACCTCTGACCCGATGATGTAGATTATTGTCAGAAATTTTCATGAATGGACGTATTGAAAAAGACATTAAAAGTAAGATCAATGGGTTTCTTATCGTTTGGATGTAATACTGTAGTGGTTGGCTAGTAACATGAGTTGGCAGGTCCCAAAAACTCCCATTTCAACAGTATGAGTGAAGATTTCCGCCCCAAAAAAAGACCGTTCATTCGTTCGTCATCAAATCATTGAGCAGGGGAGGTCAATGGAATACTCTCCGCTGCTACTTTAATCGGAAATTGGGACAAGAACATTGCAAAGGAATTTGCAGCGCCGTGGTTGGTAAATCAACCTCGGGGAAAGAAGATACTCAGCCCAAGCCTATCGTAATGAGTGACCCAATATTTGCCGAACCAGGAGACCAATTCATGTATATCAATCTCAGCCTGGGGGCGAGGAAAAGCGAAGGCAAAAGTGAAGTATCCAATAGGATGACGAGTCTGCTTCAGGTCACAGGCGATGTATCGACCGGGGTCGATAAAGGTCTTGATGGGTCGTTCTACTTAGTGAGAGCCGAGGATCTCGGGTTTTGAGCAGGTTGGTTAGACACAAAGCCCAGCGCCTCATGTCTTCCGTACAGTAGCAACATGAGAGATTTCATTTGTTGCAACCTTGGAACAATCTCAAGCGTGATGACTTGTTGATATCGGATATTATTCAACAAAGGCCCTTTCATAAGAAAGTATATTCCACCACATGCTGGGCTCACGATGGCCGCCAGTTCTCCCAGCCAGCGTTGTTCCCATTTGAGCCCTGAATTTGGCTATTCAGCATTTGAGCCCACTGAGATTCACTGAAAGTATCCATGTTCAAGTTTCCAAAGTCCTCATTGCCGGTTTCCAGATTTTGGGTGGGAAGGTCCCACACAGAGGGCATAGAAAAGATTTCCGACGCTCCCGTGGGAAGTGGCGGGCTAACAGAGCTGCTTGGATAAAACCGACTAGCCATAGAACCCAAATCAGTGGCCTGTGGGTTTGTGTTTCCTTGTGGCATGATGGTTGGATTGATTTTGTCAAAGGATCGGGCCGACCCCTGACTCCGATATACCGAGTTTGTCTTTTGCTGCTTGTTTCCGGGTGATAGGTCTTCGGCACCGTTAATTGAATAAGAGGTGTTGGAGGATGAATTCAAGGTTGAGGGGGTGGGATGGTCTGAAGGTGGGTTATTTTTATCGCTGAGGTTGCCGAAATCAGGTGGGAAATCCATGTCCATATCGACAATGGCCCCTTGTGGCCCGGCTCGGTCCATTTTTGAAGCTGTCGCCTGAGTGGATGTTCCCGGATAATGACACATGTCTTCGCCATTAAAGTCGGATTCTGCGCTGAGCTGTGTCGTGGAGTCCCTGCTCCGGCTAGGGAGGGACGTCGTCATATCAGCAGGCATGGGCTGTTGATTGCCACCGCGATTGGTACTTTGTTGGGGAGGCTCATTATTTGCGGTTTCATGTGTTTGACGGACGTCGTACATAGGAGCACATTCGATATTTTCGTGGCAGTATGGTTGCTATAATGAATGGGGTTAGCTTCGATGAGTCCCTGAGGAACAAGCCAGGGAAACATACTACCATAGAATGTGCAGCGCACATGTTTGTTTTTTGTCTATCGTCCAAAGCGCGAATGCCAGTTCCATCAAGATCCACATCTAATTGAACAAGAAAGGACTCGGTCAAAGGATTTTTGTTCTTCAACGCATTCAGAGCGGAGACGAGAAATTGTAATGAGGACTGAACACTCGAATCCTCTGGCCGGGATTTGAGATATTGCACAAAGACACGAGCAGCAATATAGAGACAAAAAGACATGAAAGGATTTAGCTGCAAAATGTTAGTGTAAAAGATTCTGGGCAAAGAATCTCAGAGAAACTCACGTTCGTCAAATCAACGTGGCTGATCATCTTCATAGTACTCGAAATCTGGTTCGCGGCAACAAGGCATCTGCGCTTACTCTCGGTCGTAATCTGATTCGGCATCTTGTTCTTTTCTGCCTTGAATATTGCCGCTTGGTGAAGACATATGGTTGAAGTATGGATGCTCATGTTGGCGAAAATGACGTTCACGTCCGACATACCACTTGGAAGTCGGAGATGATCAGGCAACGAGAGCGAAATGTGCAGAAGAATGTTATCGTGGCTTCTGTGGCGCTTCCAAAACTCCCCATTGAGGTCATGATCGTTGTCTTGGGGCTGAGGCCGATGGATGTGTACGAGGTTACGACCGAAAAGGCTTGCCAAAACCACCACGCATGCAAAAGGGGCTAGGGTGGAAACACCATCTCCAGTGATGATATCGTTCAGATGAAGTGTTCGTTGTGGCTTGCTCTTGGTGAAAGATTCTTCAGATGCGGGGAGATTGGTCCTGATCTGATTGTCGTCAGTTTATCGTCTTCTACGCCATGTAGAGGGTTTAAAGAAGATATACTGACATCGTTCTCATCAATAAGAATGGGCCAACCGGTTCCAACACTCGAATATCTATCTGTGGCAAATGCGCCCCAAAACACTCTCCTGCGTTCTTCGCGCTCTGTCCAATCTCTCGGTGGTAAGATGGATTGTTTCACGTCGAGACCAACACCATCAAGCCGATTCAATCCCAGCATCAGTGCGAGTCTGGCAGCTTTACCAACGCTCAGCCAGGCTCGTGGGAAGAAGATCATTCGGAATTCATATGTTCCAATGAATATCCATGTTTGGCAATGTGCTAAGCTGACGATGTTCTCTCCGAATCCTTTCATTTCGTCCATTTCGGCATATTTGCGTGCCCGCTGGTAGAAATGATTATGCAGAAAGAAGTACTTGTCACTGACAGATGCGGCATTGCACCACATAATGTATCGCAGGCAAATCGGTGGTCGCATATTAGGGGCAAGAGTCAAGGCTGCAAAGTAACGTGGGCGGTGGATGATGGGCATCGTTGGATAGATTTTCTCAAAGAATATGGCTTCCCTGTGTGGCACGATTGTATTAGAGGCCAGTTCCAGTAGAAAGCCGAGCGAAACACGTACAGTTCATCGATCACGTCCTGTGAAGGAAGAGGTTCCTCCAACCCTAAACTGATCAAGTCCCATTGAGGGTTGCCGCCACCCTGAGTGGTGAGCGGCGGATATAAAATTTGATTTGGCTGGCCTGCGCCAGCCAAAGAGGAGAACGAGTTATCCATGTTGCCTCCAATGCCTCCCAGTCCTCCTAGGCCCGAGAGGTCAGGCAAGTCCAGTATAGATTCATCGGCGATGGGCGCTGTGAATGCATTCTCCGATGGTTGAGGTGGGGAGGTTCGTTGGTTGGGCTCCGGATCCTGGCCTTTGAGAAGAGTCTCTACTTGAGCTGACACGAACATGACCATTAACATACGGCTCACTGTCAATATAGCATTTGGGACATGGATTCGTACCTAATCGCGCTTCAAGCTGCTTGACATATCCGCGCTTTGGGCCACTCTTCTTGCGCACTTCATCGTAAGAGCATTCATGTCCCAATCGTGAGCAAGTCCCACAGCTTGGGCGTCTCCCATCACACCTGAGTTTCCTCCTCCGACAGACAACACATGCGATGCGCTTGGGGCGGGGGACGAAGTTGCCTTCCCCGGTACTAGCGCTTTCGGCAGCGACGCCATTTTCAGCGCGCATGAATTCCATTTGAGAAAGGTCAGATTCTGCAGAAAGTTGCGACGATTCGGGTCCAGAATTGGACGGCGGAAGTGCCGCCATAGCGGGCTTGATTGCAGATGATGCTACGATGCAGTGGCTGAGTAATTCAAGTGGATGAATGAATGGCCAATTCTTGTTTGTCCCCGCGCAAAACTTTTTGGTGGAATGACGCGTGTAGGATAAACCGAAGGCCTCAACATGCCAGGAAACCCCAAGTGTTTGTCAATTATGCCGAGGTTGGTGATGTGAAAAGAAAGTTCTATGGATGACGAAAGTTCGTATCAGGAGAGGCCGAGTGTTTCCACCCCAACTTGTTGTATGAAGAGCTAAACCAGAGAACCCCTATTTTTGATTTCGATGAGATTCCAACGAGATCCATGGAAAAGAGCTAAATTTCTATTCTAATATTCTAATCTCCTGTAAGAGCGTTGACAGGTGCGCTCAAGCAGAGAGAGCCACGCACCAGCGAGGTTGCCTGGAGGCTTGGCACGCATCTACAGGATATTTATGATTATCTATGATTATCTATCTACAGAGCTGAAACATATTACTGTCGAAACAAGTTTGAAAATCTATTTTCTTTCGCTTCGAGTGTATGTGGCCTCGAGCCATCGTACTGTACAGTGCCCATTGCCCGAGTTTCAGCCAGATGGCAGATGCGCAAAACAAGAATTTCCAAATAGCGCGTGGTCGAAAAAATGATGAGATATTTGATGTTTCAGAACACAAGAGAAGATATGGTACAGTCATCCCCTGCGCGGTAGGGATGAGGTATAGGGTGAGGAGGTACAGATGGTTCAGAGACAAAGCATAGTGAAATGGCAAAGCAACATCATCTCTAGTTGTATCCACGACGGCGTTTTCCTTGGTTGCGAGGTCTGGCGTGAACAACAGCCTTGTTGATCTTCCACTTCGGGCGGGTCTTGTAGCCGGATTTGGTCTAGAGGTGAAAATGAGAAGTCAGTCCCACGGGAGTTCAGAAGGTGCAAAACAAAAGGAAATACATACCGGAATACCCCAAGGACTCTTCGGGTCGACATTACCCTTGGACTTTCCTCGTCCACCACCGTGAGGATGGTCCATAGCGTTCATGGCCAGACCACGCACCGTCGGACGAATGTTGAGCCAACGCGAGCGACCGGCCTTTCCGAGCTGAGTATATTGGTAGTTAGGGTTGCTGGTGATACCAACAGTAGCGCAGCAGTCCTTGTGAATGAGCCGAGTCTCGCCACTTGAAAGACGGACAGTAATGTGCTGGGCCAGGCGCTCCTGCTTCTGCTGCTCGCGCTGCGACAAGGGCTTCTTTTCGGCCTCGGGCTGTTCGTCTTGAATCGTTTCCTGGCGCGAGTCACTGCCCTTGGCTACAACGGTAGCATAAGTTCCAGCACTCCGACACAGTTGGCCACCCTTCCCGGGTCGCAATCCCACGTTGAAAACCAATGTTCCCACCGGAACCATGTGCAACGGCAGACAATTTCCTCTCCAGGCGGTTCTAGCGGCGAGCACACCGGGATCGACAGCGCTGCCCATGCTCTTCCACAAATCTTCAGGAATTCCAGACATATAACTCTGGACCACGTCGCCGGCGCGCATCCCATCCGCCGCGAGAATGTAGCTCAACTTGCCAGTCTCCTTACTAGCGGTCAATGCAATGTGTGCAGTGCGGCCGGGATCATACTCGATACGCTCAACTGTATGCGGCCCTGGGGCCATGCGCAGAAAATCGATTGTTCGAATTCGACGCTTGGCACCACCTCCATGATGGCGGACAGTAACTCGGCCAGAGTTGTTTCGACCACCCTTAGCGTGGCCACGCTTGGGGAATGTTAATTTGTGCACTGGGCGTCCCTTCCACAGATGGTCATTCACAGGACGCCGCAGATGTCTGATACCGGGGGTGCGCGGAGTGTAGGTACGCAACTGAATGCCAGCAGCATCGCGGCTGGGGGGGAGCGAATGAAACGTTCGGGTCGATAAAAGTGTTGACTGGTGTTTCGATAGACTTGGGCTTGTTCTTCTCAATTTCATTCATAACCGTCGAATAGCCACGAACCGGCAAAGGCAGAGAGGGTAGACACCTAAAGGGCAGCCGAATGCCCCGTAGGGCAATTCGGGGTTGGAGCATTGCTGCCAAAGAAAGGGGGGAGGGAAAAGACGGATTTTGAATGAAGCAGTTGAAAATTAAGGAGGGATGAAAGTCAAACGTCAATGGAGCAGACCGACAAAGACTCAACAGCTCCTCACCTCTACTTTGTAGATATGCACCGGACTCTCCATAGGAACAAAAAGTTCACCGGCCACGTGACTTTGGTCCTGCACCGCCTCACGCACCGCCACATATAAAATGAGGCAGGTGTCTGATCACGGGAATTTCATTTGACTTATGTCAGATTCGATGCACGTGACCCTTTGTTACAAGATTCGATACATACAAGACCGAAACGTCGTCGTTGTCGGAGCAACCACTTTATTTACTCATTGCCATACTTACGCGTATCTCCCTTCATTGCTAGATCTACTTTTCTCAACCTATCTCAGCACATCTTTTTCTTGTTTCTATTCTGCTCTTCATTGCTCAACTCAATTCTTCATTTCACTAATTTTTTTAAAAGAAAAGGGCGCGAACGTCAATTAAGAGATCCACGCGACTGGCTGAGTGGGGCTGCTTGTTTTCCACGCTAAGCCACAGTACTAGGGCCAAACATCGCCTTTTGCCCTCAAGCTCTGTTCCTTTTCCCTCATCATTCCAGTTAGAGCTACCCTTCCATCTTCCCCCCACTCCCCTACTAACAGATTATCGCGTGTGGATTCCTGGTGTACAGTGTCTTCAGATCATTCTGTATCGTTTGACATCTTTTTCCCCTGATTCGCGCGCCATTTGATCTTCAGAACGAGGGTTCTGCGCGGTCTTGATACACATCAACATAGTCCAGTTTGAGCCGTAATTATCGACTCATATCATCTCCACCTGTCTGAAAGCTACCTCTGCCTACTGGCATTGTAGTTTCTGCAGAACAACCGCATTTTCACGCGTGGTAGGTGCACCTTCTCAATCCTCTGGTATGAGGTCCCCACCGCGGTAATGTCGATTGGAATGCTGACCCAATTTCATGAGCAGGACAAGAATCATTATATTCCTGTCCCCTTTCCTCCCTTTCTACGCGTCGCTTTCCTTTTATTATCTTCACGATGCCTCAGGTAAGCAATCTGTAGCCTTGCCAAAACACGCGTTTGATGTCCTGGTCGCGGGAGATCTGAATCATAGCCTTGAGATTTGGTTACCTCCTTGACCTTACTGGACTGGCCACTGACTCCACTGCAGGCCCGCAGCCTTCGTACCAGAGGCACGATGAATGAGAACGATGAGAACGGTCCGTCAGCGCGTGTGACCCGGGCCAAGGCAGCCGCCCTGACCACCGATGCCACTGCCGCTGGAGCCAGAAAGACCCTGCAGACCAAGCGAACGACGTCGACCACCACGGCCACAGGAACCCAACGTTCCCGTGCTGCCCTCGGTGACGTCAGCAATGTCAACAAGACGGAGGTTGCTGAGACGAAAGCTGGGAAGAAACCGGTCGCTGCCAAGGCCGGTTTGACCTCAAAGGCAACTGTTCAGACCGGGGGTGTTCAAAAACTTAGCCGCAACAACTCGTCACGAACTGCGACACGATCGGCCCTCCAACCACGCGACTCGAACAAAAAGACCGGTGCCAACGCCCATAAGCGTCCGCCGCTGAAGGATACGTCCATCCAAGCGGATGAGCCTCCCCGCAAGAAGCCCGAGCTTGAGCGAAAGACCCGAACTAGCGAGAAGATCGTGGAAGAGCCAGCTGTGACGGAGGCAGAGGTTAGCGTGAAGGATGCTCTGAATGACGCTGTGCAAGATCTGGACACTGAGGACTTGGATGACCCATTGATGGCTGCTGAATACGTGGTTGAAATTTTCGAGTATCTTAAGGACCTTGAGATCATGACTCTGCCCAACCCTGATTACATCGACCATCAGCCCGACCTTGAATGGAAGATGCGTGGGATCCTTGTTGACTGGCTTATCGAAGTGCACACCCGTTTCCGTCTCCTCCCTGAGACCCTGTTCCTTGCTGTCAACATCATTGATCGGTTCCTGTCCGCTGAAGTTGTCGCCCTTGATCGTCTTCAGCTCGTTGGTGTTACCGCCATGTTCATTGCCTCCAAGTATGAGGAGGTGCTCTCTCCTCACGTCGCCAATTTCAGCCATGTCGCCGATGAGACCTTCTCGGACAAGGAGATTCTCGATGCCGAACGTCACGTCCTCGCGACCCTCGAGTACAACATGAGCTTCCCCAACCCCATGAACTTCCTGCGACGTATCTCTAAGGCCGATAATTATGATATCCAAACCCGCACTCTGGGCAAGTACTTGATGGAGATTAGTCTCCTGGATCACCGCTTCATGGGCTTCCCCCAGAGCCACATCTCCGCCGCAGCAATGTATCTTGCACGTCTCATTCTCGAGCGTGGACCTTGGGTATGTCGCAATGCGTTTCGCCTGTTCACACAGCACAACTAACTTCTCATAGGATTCCACTCTCGCTCACTACTCAGGATACACTGAAGAGGAGATCGATCCCGTCTTCCAGTTGATGATTGATTATCTCCACCGCCCTGTCTCTCACGAAGCCTTCTTTAAGAAATACGCCAGCAAGAAGTTCCTAAAGGGTAAGCATCATTGATAAAACTTCTTCGTCCGAGATGTCATACTGATCAGTCTCCCAGCCTCTATCTTGACTCGCCAATGGGCCAAGAAATATCACCACCTTTACGTCGACGGCTCTGAGCAGAGCAGTTACGCCAAGGATGAACAGTAATTGTACCATTTACGATGTCATGCTACTCCTGTCTCGCCAACGTCGATGCCTTTCATGACTCCCTAGGGCCTTGCGACGACTTGAGCAGGGAAATCGAATTCCTACATATGTTGGCATCTCATTGTGCTGGTATTCACTTCACTACCTTTTGCATATTCTTACGACGACTTGATTGAATTTCTGCGCTTTCCGCATTTGTCTTCTGTGATGGGGTGTTCGGCGCTCGGTCCTGTGTGCTATTGTTTTCTTCTCTTACTCCTACATCTTCAACCTCGGCTTGCTTGTTTTCCGTGCATCAGCATCTGTGCCCCGCCTGCCTTGGTATCTCTTACATTCTCGTGAATCGTGTTTCAGGCGTCAGGACCTATTTTTTCTCTTCCTTCAAATCGCAATTTTACCTTTCGCCCTGATTCGCCTTTCACTTAGGTTGGGCGGTTGGGCGGTGCAGTGGTATCCTCTTTGGATCACTTTTTTTTTGTTTATCATGCAAGTTCCGAAGGCTTGCACATTTGCGTGGCATTGCGAATTGGAAGTCTTTTGTGAAGCCAAGGTGGCTATGGTTTTTTTTTTTTTCTCGGGTGTCTCTCATTTCATGAGCTGGAAGATTCAATTGGTTACCAACTTGAGTCTTCCCAGACAGGCAAGATTGATATCAGATGGACGGTCGAGGTAATCGGTGACAAGTTGGACCGGTTCTGTTTTGTTCAAAATAGTTGGATTTCTAACGTTGGATCCGTGTGTATGGCGTGCTTATTAAAACCATTTCTTTTTTTATTCCTTTGGGGTGCAAAGTATAATATCTGGGGTTGTAAAGGCGTTCAGTTAAGCTTATGCTTAGCCGAGGTTGGTCCAAGGTTAATCCCGGTGAGCCGCTGAATCACCTTGGGATCAACCTCCATCTTGTTTACTACCATACCTAGTTACATCCATCTTTGGGGCTGATACTGAACCATGCTCATGATCCCACACTCAGACTGAATAAACAGATCATTCTATCCGATCATGGATTCCATTGCACCCCCGCCGTGTCCGTTCTGCAACATCGCCTCAGCATACCCCCCCAGCCCCCTTCAATGACCCTGAGTCCCATCCAATCTCTACTGCCTCGGACTCAAGTCCATTGTCCTATGTGATCCTCTCCACTGAGCATGTTCTTGCCTTTTTGGACATTATGCCGCTTACCCGTGGCCATGTCCTAGTAGCGCCAAGACACCATTACAAGTTGCTAGGAGACATGGGTGTTCAAGCAGGACAGGAGGTGCGTACATATTTCCCATCGGGTTATCTCTAACAGTTCCAAAAAAAAAAAAAAAATACTTCTTTGGCTGATTCTCGTCTTTGATTTGACGCATAGATGGGGAAATGGCTGCCTATTATTTCCAGGGTTGTAACAAAGACTGTATTTGGCGACGATCCTGATAGACATTGGAATGTCGTGCAGAACAATGGTATGTCTTTTTTCTAATTTTCTTCCATTTCCCCCTTAAAGCGTTAGGGTTTGGTGTGTTTCTACTCCGTACGCTGTATCATGTTACCCCTTATGTATGTATCGATCTTGGCATTCAAGGAGGTTGAACACCCCTGACCGATGTCTTTTTTTATTTGTCACTAAACTAAAATGGCATCAACGTTCATGAGCCACCTTGCCGTCACATCCTTAGGGAATAGGCAAGCGACAATCATCTAACTGAGTGATAGGCGAAAGAGCAGCACAGGTAGTACCCCACGTCCATTTCCACATCATCCCACGTCCTGCTCAAGGGGCCAATCAGAGAACAAGTTTTGCTATGTTCGGCCGTGGGCAGAGAGAGGAGCTCGACGATGACGAGGCTGAGGCCTTGGCTCGTGAGTTGAGAATCGAGCTAGCTGAGGAAGTCAAACGAATTCAGAGGGACGAGGGCGTGGACTTGGCTGCAGACTTGCTTCCAGAAGGAAGCCAGCGAGGGAAACTGTGAAGTACGCTGTATCTGGTATTTTCTTTTCTTTCTGCATCTGATCGTTTGTCCAATACTCGGGTTATCCGCTGTATATAGGCCTTTCTGTTGCGCAATTTTTTCAAGCTCCCGAGCTAAGGCTAGGCTAGGTAGCTTCTTATCTGATGATATGCTAGTCTGGGTTCTTATTCTGTCGTTTTTTGGTCCTTGTCGACTCGGGTGCCGTGGCCTCGGAGCATATGCTGGTTCAACAAATTAGCCAAGTACTGAGTCATCAACCTCTAAATGATACGTACCATTCGGCGGAATGCATTGAGATCATCAGCACTAGTACCCTCATCATCAATCTTTTTCCGGGCCAGTGTGGTATCCGACAATTGTCCCTCAGGTAGACGACGGTAAGTTATAAGTCGGCGAGACCCTATGCGACAGAAAATCAGCCAATCTTTTTCGTCAAGATTGTATCATAAAGCGCGTCACTTACAGGTGTTGAAATGCTGAACAGAGATGCTGACAATCTCGAGGTTCTGATGCATGGGAACAGGGAATTCGGTTTTCTCGTCATTGGTTGTAGGCATCCACATTGACAAACGGCCATTGGGAACCAAGGAGCGAACAGCAAAGTTAAGGACGTCGTTCTGCAGGGCCTCGAAACCATAAGGCTTCTTGGGGGGAACAAAACCAGGTCGGCTATAGGTCAAAGTCAGAATTATAAACCGGCAGTGGAAGCAAAATAACATACAGATAGGCGGGAACGCCATCAATGATCACATTGACCGCAGGTTTTCCCTTGCGATTTCCCAAAACCCGAAGTCCTTCACGCACACCGTATGGTGGATCGCAAACGATGCCATCAAGGACGGCAGTTCTCCGCAGTGGCGTGTTGGTAAGATCGGATGTGAACGTATCAAGAAATTTACTCTTGATCCCATATTGGTCAAAATTCTCATATATGCCCAGTTTTCCGCTCTCTTTGCCACGGAAACTGCGGCCATCAATGTCTGCGCCCAGAGTCAGTGCTCCGAAATGCGAAGCAGCAATTATGAAACTTCCAGTTCCGACAAATGGGTCGAAGAACAATTTTCCTGGTGCTGCAAGAGCCATGTTCGCCGTGATGAGACTCAACTCCGCATCCATGGAAGTCGTGCTGATATAACGACGCTTCTTGAGGTCGTACTTGAGCACATCCTCGCGACAGCTATCGGCAATCTTGCGGCTGAGGTAGATCTTCCGCGGATCCTCCGTTCGCGACACACCCGAGACAGAGACTTCGAAATCGTCGATGTACTCCTCCATGACGAAAAACTCCTCATCGGGGTTCTTTAGCCGGATCGGGCCTTTGAACCCCATGTATGAGAATGATCTGATGATCTCTCCTTTCTGGAGATGGCTGCGCGTTCCCGCGAAGTAGTCAATTGTGAATTTGAATGGGACATCATTGTAGTCGTTCCAGCGATGCTGAGTTCGTCGACGAACATCTGCATGCAGCTCTTCATAATTGGTGCCTTCGCCCCATAGCTCGAAGATATCCTTGACCAGAATACTGCGCTTGGCAACTGCCCGCGCGGCAGCTTCATCTGGTAGTCTTACGACACAATATGGTGACTGGGCATGTCAGTCAAAATTTCTGCAAATGGAGGATGATCATGCAATAATTAAGAAAGGGGTATCATCATTATAGAACAATGTCCATGGAATAGTTTGAATGCTTCCAAACTAGATGGAAAGGGTATCATACATATTCATTGTAGGTGATGATTTCGATGTCAACGCCTGCGAGTGTGGCACAGGCTTGAATTTCCGGCCGTCGGAAGGTCTCATGGAGCTGGGCGAACCGAACCAGATAATCCATGACTAGAGAGATGAATATATGTCTGATTTTTATTATGGATATCTCTTGTAACAGCAGGAGTTCATGTAATTTGTTGTATTCAAGGCGGGGTGTTGCGGGTTGAGATTTTTTTTTTTTTCCCTCGGGTCTTCAAAAATATACTCCACGGACACAGAGACAGTGTGAATCTATGTCAACGAAAATTTGATTGATTTTCCAACTACAATATACAACTAAAAATGATTCTTGCGCCCTTGGAATATGATTAGAATGATTAGATTACAAAAGGCTGGAGAGCTGGACAGGATAATTGAACAATATGTGTAGATTGAACGATTGAACTACAAATCGATGAAAGCCAAATCTACCCAGGTGTGATATAACACACACACAAAAAAAGAATACCGAGACTATCTAATATCATCGCATACAGCTATGAACAAAAACCCGAAGATACGCCTTCCCTTAAGACAGAAGCAAGACATGCCCAAAACTCCGCTACTATGCACCAACTACCTTGAAAACATGTCGTGATTCATATCCCTCCACCGGGGTAATATCAACCTTTTCATCGGCTGGTATCATATGATGTTGTAAATCCCAACCGGCACGACGAGAAAGTTCTGATACCACCACGTCACAGTCACCTAACAGATCAATATCGAACTCGGTATGTGTCACCGGCTGCCATGATTAGTATGTTATAATCTTAACAACTTCAGTATAACTTACAGTACGCGATATGTAGATCTGTGGGACATTGCGAGGTAGAATACCCGGCACTTCCGCTACGGGGGCCACCTTTAATGAGGTTCCGATCACAATGACAAGGTCTGCTAATTCCCGATCTTGGTTGATTAGACGCTCACCAAACTCATCGGGCAGATCCTCGCCAAAGAATGTGATGTCAGGCTGCACTGTTCGTCAGTATGAACGAAAGCAATCAAGGCACCGAGAAATCACTGACCTTCATCACTCCAGGAGTTGGGATTTCATAGTCGTCCTCGTCTGAGCTGTCGTCGGAGACCTTGCGGTCCTTCTGTTGGCCATTGGAGCTTCGTTTTCGCTTAAGACCTTGCGGTTTTAGTTCTTCTTCGGAGATTCTCTCCTTGCAGACGGTACAGTGGGGGATGTTCCCCGCTCTAATTTCATCGAAGATCGCGTCACCAGGGACATGGAACCCACACTTCACGCAGGTGGCCGTCGCAAAGGATCCATGGCATTGTACAATCTTTTCCGGGAGAACGCCTGCATTTGCTTCAATGTTATCGATATTCTGGGTGTAGTTGGTCAACAGCTTTCCCTTGTCTTGTAGAAGCCGAATGAACCCATGGGTGGGGGACCATTTCTTTTCCGTCGGCAGAATGTCCTTGGCAATTGAAAAGAAAACGCTCGGATCCTCTCTGAAAACATGGATATCAAAGACTTCCTGTGGATCGCTCAGGCCCAGATGCGCCAGTTTTGAGTAGAGTCCGGTGTCTTTTGAACGGAAATCGGGGATGCCCAGGCTGGTCGAGATCTGATAGAGTACTGGTTAGCACTTATGGATCAGAATTATTATGCATATACGCTTCTATATGAACATACACCTGCACCCGTCAGAACGATGATGTTTCGAGACTCGCGAAGGAGCCGAACAGCATCGTCGATGGAGTTGTACTGGGGAAGTTTGGGCCGCCGGGAGAATTCGCGCGAGATCGCGATCGCCAGAAGAGAGTGATATGACTCATCTGGCGCACCATCGAGGAATGCCGGGGGCGCGATTCCAAATGCCGTGCACAGCTTTTTGGCCGTGACGGTTTCACGGAGGATGGTCTCTTCCACGAACGCCGCCTTACCAATCGCATGGAGGCGCTGTCTATATGCAGTCGCCTCTTCTAGAGTACAGGCACCGGGAACTGCGACGGGAAAGCGAGCACATCAGCCAATGTTCATTCTGATCTGCGAGAGCGGGGGTGTCCGGGGTAAGAGGTGAGGGTGGAGATAATTACATACCGAGGCCGTCGCGGATCTGGTCATCGCGTAGGAACTGTATCGCCTCGTCGCAATTAGAGAGGTTATCCCATCTATCGGAATCATCACTGTCTGTCTCCAAATCCGACGAAATCTCAAGTGCGAGGTCCGGCGCGTCGTCGTCCATGGGGTACTGTTCCTCCATATCCACAGCCTCTACTTCGACCACGGTGGTTTTCAGCGAAGGCTCTCCTTTTGGGGCTGGTACCAAATCCATTTTGCAGGAGTTTGAGATGCCAGCCACAGAGACAAACTCTTTCACTCGCGCTTGAAATCTGCTCTGGCAAAAATTCGGGCATCTGCCTCACCGGAGGCAACTTAATCCGGAACCGATGAATGGATTGCAGTGGCGATATCAAAGAAGTTTTGGTTTGTTGGTACAGGGGTTCGACCACGAAAACAAGAGATAATCAGTCGGGCGGAAAATGGAAGAGACTACTTCTAGAGGTATCAAATCAAACATATCAATGAACATATACATCGTCTCATGTGGTCGTCACTTTTGGTATCTATGAATCTGCCATCTCATCGTCGGAGTCGACTTCGATCTCCTCATCTGAGTCCTCGCCTTCTCCCTCCCCTTCAGCTTCACTCTCGTCATCCTCTCCGATTTCTTTGTTGATTGCCTGTACAAGCTCCAACGCATGATCGCGAAGTCGGTCATCCTCGTACTGAAGGACATCGTAGAGCTTCAAGCTTTGCTTGAGCCATTCACGACTAGCGTCTAGTGATGCATGTCGTGGGGACTCAGCAAGCTCCTCAGCGGTTGCATCCTTAGGTGCCTGTTGCTTTTCTGCCAGCAGGAAGAGGCACCAACCTCCAAGATACCAAGCCTCTACACTTTGATCATCCTCTAGAATCAAGCGCTCGAGGACTTCCAGAGCCTCGAATTCCATAGTCACTTCCATCAAGAGTCGCGCAAGACTGATGCGCACCGCAAAATCGGGAATTTTGAGATCTTCTGGGGCCAGGTCCTTCCAGAAGCTCATACTGCGAGTGAGCGCGGCTTGCGCATCTTCGGTACGCAATTGTGAAATACGGATGGAGGCGAGAGTCTGTAGTACCTCAGGGGCTTCGGGTGTGACAAGGAGGGCTTCCGTAATAAGTGCTTCACACCGAGCTTCGGCATCCTCTTCCCAGCTGAGCGAGGATATTAGCGTTGGTGCGCATAGTATCTAGAATCTAGAGGAACTCACGAAAGATCGGTCATATAGGTTTCAGCGACGGCACAGAGTGCGTTGGACAGTTTGGCCTTCTTCTGTTCAATGTCGGCAATCTGCTCGGGGGATGTTTTCCCCTCAAGAGACTGAATAGTCTGCCTGAGGGAGGCCACACCCATCTCGAACCACAAGACACTGTCCTTTCCGCCTTGCTCACTCAACTGCGCAAGCCAAAGGAACTTCTCAGCCCCTCCGCCCTCGGATTCCGGGACCGAGCCATTTTGATCCAATTGAACAGCTTGAAGGAAGCAGTTTCTAGCGGTGTCAATGTCACCTAGCTCAACATTGATTTCTCCGAGCAGGTTAATGGCGGGGAGCTGTGCAGTGGTGTTTTCGGCAGTTAAATCCAGAGCTTGCTGTGCAACCATAAGTGCCTCGTCGACTCGACCAGTTTGTAGGAGGATCGTGGCTTGGTCGAGTAATGTCGAGGGATCTTGTGCCATTTTGCCTTTCGAGATTGAGCCACCAGGGCCAAGGACGGACTTTTCGCGGGATTTGGATGACTTCTTCTTTTGCGGTCTAGGCTTTCCCATGGCAGGAGGCAGCGAAATTCAATGAAAATTCGTGATGTCGTTGACTAGAATATCAAGACAATTGTAACCCACAGGGTATCTGAAAGTAAAAAAAGTGAAGCTCCGCAGCCAAAATTTTGGACTGTTTGACGGGTTTGCATGTGGGACCGCAATACTTTGCTGGCCGTGCCACTTTTAGTCTCCTCGAAGCGGGTCTTAGTTCAGATTCTGCCTGCAATATATATCTGAAAAGACACAAAGACTACGGAGTACCAGAAGACTACACCATGAAGACTACATACTTGAAAGACCGCCCAAAAGTCTACACAAGGCTGTACAAGCGGTTCAATGCTCACTACTGCAGGGCTCTTATTTTCTACAAATCGAATTCTGCATATTTGAATCGTTATGAATACTTTATGTACTTTATGCTACAAGCTTTTGTCCGGGCGAGTTGTGCATTTAGTTTATAGTCAATTGTCAAAGGTTGATATCTAGAGGTAGAGCAATCCCTCCTCTGGTTAAAGTCTACAATAGTCTAGAAATTGTATCTTTAAGAGCCAATTCCTAATGAAAAGCCAGCGGTGAACCAGGCGGTCAAATGATACTCGTGGACAGGATAACGGCGATATAATAATCACGTGACTATACTTGGCCCCGACGTTTGTTGCGTTGATTTGGTTTGCGCTCCGATCTTTCTTCGGAGTCAGTTAATATTGCGCTATCTCAAAGTATTGCCGAGACAGTCGTTCAGTCTGCCCCGCTAAGACTACTCTCGTCCCCCCACGTGGTGTTTCCCGAAGAATCTGCATCCCGGCGCTCAAATCGATACCCCTCCAATCTGCGGGCGGATCAACAGCTATGGGTCGCGAAGACCAGATTGAGGAGCGTGAAGTGCTCGATTCAATCTTTCCCGATGAAATTACCGGTAAGTAACAAACAAACAAGGCGTATAGACGGTTCAAACCCCATTTTCATCCTTGCTCACAGCAAGACTCGGCACCTAGACATATCTGAAACGTCGTATCGAGTATCCATAACACTCGATGCTCTCGAATATGAAGGCGACGAAACGGAACAACCGGTGATATGCTTGGAAGTCTCCTACCCTGAAGACTACCCCGATGTTGGCCCGAATCTCAGCATTTCCTCTCCACCTAATGCCCCGAAGCATGATCGGTTAGATGTCCAGGAAGACCGGGACCTACTGATGGAGTCTCTTCAGCCCACTATCGAAGAGAATCTGGGTATGCCGATGATATTCACACTGGTCAGCGCACTCAAGGAAAGCGCAGAGCAGCTTATGATCGAGCGAGCAGCGGCCATTCAAGCCGAGAAGGACCAAGTTGCCGCGAAGAGAGAGGAGGAGGAAAATCGAAAATTCCATGGTACACCAGTCACTGTCGAGTCATTCCTGGAGTGGAGTGCCAAGTTTAAAAAGGAACAGGAGGAGGAGGAACTTCGGGCACGGGAAGAAAAGGAATCAGAGGACAAGAAGAAGAAGACCGTCAAAGAAGAGAAAAAGCTCACAGGCCGACAATTGTGGGAGAAGGGCTTGGCCAAGGGTGATTATGACGAGGAAGAGGATGATGCCTTGCCGCCTGTGGAGAAGCTCAAAGTTGCTGCATGAGCTGATACATAGAAATGTTAATGACCGGCCATTACTTCATGAAATTATGTATGATAACTTGTAATTACACTGAGCTGTAAGTGAACTTGAATGTTGTATCAATAGTAGGCGAAGTAATATACAGGTCTGAAAGTCCACATGGACTTACATCATTTTACAGGGCAATATGACGCTCATTTTTTGGACAAAAGAGAGCCCGAAAGAGAGCGGTTCTCTTGGTTTGAGCTGCTTGCTGGAGCACAGAGACCAATCTTGACATGCTAGCAGTTGATGGTGCCCATTGATCGGATGTGATCAAGAACGGCATATTTGCACAGGTTGGCATGGCTAATGTACCATGTCTCGTGGATGCTTCAAGCAATGGACCTTTGGATTTCCTTTGATCCAAGGCGATATTGAAAATGGCTCGGCCATGGACGCAGGTGGCTCCGATGCGGTCAGATATGGACCTAGGCTATACTGGCCATACGGCTTGACCCACATCCGCCTGCTCGAAGAGCCAGGGAAATGGGCATTGGGATGGCAACCATGCATGCGCGGCAAGGTAGACCACCAATCGGTTTCATTCCTTTGGGCGCTTTTGGCTAGCTTCTTCTTCCGCTAAAGCCTTTTCAGCTAGAACAATCTTCCACATGCTATCTGAAAGTTCTTTGGAATGCATATCGAAGCGTCCGATTCTGGCATTGACTTCGGCTATGGCATTTGCAGGATGCTCAGACCAAGTGGATGGCTCCCTCGTCTTGGTCATGCGATCCCACTCCTCCTCGTCTTTGGCGAAAAGTAGTTCTATTTTCAGTCTATCTCGACGCTCAATCCAGTTCCACCGACGCCCAAGTTTTGTTCGTAGCACACTGCTGACGTTTCTCGGCTGCGGCTTTTTATATCGCAAGAACGGAAGCCCGCGTGCATTGACAAGTACAGGGACATTGCGCTTCTTGTCACCCAGCGGCCGAGGTCGGTCTAGGATTGAGGTGGCGTTTGGATGTCGCTGAGATGTTTCCTCCTGGAAGCGAATTGATTTCTCCTTTCGGGCTTTCTTGGGCGTAAGAGGTTTGGCGGGCGGTGCTACTGGCCGGGCTTTTCTCTGCATAGCAGCATATTTATCTTTCTGTGACCTTGCTTGAAGTATGAGAGTTGTAATCCGATGCGCATCTTGTTGATTGGCGTGAGACGAGGAGAGGAGATCTAGAGCCTGTCATAAGGCGATGACATATCAGCACATAAGCTTGGCTCAGACATATATTCGACGGGCATACCTCATAGCCTGCCTTCAAGGCATTGGCGGATTGTGATGGGCTTTGTAATTTCTTGTATTTTCGGAAATTCCGTTGAATGAGAGGTTTGATTTCACCCAGCCATTCGGTGTCAACTGTGGAAGGGCGGCATTGTTGGAGAAGTGCTCGATAAAGTGCCAAACCTATCAGAGACAAACTGTTAGCTAGAAGGACTCGAAATATAGGGAAGCGTGGGGAGCCATCTCTTACAAGCAAAGCGATGAGCTCCAGAGTACTTGGGCACTAGCACTTTATGCATTTTGCTGGTTTCAAAGGTTGTACCAATAATGTTAGCTCAAACTGAGCCAAGAATCACGTATCTTATCTCGTTTCTACCTGCAGGGAGGTTCACCGCCTATTCACCGCCTACTGTAAGTAAATTTGTGTTTTGCAGTATTTATGTACATTATTGCGGTCGGTATCCCAATCAGGCTAGTGTATACTGCACGTGTGTACCGCTTTACGTAGGTCACATGACCTTTGATTGTCTATATATACTTACCCGCGCCCCCATCGATTCCTCTTCTTCTTTTTCTTCTTCAGCTCTCTTTGCCTATTGGCTTAGATCAAGTGTAGTATCTGTTCTTTTCAGTTTAATCTCTGAAAGTTTCCGTCCAGGAAACACTTTGATTATTCCTATTTTTGGACCCCGCGACTTGGCCCCTGTGCTTGCGCATGCCTCGTCGCACAGTGTCATTGGGCTCACACTACCCCCGATCGACGCGAACTCCTTTTTCATCAACTGTTCGGCTTGTCCGGGCACTTGGAGAAGAAGAGCTGTATATGTAAAACATTTCATTGTATGCAGGCTATCACATGTATTTTCATCCTGATCACGTCGCACTGCTTACCTTGATGTATCCAACCTTCATGGCCATCGGGCTCTTGAATGCATGGTTCTGCCCTGACCTTGGTGCTGGATGGCTCACGCCCTTTGTTGGACCTCTTCCCCAAGGGCTGGTCGAATTCGCACATGGGAAACATGATCATGGGTTGATTAGGTGAATCATTCTACTCAGTATGTTGTCTCTATATCAAAGAGTTGCGTTTGTTTTTGTTATTGGTAAACAGGCGCCTGCCGCACTGCCCAGTTCCACGAAACAACACTTTACAGATGAATAACCTAATATGGGGATGAAAATTGAAAGTTGGGGCCCAAAAGAGCCCCTGCCAATGCCTTGATGCAGAGACTGTACACGCTCTAGAGTCAAAGAAAAAGAGAAGAAGCCAGGAAATAGATGCAGCCGACCCTGATACTCCGAGATCCGCCTACACTGAAGTGGGTCACATGCTGGACTAGAAAGTCGAGCCCTCCGGGGGCTGCGGCAACTTCTTGTGTTGGGGCAAAGCCATGTACCTGGATAAAGCGTCAACACCAACCATCGATATTGTACCATTCGACCAACTCACCTTCTCAACTCAATTAAAACAGTCTCCATGGTGTTGTCCCGTTTCCACTGCGCAAGCGTTGGAAGCTTTGTCGGATCGACCTGTGGTATATTCACTCAGTAATGGCTTTATGTTTTGGTACCAACCCTTCTCATACCTTGCCAGAGCTAGGATCAACGCAGGGGATGTTGACTCGAGAGACGAATTGAATGGTAGGCGGGTTATCGGGGTAGTCAGGTCCGCAGTGAATGTTCACACTGTATATCCGGTTCTCGTGGACGCTCTGAAAGACGGCAGATTAGCGATAGTTTTATGGTGGAGGGGAGTAGAGCCAGGACTAACGTGAGGCGGACCAAGAATGGTTCCGTTCCAGTTGCTCATCATCATATCTTCTCCATCGGCGAGTCCATATGAGCAGGCATCTAGAAATAAGAAAGATACGTCAGTGACCTATGATCGGACAAGGTCGGAGATCGTAGGAGTCAATCGTACCTGCACTTAGACCCTTCTCGCCTTTCTCAAGCTCCTCCAGGAGGCGAAAGTTTCTTGGGACTTTAGCAGCCATTTTGAGCACCGAGCAGTGGGTTCAGAGGCTGGAATTGTCACTAGAAGTGTGAGCAGTTGCTAAAGAGGGATGTTGCGACAAGAGGGGCAATGCGCTAGGCGGTCAAGTTGGAGCCAGGTCACGTGTGATACGGCTTATCGATAGCTTGGCACCTGTTGGAGATGATGCCACGCCTTGTTGATCCCATCGTGGAATCATTGTAATAGGAGAATCGCAGCCATTGTTCTCTTGCTGCTCACATGAGCCTAGCTTGGAAGCTCTAGATTTGCAACTAGTCCGGTGTAGAAACACCGATCTCTTCATCTGCGGTCGAGACCTCCCTGCACTGTTGACATCGGGACCTCGGGCATTAGCCAGTGCTGGCCATGTTCTGATACAAAGAACCTATACCAGAAATGTCCTCCCAATTCTTGCAGACAGAGATCGCCAATTTGATCCATGAGTCTCGAAGAAAGAACTCCGATTTGCGAAATGTTGGTGATCATCCTCTATGCATCATCGGCCGTGGCACACTAACGAAGCATTGACAGGCCGCTGAACAATCGTTGAATGAGCTCAAAGCATTACCGTCAACCTCAGAGGCTCAAATTGCAGCAGGTACGTTATTAAACGGCTTTTAGTCAGTTGCCAACCGCTAAGTCGTCATTAGACCTTGTTCGCAAACCGAATTTCGTTGAGCCATTCATCATTGCATGCCATACTAGGCATGCAAAGCTTGCTGGAATTGGTGTGATATGCTTACAGAGACTAATTGCATCTCGCTCATTACCTTCGAGTCGTTTGAAAGATGTCCTGGGAGGCCTGAAGGAGACAACGAGCTTGAGTAAAGTGACCAAATCATAACACTTAAACCGCGCTAACCTCTTCTAGGCCTTGATATTCAGCTCAAAATCCTACAGTCTCTGCCTTCGCTTTTGCAATATTATTCCAATGAACTGAGCGGGGAGCTTCTTGCGAATACGTTGGAAATATGCGCCACGTTACAGGCAAGCAAAACAACTGCAGTCTCTAGTACCGCTGCGGCTACCCTCCAACAACTAGTAGTATCGATATTTGAGAGAGTTTCGAGTGAAGACAATCTTACTAATGATGCTAAACACACTACAACCATCAAAGTCGATGGGCAGCCGCTCGCCATCGGCTACTTCGCCTACGATGCATTACGAGTATTGGATGATCTCTGTCGTCTGATCGATGGTGAGCCACTGCAGTTTCTGCGAACACGAACCCTATCCCCGACTTTTGTGCTCGAACTTATCGAGAGCATTCTCCTGAACAGCGGCCGTCTTTTTGTGGGACATCCCGAACTTTCGCAAGTGCTGCGTGTGCGGTTGTTACCACTAGCCGTCCGTTGTCTATCTGAGAGGTATTCATTCGCTCAAACCGTCCGAGTGGCCCGAATTCTTCTCATTCTTCTGAAACGCCATATGTCTCTCTTGACCGCAGAATGCGAGATGGCATTGAGTCTGATAACCCATCTCGTTGAGCCGGATGGGACAGCACCTTGGAAACGACTGCTTTGCATGGAAGTCTTTCGAGGGCTATACTCCGAGCCGGGTGCCGTGCGGCTAATTTACACTCTATATGACGGCGAAGAAGGCAGAAAAAATATCCTCCGCGACCATATGGCTGCGCTTGTTCGGCTAGCTTCAGAGAAGCCTTCGTTGATTGGCGTCAGCAATCAATCAACAGTACCTTCGCGCGCGGAACACTCAAGGTCCACCACAGAGGATCAAATAACTCTTGAAACCGGCGGGGTTGCTGGTGTTATTGGGTCAACTGTCCCTCCAAGTGAAACCAAGGTGCCTGGAATTAGCACTCAGTGGAGTGTTGTTCGTACGCCATATATCGATCTCCTTGACAAGACAGACCCGCCCACACCGCCAGACACTTACATCTACAGCCTTGTTCTGAATTGTATCAGTAGTTTTGCTGAGGGGCTCGCGAAATTCATTCTCCCATTGACGGTTCCTGATTTAAAGCAAAAACGCAAGAATCGACTTATGAGCCCCGCTCAAGGACCCGACTCTGCCAGGTCTTCCCAGGATTTCACAGCAGAACCCCCCCGGGTTCAGTCTAGCTCGCCGTCGAAAAAATCACATGTTCCCATAAATCCTCTGGACCTGCAGTCTCATATACAGTACTCTGCTATCAAGACCTGTGCGGGGATAATAGAGAACTGTTGGCCTGCTGTCCTAGCGGCTTGTTCTACATTTTTGCGCGCATCCTTGGATGATGAGTATTACCACAATCTCGTTCGAGCTTTCCAAAAGTTAGCTCATGTGGCGGGTCTTCTGAGATTGGCTGTTCCCCGGGATGCTTTCTTAACAACTCTTGGGAAGGCCGCCACCCCTGCGAGTGCAGGTGGTGCCAAGTCACACAATGTGTCTGCCACTGGCCCACAGCAAAGTGATGCACTCCAAAAGAAACGAAGAAGTGCGGATATGTCAAATTCCAGTTCTTTGGCAATGGAAGCTGCAGCAGCAACTGCAGGGGAAGGGTCACCCGTGTCTTTAAGCACAAGGAACCTCCTTTGTATGCGGGCTTTACTTAACCTCGGAATTGCTCTGGGGCCGACATTGGATCAGCCGGCTTGGTCCATAATTTTTGAGACACTTCAATATACTGGACTGGTGATTGGCATGTCCTCAAGCGCGATGGTCAAATCGGCTAGTGGGACTGGGGAGACTTCATTCACTCCAGGAAACGACGTTCCGACGGCTAATCTTGGGACTGAGGTAATTGCGGTCCAGGCGGCTTCTAGCAAAATGCTCGAAAGCACTAGTGATTTTCCAAGTGCATCTTTTGAGGAAATAGCATTGGCCTTGTTAAACCTGTCAACATTTACAGAACAGCATCGCAACCCAAGTGATACCCATGAAGTACCAGAAACGCCTCGAACGCCGCAATCTTCCCAAGGAAGTGGACGCTTACACCAAAATTCTCGGCGTGTATCGCATACCGTCGGAAAATCAAGAATGCAAGACGAGGAACTTAAATTTGTGTTAGAAAAAGGGAACGAACTGGCCAAGGCAAACCTTGGAAGACTCTCGTCGCTCGAAGAAGAGGACAGCAAAGCATGGGAGCTGGTGACGCAAAGCCTCATCTCGGCTTCCGCAAATACTACCGTCAGTCCGAATCTTCGCCTGCAGGCAAGCGCAATTCTGAATTCACTTGTATTCTCAACGATGAAACAAAGGGTTGAAGACGAGAAAGTCTACAATCAATTGCAGACGAGAAATTTGCAGACATTGAAAGCCCAGGTTGCATCGCTCTATGCCTCAGACATGCACACCTCCAAGTCTTTACCGATAACCGTGATTGAAATCCACGAACAGAGCTTGGAAGTGTTAAACGACATTTTGGAACAATATGCAGAAACTTTCGTGGATGGATGGCACCTGGTTTTTGACTTGATATCCAGTGTTTTCCAGTCTCCCCTGGATCCTGGAACTGGCGATCAGTCTTCCACCCCGATAGAGCGCAGATTATCGGCTCTGCCAGCAGGCCCTCGTCTGGTACGTGCGGCTTACAAGTCTTTGCACCTTGTCGCATCCGACTTCCTTTCTCTGCTACCGGCGCCCTGTCTCTTGAGCTTGGTGAATGCCTTCTCAAGCTTTACATCGCAAACACAAGATTTCAACATCTCGCTCACCACCACCTCATTTTTCTGGAACGTTTCCGACTTTCTCCAGGGCCAAATTGAGCAGATCTCAGTTGGACATGTTGATGCATCCGTTAGCGAAGAAGAGCTAGCTGAATTGGCTCATGACGAGGATCCCTCCGTTTCTCGAAACTCATTGTGGCTGCTGCTGTTGCTTCGTATCGTTGATATCACAATAGATAGTCGACCTGAAATTCGAAATAGCGCCGTCCATACGCTTCTGCGCATCTTCGATGCCTATGGGCAGCAGCTTTCCCCCGAAGCGTGGCGTCTGTGCCTGAATATGGTTCTCTTCAAGATGGCCGAGGGAATCGAGACCCCTCTGCTTCGAGCTAAAAATAATCGGAGCAATGCAAGACCCGAGGACTTCAGGGCGTGGGTGGATACGACAGTGGTCATGATCAAGGGCTTGTCAAATCTGATCACGAATTTCTTCGAGACCCTTGTGCGCGACGAGAAGTTCGACCAGTCCTGGAAGCGACTTTTGAAGTACTTGCAAAGTCTGATTGACTTGCATATTTTGGATCTCAGCGAGGCAACCTTCTCTAGTCTCTCAGCGATTCTCCTCCGGGTGCAAAACGGAGGTGAACTTAGCAACGATGTTCTTGAGTGTGCTTGGCTTCTTTGGGCAAACGGACACCCTGCCAGTGATGAGCATAGGCTTGACTTAGACCAACCTAACCAGGATGCTGCTTTAGCCTATCTGCATACATTCCAACAGGTCTATCGTCTTTATAAAGACCAGCTGACCACGAAACACATTGAAAAGGTCCTTCGCCATCTAAGCTTGCTTGTGTGGAACTCGGTCTCCCCGCGCTACTCTCCAGATGTCGACCGGCCTTCGGAGCTACAAGAGCTAGTCATTGATTGTATCAAACTGCTCTGCCTGGAGAAAGAGGACTCCCAGCCGGATATTCTTTTGTGCCTTGCCGAACTATCTGATTCAGCACTATCAAAATGGAGCCCGGGCAGTGACACTCGAAGACCAGCGTTCGTGGCCTTCTCGAAAAGAACCATGGATCTTGTTAGCTGGTACATTGCCGAATTCGGCATCAAGCAAGACGTATTTACGAATGGTGCTCTTGCAAACTCGCTCGCACACCTTGGTGCCCTGATTGCGCAAAAGTACACATGGCAAGGGAAGGACCGCCAGCCGTTCCTCTGGCAAAAGGCAACAATAGTATCTCTGAATGTCCTCCAAGTCGCTGTCCCCTACGTCGAAAAGCAATACACAAAGACAAACGAGTCTGAATCATCTCAGTTCTGGGAACGCATCGTCGAGATCACAAATGGAATTGTTTCCGCCCGTGGCTTCCAAGCCCACAAACTCCCCAACTCCCGAACCACCGCAGATGAAGCATTCGACATCAACGCCTTCATCCGCCTGAAGACTCTCATCCTTCCATCTCTCGGAGCAGCAGCAATCCCAGACGCCGTACGCCGCGATTTCGCCCGGGCTCTCTTCTACTCCTCCTTCATCTACGCCCCCCTCCGCTTCGACCTACCCACCACCAGTCTCGAAAACGCACCCCTACAAGACTTCTACACCGTACGCCCCGGTCGTACCTTCGACTCACCGCCAACTCTGCGCCCGGGTATAGCCTACGCCCTCATAGACACGCTCTTCGAGCTCGCCGCGTACTCAGAATCCAACGCCGATATCAAAACAGACGCCCCATCCCCTCAAGCTCTGCTCGCACGCTCAGTCTCGCCCTACCTACTCCTGCGTTGTGCGGTCTCGCTCAAGTCCTACATTGCAGACCAGCCATTACGCGGCTTGATGCCCCAGCCCACGCCGGCCCGCAAGGCCCTGCTCCATCTACTCGTCTGCATGGTCGAGCTGAAGAGTGAGCCATCGGCTATCCCAGATCCGCCTTCACTGAAGACCGTCTCCGTTCTCGAGGCTGGGGATGCGGAAGTGCACCACTATCGGAAACATCTCGAGTGGATTTATCCATTAGTTGTGCGCGCTGTGCAGGTCGCTGGTAAAGAGCGTGATGATGGGCAAATTCTCCAGGCGCTGGGAAGGGTGCTGCAAGAGATCGGTCGGTTTGGGTATCAGAACTAGGGCTTGTGTGCATGAAGTATGAACCGGCTTCGTGTGCTACGTGCTATAGCGATTGATGCATTATTCTTACTCTAGACTCTAGACTCTAGTCATCTCGGACTAACACATACAATATGAATCTAAAATAATGTTCGATGTGAAATGAGACTTGGCACGAATGTAGACGGAGTAAAGTATACTACAGAGTGATATCGTGACATGGTCGTAAGACAGAGTCAACGGACACAAAAAGGAAATAGTGAGTAAGAGAGGAGCAGGGGAAATCGAGGGCAGAGACAAGAGGCGGGTATAGAAGAACGGATCCGCAGATACCAAAGGTAAGAAAGACGCGAACGATAATAGGATAGAATAAGATAGTCTATGCTGCGGGCGCGGGAACAGGCTGAGGCTCCTGCCGAAGTGGCGCGGCTTCTCTGCCGGGTCCGGCAGTAGCAGAGCCCGGGGGAAGAGCGGGCTGCTGGCGCTGTTGCTCGAGGAGCATCTGCTGCTGAATTTGCTGCTGCTGTGCGATCTGGGGGTTCGGGGCGATCTCGGGGGCTTGGCGGTAGAGCGCAATTTCGGATTGTTTGAAGTAACGGCGGGCATCTGTTGTTGGGATTAGTTTCAGACATTAAGATTGTAGGCCAGTACTGTATGAGAAACGGGAGGAGTGTATGGTAAATTATATCGGTGGAGTATCCGCCAGAAGGGGTTAGCGTGGGGGTGTTGAGAGTCGGGTTTGGGGGTGTCGGGTTTGGGGGTCTCGGATGCACTTCGGCAAAAAGATGCAACACGGGCCGACCTGAATAATGGTATTGGGTAACTTCAATTGCCGACGGCTAATGCATCATCTTTGTCTCTGCACCCCGCATTATGGGATGCGTCATGGACTGTGAAGATTGCCAAGGAGAAAAAAATGGAGAAAGCATGGGGTAACTAGAACGTACCTTCGTCAATCAGTACGAGACTGAGATAGTACCTTGTCGAGTACTTCTTGTTAACGTCGCGGAATGTTGGCGTCAAGTCAAATCCACCAAGGAACAGACGGATTGGAATGGTTTCACCTATTTTAAAGTCAGCTTTGATCAATATTATCCTACGTTTGCCAACCCTCGCAAGATCCATTTGGACCCGCGGGTTGGGGGCCATAGCAAGGTCCAAAGTTTTGGCGTTCACTAACCTCTCGATGGCGAACCGTCCATAATCTGCACTCACGTTAGCATTCTTGTGATCTGCGTTCCATGTCCCCAATATCACATCGAGGGTGTTCAATAAACCACATACCTCAAATCGCACCAAGGTCTCACTCTCGTTATATTGATTTGGTGGGGATCCCGTTGTCTCCCGTCGAATGATAGACAACTCCATATGCTTGATCTTGAGTCGCACGAGCAAGAAATAGATGCGACCAACAATGACATCCTTGAGATGATACTTGGATTTGGAGTATTCGAATTCGATATGCAGGCAGTCCTCGATACCGACGTCCATCTTGATGGGGCTGTTGTTCTCGGGTGGCATGCGGTACGAGTACACCCACAAGTCCTTTTCCCGAATGACGTCCGCCATGCGCCGTGAGACGGTCACCCGGACAAAGTAGCGCAGCTTGACGTTGATACCATTGTATGACTCGTATTGCTTTTCGACGTTCTTGAAATTGAAGGGGAAGGTCTGCGGGTGAAGCAGCTCGCCGGGCGCGGCGAGCTCCTGCACCAGCGAAAGGAATTCATAATGGTTGCCTCGGTCGTAGAACATCTCTGTATTCCGAAATGGAAAGGTGTCAGCGGTCAATCTGTGAGAGCGAATTCGGCTAGGAGAGGCTGGGTAGCAGGTCCGACGCACCAATCGTGCCAATAAATTGCACTTTGATCCCCGTGTGTTCCAGTCGCTTGCCATCCTTCGGTCTGATGGTCACGGCACCCTTGACGGACTCGCCGTCCATGTACAGAGGGACCCGCTCGCGGCGGCCCTTGTCGAGCTTGACGTCAACGGTCTGGCGCTCATCGAGGTCTTCAAGGACCACATCGATATCGACTGGGGTGGAAAAGAAGAGCGAAGCCATAGTGGAGGTAATTGAGGCTGCAGCTATCGAGGCCCGAACCAATAAGTCGGAGCTTTGATGATCTGGAGCTGTCGCGGTGGCCTGGAGATGGCTTATGTAATACCGCCTCCCCGCCCCGCCCCCATGGACTGGTATGTGTTTGCATAGAACTGATATATAAGATCTGGTATGTACGATATCTGACACTCCTTCATATGCAGCTCCAGCTGCATTTGGTCCCTCTTGCTGTTCGTGTTGATTCTAGAACTAACATCAAAAGTAATATCCATTGAGAATTATTTGGGCTTTCGACTCCGTGGGCCCTTCAGACATGTCAGATCTACAGGAGGAGCTCCTCCATAATTTCCCTCCGATTGGAGCTGAGGCACTTTGCTGTCTTTGAAGCGTCCAAATACAAATTAACCATACGGATCAGGACCCAGTACACCCTACAACTCCGGACAAACACGAGATCGGATGTGTCGGAATCCGCTTCCCGCAGTTTCCCTCGTGACCATACAATATATACAATATAGAGAATGAGCAGAACACGCTTTAGTCTGAGCAAGGATCCAACTTGTTGACCCCGCCGGAAGTTCCCTTTCTTCCCCGGATTTCGAAGTGAAAATCATCATGTCTGGTCATGCCCATCACGGGTACTCCGTAGAGTCGGTGTGACTGTGGAACGGAATCACCATGCATATTCCCCTGTGTTTTTATGTATGTGCTATCCTATCGGATGAGACTACATTTTCCGGAACGGGATTGAGTATCGGTGATCTGTATACGGAGTACGAAGGTTCAAGCATTGAGAAGATCTGCCAATCTCGCAGATTGTGGGTTCTGTCAACTGAGGGGTTTATTTGGGGACAGGTCAAGCATTAAAGATACTTGGATGAATTCATATATCAGAAAAAGGTCAGATAGGAAACTGACCTTGGAAGAATCCAAACTGGCGGTGTCTTGCTAGCGTGGGGGTTAGTGTAATACCCAAATACCGTGACATCATGAAGGAATGCAAGTATTTTATATTGGAGTATATAGTATCTAGTATTATTCCATAAAGTACTCCGTACGGAGTACACGAGTCACACATAAGTCTTATGTCGGCTAATTCCTTTTGTTAAAAGACGCTATTTAGCCTAGCCTACAGGTGCCTACAGCTTCCTACAGCTTCCGACAGGTCCCTTCCACATATAAACCAATAACCGTAAGGTCATCTTTCACCCCCCACTCGGCTTCTGGAATCTTTCCGACCCACCGTTAACAATATAAGTAGACAGTAGACTCTTTTTCACATAGACAACTTTCTTTCCCGTGTATCACTGCAGCGTCATACCTCCACCTTGACCCAAATTATCATACTCGAAATCCAATCCATTTCTCAACACATCTTTCTTTTCAACATGCTTTCCGCAGGGGAACGACCTCAGCCTTCCCACGCTCCCGTCATAGATTCCACCATCAAGGCGCGCATGCCGGACCTTGCCAACGGGACCAACGGAGCAACCTCCTCCTCCTCCTCCTCCAAACCCGCGCAAATGCAACATATCTGGGTCGTGACCGGTCCAGCAGGATGTGGAAAGAGTACCGTCGGCAATATCCTACGCACTGAGTTAGGCATCCCATTCCTTGAAGGCGACGACGTAAGTAACTACCTGCAGACGTCAGGCACCCAACCCCGGAAACCACAGAAACTCTATAATATACGCACCTGACTAACAAACTACTCCCTCCAGTTCCACCCCGCCGCGAACAAGGACAAAATGGGCAGAGGCATACCACTCACAGACGAAGATCGCTGGGACTGGCTGATCTCCCTCCGACGAGCAGCAATCGACGCGCTTTCCCCCTCAGAAGCCAACAACTTCCACCCACCCGCCGGGGTGGTAGTAGCCTGTTCCGCACTGAAGCAGAAATACCGGGATGTGATGCGCGTTGCTGCATATGGCTCGTCCTGGGTGCAGATCCACTTTGTCTACCTCAAGCTCAGCGAGGATGTGTTGCTGCAACGGGTCACACAGCGCCAATCACACTACATGAAGAGCAGTATGGTGCAGTCGCAACTTGCTGCACTTGAGGAGCCCAAGGATGAGTGGGATGCCATTACTATCAATGTTGAAGGCACGGTGGAGGATGTCGGGCGCAGTGTTATTGATGCTGTGGCTGAGAAGCTCGCTGAGTATAAGTGATTGATCCTTCTGTGGAAGGGACTGAGTTCACTTGGTGGGGCTGTGGCTGTTGGTGATGTCTCATCGCCACGTGGGTTGCGAAAATGGGTAGGATCTATGCATGGAGGATTGTTTAGCATTTGGGGTTTGTTTTCTGTTTCTTGATTTGGTTCCTCCCTATGGTGTTTGGTGTTTTGGCCGGCTTGGCTATGGCACCGGTCTGTTTTAGATCTGGCGTTCTCGAAGCTCACATCTCGAGCTTCTATTTTGTGCTGTGTTGATATATCAACTGTCTGGCTTGGCAGGCCACGCGATATCCTTTGTTTCGATGTGCATTCTCATATAAATTGGCCTGCCTATTTTTCTTTTATTCGCTTTCTCTATATACTAAGAAGCTCAATCTATGATACATTTGAGCTAGGAAACTAGATAAATCAATTATGCAGTGCAGTGTCTGGAAATGTACCCCAAAGTTGTGATTATTTAGGTATAGCTTGACACTTCATCCAAACGGTGACTTGTCTAATTCACCTAAGATTTAGAAGCATAAGCTCGGGCGACTCAACTAGGTCTTTAACTCTGCTACCCATCCTCGCCATTGTCGCACCGTCAATGACACGGTGGTCCGCGCTCCAACTGAAGTTGACCATATCCCCGCGTGTAACCTGTCCGTCCTCATCAAAGATCGGCACAGTTCTAGTCTTACCCACGCCAAGAATTGCTACTTCGGTCGGCACGAGCACCGGAGCCACATATGTACCTCCGATGTTGCCGATATTCGACACGGTGATAGTACCGCCACTGATATC